GTGGTCAAAGCGGTTTTAGCAGTAATGCTCTCTGATGATAGTTACCTGTATGGATATTGGTTTATAGAAAAGGGCTGCTATCCTCTATAATCTTTACACCTCTAGGGCTCGGTTAGACACCTTGCTTACCTAATGTAGGGGATAGAGCTGAAGGGGAGAACAATCTTCTGGGTAGCCAAAGCTGCCTGTAGCGGGTCATGCCAACATAACGTCACTAAGAAACATAAAATCAACCTAAAGTAAAAGCAGTGCAACTTATAATATAGGAGAGTTCCTGAAGTAGGCCTATAGTTCAGCATAAGACATCAGGTGGTGGCCGATGCATAGTCATTCACGGAGCCACTCCGTGGTATAAATTAGATGGCTGTCGCAGGGTTCCAGTTGTGTGTCGTAGTTGTAGAGCCTCAGTGAGTCCTCTGGTAATCCCATGGTCTCCATCATGGATTCGAATGTGTATGGAGATGTCCCTTTGAGAGTCGCCAGTACAGCTGACTTGTATTTACCAGTATAGAATTTCACCATGACATCTCTGGGTGCAGACTCAGGTGCCTTCTGAGGTTTTGGGACCCTGAACACACCTCCAAAGTGATGTTCTTTGCCTGTTTAGCTGCCAGCAGTGCCCCTACTTGCCTACACAGGAGGTGCAGAAGTTCTGCAGAGGGGATCTCTTCCACTATCCCTCAGATCTTGATATTATTACGGCATCTCATGTCTTCAAGCCCGTGAAATATTTGCTCATATAATTTCTGCTGCTTCTTAAGGCTTTAGACTTCTAGTTCCAGCTTTGCCACTGTATGAGTGTGCCCCCTAGCCAATGATTTTAATAACCAAGCCATTATTTAAAAAAAAAAAAAACGAATTTAGATAATAAATGATCATGAAAACAATATTGATAGTATCATGGAAGAAAACAAGACAGAAAAAACTCATAACTTTTAAAACTAAAGACACAACAAATGCTCCAACTTTCCCAATCATGTTTTATGTAAAAAAAAAGAAATAATAATAATAATTAAACATTGGCTCATACTAATGATCTATTGAAAAAATATTATTCCTGTTAAACTTAATATTATTTTTTGAAGGGCTCTTAAACTGAAAACGTACCTTACGAAAAATTATACAAAAAATACTATACTCGAATAAATACCCTATTTAACACAACATCGTTTTTTTAAATGCAAGAAAAATACAGTTTGTATGTCTATTGAGCCCACTACAAAACATCTCCCAGTTTACTTCTAATAAAACAAAAAAATATATAGAAACATAGAATGTGACGACAGATAAGATTCATTCAGCCCATGTAGTCTGCCCAATATAAAATGAAAGACTTCATCACATGTAACATGAAAACCACAGTTTACTTACTAGAATTCCCTTGTGGGCTTCAATTTGTAGGTAGGTATCTATTAAAAACCCGTACAGCCAAACACTGTCAAAATATAATTAAAGGTTTCCAAATTCATTCCTTGTTAAAGCATTTTAATGTACACAATAATAACCCTAAAGGTTTAATAGTAATTGGTCATCCAAAGTGTCAAAATCTTGGAGAGGAGGAGATATAAAAAAGATGCTAAGTATAAGTTGGATGAGTAGTGTTTATAATCTGAAAATGCAGAGTTCAATTTGTTTAATTTCCTGTGATTTATTTTACTTTTTTAAAAAAAGTTTTATTATTTATATGTTTTTGTTTTATTTTATTTTATATTTTTATATTTTATTTTTATTTAATTTTTATTTATTTTATTATTGTTTTTAATTGCATTTCTTATTTCCTATTATTGTCTATTTTATTTTTTAACTCTTATTTTATGCTCTATTTTGTATTTTTTGACCGATTATTTTAAATTTATTTATAATTTTTTATTTTCTGCTGCTGGGGCCAATTTGTACAATAGACATAATCCAGAGCACTCATCCACTAAACAGCAGCTTCAAAGCTCACAGATTTGATTCATTTTTTTTTTAAATTTGTTTTTCTTTAAAACATTTAACCTAGGCAAAGACTATGGGGATTTAGTTACAGTATATGATCATACATTGCATAAGCCTGCCACAACATCAATATACCTCATGTTTGGCAGTTCCTATTCTAACAACCTAATGTTCGCTCTTATGAGATGAACCCACTTACTTGAGGAAAATTCCATCTGAGGCTCTCTGCAGTACAAGGTTAAATAAAGCCCTGGAATGAGGCACTTCTGACAGGGGGGAGTGCAAAATCAAGGAGTTGGCCTAGACTCCCAAATATATATATATATGTATATATATATATATATATATATATATATATATATATATATATAAAACTAGGGTCTGCATTAACCTTAACATGCATAAATGGAGTACTTCCCAAACCAATAAAATAAACATCACACGTATACAAAATAATTACTTGGAAAATTTTAAGTAACTTCTATATCTACACTAAGGAAATCTACATATATTTATGAGATAATAGGTTTTGATCAATGTATGAAGTTTTATACCTTACGAATTATTGTATATTTTAAATCTGAGCTGCAGACATATATTTTAAATGCACAGAAACTATTTTCCCCAAAAGGGTTAAATTAGTTGAAATGTTGATTCAGATACGTTTCATACCTACACAAAATATAAACATAATATCATTTATAATTACCACTTAATTGCTGCTTTTCCTTCCATTCTCAAAGGATAGTCAATTCAATTTAATTGTTAATTTGAAAAGTTAATTGGAAAATGGCCCGATGACTTGCTGTAAAGTTCAGATTGTTAGTAAGGTATTGAATAAGAATAGTAAGGTGTAATAGGTGAAATAAATTTAGTTTAAGAGAGTGATGATTTCGTAGAGTCATTCAAGAGAGAAATAGAGAGTAATTTTTCAAAATAGTGGTGTGCCTCTACATTACATTTGTTTCCTTACCTCAGGTAACACATAACTATTGATTTAATATTCTCCAATCAGATTGGTGGGTGTAGCATATGATAATTAAGAATTTGTCATTGAGTAATTAAATTGCACCAACTTTTAGCAGTGTCACCCCCAAATGTGGCTCTTGTCTTATTAATGATTTGAATGTATTCATATTTCCACCACCTCTCTATAAACCTCATCACTTTTTGTTATCAGACACACTCACTGACAGCCACACACTCTCACTGACAGACACACAAAGACACTGATTTTAAACACACTCACTGACAGTCTCCCACTCCCACTGAGAGACACACACTCTCAATGACAGGCACACAATCTCACTTTTTTGAAACACACTCACTGACAGACACACACACACTGACAGATGCACTCAGACAACTCACTGAGAGAGACACACACATTGACAGACACACTCACATTTACACACTCTTGCGCACACACACTCACAAATCAAAATCTTTTTTGTTGATTTATTTTTTGAGGCCCATCCAGCCTCCCTACCTTTGGGAGAGCTAGGGTGGGTCCTCTCCCTGAGTTCCAGTATGGATCTTCTTCTTTCCTGCTCTTCACTGCTCCCTCGCATGTGCTGTTTATTGATCCAGGCACTGAATTTATGTCTGTGACAGATTCCCTGTCCCTGGATTAAAAAGCTTTCTGTCCCCTTTGCCTGTTTGATCGGTAGATTGTATTCCCCTTTCGTTTTATTTTATTCCATTCGAATACCGAACAACCACTCAAACCAGGGACCACCCGGGAGCTTGTTAACCCCTATAAACACCTTGGAGCAGTTCTCACTGCAGTGTTCTAATTGTTCTTCTGGACGGCCACAATTCCTATGGACAACCATCTTCTTCGCATGAATGCAGGCAGCAGTGTTTGGGCATAAATCTCATGGAACTAAAATCGGACACAGAAACTTCCGAACACTGCTGGACTTCCATCATCGCCAGGGTTCGGTTCTATAGAATTTAAAAGGGCACTATTCGGTGGAATCGTTTGTCTGGATGAGGGGAACAAGCTCCAGGGTAAGAACATTGGCTATGTTCGGTAGTTTGTTTTTAAACTACCGAACTAGACCGACCGCAAGCCCTGATTCTCTGGAACTGTTTTGGGCATGGGACCATGTGTGCAGTCGGTCAAATAAATGACTTCCAGGAAATTCCTGAACCCCTGAATTGATCTGGTTGATTTTTGGATATGTTGGTCACCCAGATCAGGACTATCATGGGATGCAACATTTGTGGGGTTTTATGTATTTTTAAGGTACTTTTTGGATGTTTGGGAAAAATAATGTTTTTTTTGTGCTTGGAAATATTTGGAATAGTTTAGTACAGTGCCTGATCAAACCGGCACAGAGGAGGGATTATCTGATTATGTATGGGAGTGTCCTGGATCTGAGAGCCAATGTAATTGTTTATTTGTTTCTACTGTGGTTTATTCTCAGGTCCAGGGGGGAGTGCCCCTTGCATTAGGACTTGCATATAAGTCCAGTTGTGGCTACCAATAAATGAGTCCCTGCTTACCCTCAACACAGAGCCTCCTCTCGTGATCATAGGGAACCGCTATATTCAGGGGCGGACTGAGAGCCTTTGGGGCCCCCGGGCAAAATTAGATCCCAGGCCCTTTGAAGGCCAAATATACGTGCATTAAATAAATGTTAAATATAACTCATAATACAGCATTCCTTTGGATGTGTATATTGTGAAGACCTGTGTATCAATGCATGTTTGTATTTGAGTCTGTGTGAATGCACTTGTGCATGTCTGGATGACTACATGTGCTTTTTTGTATATAGTGTCTGTGTGAATGCATATGTGACAGGTGACAGAGTGTATGAGGGAGAAGGTGACAGGTGGAAGAGTGAGGGGGTACCTGGTGGCAGAGTGAGGGAAGGAGGGGTTGAGTGGTGGCAGAGTGAGGGGGAGACACAGTGAGTGGGGGTGACTGGTGACAGAGTGAGGGGGTGACTGGTGACAGAGTGAGTGAGTGGGTGACCAGTGACAGAGTTAGGAAATGGGTGACTAGTGGCAGAGTGGGGGAGGGAGGGAAGAGATGACTAGTGGCAAAGTGAGGGAGGGAAGAGGTGACTAGTGACAGAGTGAGGGGATGACTGGTGACAGAGGGAGGGAGTGACTAGTGACAGAGGGAGGGAGGGGGTGACTGTCACTAGTCACCCCATCCCTCTCTCTGTCACTAGTCACTCCCTCCCTAACTCTGTCACTGTGTCACCCCCTCCCTCACTCTGTCACTAGTCACCCCCTCACTCACTCTGTCACTAGTCACCCCCTCACTCACTCTGTCACTAATCACCCCCTCTGTCCCTAGTCACCCCCTTCCTCACTCTGTCACTAGTCACCCCATCCCTCTCTCTGTCACTAGTCACTCCCTCCCTAACTCTGTCACTGTGAAGGAAGGAAGGGGTGACTGGTGACAGAGTGAGGGAAGGAAGGGATGACTGGTGACATAGTGAAGGAATGACTGGTGACAGTGAGGGGGGTGATTAGTGACAGTGAGGGGGGTGACTAGTGACAGTGGGGAGGTGACTAGTGACAGTGGGGAGGTGACTAGTGACAGTAAGGGGAGGTGACTAGTGACAGTGAGGGGGGTGACTAGTGACAGTGAGGGGGGTGATTAGTGACAGTGAGGGGGGTGACTAGTGACAGGGGGTGACTAGTGACAGGGAGGTGACTAGTGACAGTGAGGGGTGATTAGTGACAGGGGTGACTAGTGACAATGGGGTGACTAGTGACACAAGTGGTGACAGTGATTAGTGACAGTGAGGGAGGTGACTAGTGACAGTGAGGGAGGTGACTAGTGACAGTGAGGGGGTGACTAGTGACTGGGGGTGACTAGTGACAGTGGGAGTGACTAGTGACAGTGGGGGGGGTGACAGTGAGGGGTGACAGTGACAGTGTGACTAGTGACAGGAGGGGTGACTAGTGACAGTGGTAGGACAGGAGTGTGACTAGTGACTAGTGACAGTGGGGGGGTGACTAGTGACAGTGAGGGGGGGTGACTAGTGACAGTGAGGGGGGTGACTAGTGACAGGGGGGGTGACTAGTGACAGGGGGGGTGACTAGTGACAGTGAGGGGGGTGACTGGTGACAGTGAGGGGGGGAGGGGTGACTAAAGCCTACCTTTCTCTCTGCTTCCTCTGGTCTCTCCCTGGCTGCAGCTCCTTCGCTGGGCTCTGTGTGAGAGGAGTAAACAGGAAGTGATGTCACTTCCTGTCCCCGCCTCTCCCATCACACAGAGCACCGCGCGGACAGGGAGAAGGAGACCTGGCAGAGAGGGAGAGGAGGTGAAGCTGCCAGGTCTCATGGGAGGAGGGAGGGGGGTGGATTTAAAGAGCGGTAGGTTGTGGGGCCCCGGCTGCATCAGGGGCCCCACAACCTATCAATTAAATAGTTTTATTTTATTTAATTTTTTCGTTCCAGTTGGAGAGATCTCTGATCTCAGATCTCTCCAGCTGGAGCAAGGCTGTGCGGCCGGGCCCCTGACTGCCTCGGGCCCTCGGTCCATGACCGAAGTGCCCGAGTGGTCAGTCCGCCCCTGGCTATATTTGCTATAATCCCTGCTCCTGGGATTGTTCTTTGGATTGCTATAATCACAAGCTCTTGTAAGAGCTACACATCCAGGGTTGTGGAATTTGGTCCAGTGTGAGAAGGGGCGGCGAGAACCCAGCCAAGCTGCGGCAGCTAAGGGGCTACAGTGAATATGGTGTCCGGTGTGGTGCTGATTATACTCGGTGACAGCTAGGAAGCAGCAATTGGCGGAGGCACCCAGTCGGTGTGCCAGGCGGTCCATCACAATGTCATATTCTGGCACCCGGCATTACAACAGAGATTGTACAAAGTAGCAGAGAGAACAGACGATGCATAGTGTACACAGTGCTTCCCCACCACTGCTGGCCTTCTGCTTCCTCACCCCCCGGCACAGTAAATTTAAGCAGAGCAGGCATCTGCAGTGTGGGGAAAGCAGGTGCCTACTCTGCCTTACTAAATAATCACTGCTCTGGGCCCTGCTGGCCATCTCTTGGGCCCCCTGTGAATGGCCATCGGCCTTCTCCTTGTGGCACCACTTGGCACCAGGGCGCAGTACACCCTGTGAACTTGCCCAGGATCAGCCCTTGGTCTGTCTTCCTCAATATCTGTAGTCAATGTATTTGGATGAATCCTGCTTGGAAGTACATGCACCTTTTTTTTTCTATTGGTCAGTCACTACTTGATCTATGAATAAAATCGTTTGATCAGATTCAAAGCATTTAATTGGTGTCGGCTAGCTATCAATCCTCTTTTGTTTTCCACTTCTTGATTGGACAGAAGTCACAGCCTACATGATTGGGCAGACCTCTTGCCTATCATTGCAAACTAAGCTACTTATTTGTCCCCACCAAAAAAAAACAGTATCTTCTCCATGTCATCAAGATTTTATCTGGTGCCAGGTATGAAGATGACCATGTTCGAACTTGCGCAAATCAGTTCCCCCGTGACTGCTTGGAAATTTAAATTTTGGATGAATACACACTTTGCTCAAATTTGGATTGCAGTTTCAAATCTCCAAGTCTAGTCATTACTACTTTGTGAGCAGACATCACTGGCGTTCATCCAGTAAAGCTGTAAAACAAGGTTGGAATCGAACTGTTAGAGTACATATCTCCCTAAGATCTTGATTTAATTTGTTTGAATCAGAATATGAAATGATTCCATTATGTTAGAAAAAAATACTTTTCAAATGATTTATCTACAGAAGTCACCATTAAAGTCTACAGGATTTTTTGTAGATGTAAATATAGAAGTAAAAACCTGAATGGAATTTCTAATTCAAACAACTTAAATCAAAGTTAAAGTCAATAGTGCATTACAGACTTTAAAAAATGGTCTTAAAATCCCCCTCCCTATATTTCTTTTAAATTTGAACCAATCAGCACTATTGCTGCTAAAATATAGCTTCTTCATTTATTTCCTCTATTTTCCTTTATTTAGTCTATTTTTTACACTTACTCTATGTTAAAAAGTCTATGTTTCTATATATATATATATTAAGGGAAAAAAAAAAAAAATATATATATATATATATATATATATATATATATATATATATAAAGAAAATCATAAAGGTGCATACCTGGATTTAGAAATGTAAACTTAATTTATTGTGCAAAAAAATGTTCAATGGATTTCGACCTCTATAAGGTCTTTCTCAAGATCAGAACCTATATACTTACCCATTAACCCAACACGGTAAAAAACATTCTTAGTAGTTGTTGAAATGTTATTGTATATTTCATTGACTTGTTCCTTTTTATCTGGTCTCACCTTTCTGATTTACAATATCCTATTAGAAAAATGTTTATGTACTTGTTTTTTATCTTCCATCAGCACTATGCCAGACATCATTCCTCCTTACCTTCACTGTGAATCCAGTTTCCCTTTTTGAAAATAAAGGTTCAAATGAAGTTATATCTGCAGCGAGTGGAGTTGGAAGTACCTACAGAATTTTAGGAACTGTACCATTTCAGATTGATGCAGGTAAATATTTTATCCGTTCATTATTTAAGATGTTGTGGATTGTGGATTTTAGGGGCTGTAGTTTTGCAAGATGGCCTGCACAGCCCTGTAAGCACCAAATTCCCTTGGATCATTGCATATTTTAAAACATTTTGTGTATTTCTTATGTTGCACTAGTCTGGATTAGCATTGGAATGGCCTTCACAGGCTTCTCACAGAATTTCATAAATAATCCAGGTGTTTGTTTATGTTATTATACAGTTTATATGCCTTGTCACATTATCACAACATAGGACTATGTCTGGTCATGTGATTGTGTAAATTTAAAAGAATGATAGATGCTAAGTTGCCTAGAGTTCACTGGCACCATCCCTAGCTTAAAGTAATACTTGAAGCACTAGAATAACTACAGCTTGCAGTAGTGGTTATGGTGCCAGGAGTCACTGGAGTCCTCCTTGGTTAAGTAGTAAAACCATGCAAAATAGTACTTACTGTGTATGGAACATGGGTGTCCGCAGGGGGAGGGACACAGTCTATAGATCAGGTAAGTAAGAGATGGGGTGGCAGCCTATAGATCAGGTAAGTGAGGTATGGGGCTGTGCAGCCTACAGATCAGGTAAGTAAGAGATGGGGTTGCAGCCTATAGATCAGGTAAGTGAGGGATGGGGGTGTGCAGCCTACAGATCAGGTAAGTGAGAGATGGGGTGATTCACCTACAGATCAGGTAAGTTAGAGATGGGGGGATCCACCTACAGATCAGGTAAGTGAGGGATGGGGGTAGACAGCCTATAGATCAGGTAAGTGAGGGATGGGGGAGACAGCCTACAAGAAGGGTCAGCAAGTAGAAGAAAGGGGCAGCAAGGAGCTGGAAGGGACAGCAAGGTGCAGAAAGGTAAAGTAGGAGAAGGAGCATGAAGGAACAGAAATGAGCAGGAAGGGGCAGCAAGAAGCAGGACGGGTCTGCAAGGTGCAGGAAGGGTCTGCAAGGAGCAGGAAGGGTCAGCAAAGAGCTGGAAGGTAAATCAGCACAAAGGTAAAGTAGAAGTAGCAGAAATGGTCAGCAAGGAGCTGGGAAGGGCAACAAGGAGCAGGAAGGGACAGAAGAAGCACAAAGGTAAGGTAGGAGAAGGAACAGAAATGAGCAGAAAGGGACATCAAGGATCAGAAAGAGTCAGCAATGAGCTGGAAGGGGCAGAAGGAGCACAACTGTAAAGTAGGAGAAGGAGCAGAAATTAGCAGGAAGGGTCAGCAAGGAGCAGGAAGGGCAGCAAGAATCAGGAAGGGTCTGCGAGGATCAGGAAGGGGCAACACGGAGAAGGAAGGTTCTTCAAGGAGAAGGAAGGGTCTGCAAGGAGCAGAAACGGACATAAGGAGCACAAAGGTAAAGAAGCAGAAAGAATCAGAAGGAGCACAAAGGTAAAGTAGGAAAAGGAGCAGCAAGAAGCAGAAAGGGCAGCAAGGTGCTGGAAGTGGCAGCAAAGAGCGCAAAGGTAAAGTAGGAAAAGGAGCAGAAAGGAATAGAAATGAGCAGGAAGGGTCAGCAAGGAGCAGGAAGGGTCTGCAAGGAGAAGGAAGGGTCTGCAAGGAGCAGCAAGGGACAGAAGGAGCACAAAGGCAATGTATGAGAAGGAGCAGAAGGGTCAGCAAGGAGCTGGAAGTCTAGTAATTTGTCTTTTTTGTGCCACCTGTTTTTCGAGTGAGTGTCAGTCACCAGTGTACACTGTAATTAACAATACAGAGCAAGTTAGTCTGAAGTAACTGGTCGTTTTTCATACATTTGCATTTTCTTCATTTTGCTTCCACTGTATTAGTTACATAGTTACATAGGCTGAAAAGAGACACCATCAAGTGTCCATCAAGTTCAGCCTTGCTCACATTTGTTTTTGCTCTTGATTCAAACATCTGCAGCTATGACTTGAATCATTTCAAGTGGAGGAAAAGCAAATAAAACCAACGGGTATTTGGAAAAAGAGACAGATCAGTAGTTTAGCTACACAGCATGTATCCCTTGGCAGCAGGTATCTATGCTCTAGTCTGAATCCTTGGCCTACAAACTAAGCCAATTAGAGTCAAGCCAGTTAGAAGATGAACAACATTTTTGCATTGTTTCTACTTATTTTGTAAATAATCCAGTCACATATGAATCTTGTAAATATCCTACTATGGTTTTAAGTTTAACAGTCAAAACACAGCTGGACACTGCTTGGTTTTGTGACAAATTCTATAAGGTGGACACATACATCAACACAAATACAAATGCACACATTTAGAAATACGCATATGTAAGACAAACACTCATTTCAAATATGGAACTTTCACTCTCACTGCAGTTGTGTCATTTTTATATTTTTGTGTGTGCCTGTATATGTATATTTGTAATTATTGTCTCATATGTGTGTCTAAAGATGTGCATGCCTTTATGTATGTATATGTTAGTGAGTGTCTGTGACTGTATGTCTGTGAATGTGTGCCTGTAATATGTCTGAATATGTATTGTGCCTGTATGTGTGTATCTATAAATATGTACCTACAGTTAGGTCCGGAAATATTTGGCACTGACACAATTTTCATAAATTTGTCTCTGTTCATCACCACAATGAATTTGAAATGAAACAACCAAGATACAATTGAAGTGCAAACTTTTAGCTCTAATTTAATGGTTGAACAAAAATATTGTATAAAACTGTAATTCCTTTAATATGTAGCCCCCCCTCTATTCACTTTTAAACCCATACACATAATTTAACTGTAACTTGAATTTATTTTGTGTCCAAATATTTACAGATCTAACTGTATATGTGTAGTGCTGTACATATGTGTAGGTGACTGTATATATATATATATATATATATATATATATATATATGTTATTCTGTGCTTTTCAATGATTATGTATCTGTTGTTGAAAGTTTACATTTTCAGACAAAGGGACATATTCCCTATGTAAGTGAATATTCTCTGAGTCTCACGGGGGATGGGAGATTTCTCATTCAAATTCAATCCCCACTCTTTAATCCTTTGGAGAAATATTGGAGGCTGAATTACTGCTTTTTAATAGTCTGTGAAGTAGTAGTGGACATTTGAGTAGCTCTATCACAGTAATTCACTGATAATGAGACACCAGAAGTTCATTGTTTAACTTTCTCAAAGGCACACTAGTGTTTCATTAGAGAACACTTTAAATAGATAGGTTCAAAACAAAAATGTAAAAGAAAAATGGCTGTCATACACTATAAAAAATATGGCTGCCACATACTACATAAACTACATAAACTACAACACTTACTGACATAGATACACATAGACTACAACACAAATTTCACTAGAATTATAGCAGAATTAGAAACTGTACTCCACAACGGACCCTAGTTATGGTGCCTTCCTTGTCCTTGCAGACAATTAAATTCTTTACTTATTCCACTTATTTCAGGTCTCTAAACATTTCTTCTTTGAACACTCCAACAAATACAGTAGCTTACTAGCTTGCACGTTGTGCAAATTCTGTTAACAATGCCACATTCATAATATATTCACACCAAATAACTATCTCTCATAGCCCAGATATGATAGTTAAGGGATTTCTTTACTACTACTTCTCCCTCTATAGCTCTTGCCAATCACTTGAAAGTCATGCCCTTCTGGCAAAACAACTTAAGATAGCTGCATATGATGTAGTTCAGTGTTCTTCTTCCCAATATTCTTTCCAAGAATATGACTTTCTGGCTAATCTTAAACTGACTGAGGATAAATTGGAAATCCAATGATTTAGATGCCCCAAGAGACAGTTTCCTATTCAAATAGTGCAGGAGATATTATGAACTTCCTGGGATTTTGGGCACAATCTAATACCTCTTGCTTTTATGATCCTAACTTTAACCTTCTTCTCAGAACCCTTCAGGCTGACCTGGTTTGGCCAAATGAACACAATGAATGTTAATATCCTCCCTAGGAAATTGTATCTCTTGCAGACCTTCCCAATAGCCATCTCGCATTCCTATATCTCCTCATACATAGGGGGGCTAAAAGCCTGTAGTCTTCATTTGGAATATTTACACCTCTAAAAATACAGGAGTGGTCTTCCTTCTATCACAAAATATTGCGAGCAACCCATCTATCCAGGTTAATTAATTGGCATGCACAACTGGGTGCAACTGGGAATCGAAGAGTCTAATAGCTTATTGTTGTCTGGTTAGATCCCACAGTCCTTACTCCAACACCCTTACATTGACTCTACTCTTAGAGTTTGGCTTTCTAGTAGTTTAAAATGTAACTTTACAACTACTCCAAATCCCATGCTTCTCTTAACACATTTTTCTTTAACCTCACACAATATAGATGAGTGATGTACTCCCAACTGAAAATGATAAATCTCTCCTATTTACAGCTTTATTTAAGTCATTATATCCCTCCACATGAAACTTCACAGATAACTCACAACTTCTGATCTTTTTGCCACAAATGTGAGAGACTGGCCAGAAATATTTCCATTGTGTATCAACTGTGTTATCGCCTGTCAACTCTCCAAGATATGTCGCTAAGTGGAATGATGACCTAGATGACATCTTTACTGATGAACAGTGGGCCAAAATATTTACACTAACACATTAATCCATACAGGAAACAAATTCTAAGTTGATAATAAGGTGGAACCACATTCCTCAACTCCTCCATAAATGTAACAATAAAGTTTCAAATACATGCTGGAGGACTCAGGCATATTGGGTACCCTACATATCTGGTGGGTGAGCCCAGATATTGTCCCCTCTTGGGGGGCAGTACATGCCACCATGAGGAAAATTGTAGGTGACTTGCTGTATTGAGTCTTTTCTCCTGTCTCTAAAATATCAATGCACTGTGTATTCAGGCAACTTTCTCTCATGGCCAGCATTAATCTTTCTAGCAACTTGAGCTACAGTGGCTCTTCTGTGTAATTGGACCAGGCAGCTAGCTTCAACAGCCCTCATACATCAATGAACCCTGGTATCAACCTCAGCTACAGGGACACTAAAGCATTAGAAGTACATTTGTTTGTATTCCTAACATTTTAAACAGAAATAAAATATAGGTACACTAAATTAACTGGAATATACTATAACTAATCACTAATTTAGCAGCACTTATTCTATTATAAAAAAACAAGCATTTTTTTGTAGAATTCTTTTTTTTCCTTTTTAACATTTTTCATGTCCCTACACAGTGGCAGAACTAATATAGAGAGGGCCCTGGTGCAAGAATTTTTTTGGGCACTCTCTAGCACAGGGGTTCTGAACCCAGTCCTCAGGGACCCCCTCCCAGTCCAGGATTTGGGGATTACCTGGGATTACTAAGGTGTTTAGAAAAAGAAAAACAAAAAAAACCACTGTAAACTCTAAGGTGTTTTTTTTCTTTTTCTAAACAACGTAGACACACCCAGGTAATCCTTAAATCCTGGACTGGTAGGGGGTCCTTGAGGACTGGGTTGAGAACCCCTGCTCTAGCACAAGCATGGACAAAAGGTCTTCGACTGTCTTGCAACTCCAACAATGCTTTGAAGCTGGGGATCTACAATTTTCCCAACCTTGCAAGGTTGTATTTGTAAACAGTGTTTGTGTATTTGAATGTAAGCATTTTTTTGTATGGAATATGAGTCTTTGAATGTAGAAATGAAATTTGTATGTATTGCTGCCATTTGAATGCAGTGGTGTGTTTGTATGTAGTGTTGGTGTTCAAATGCAGGTGAGCATTTGTGTCTAATGTTGGTGTTTGAAAGCAAAGTTGTATTTGTGTATTGTGTTGGTGTTTTAATGCTGGGGTGCATGAATATGCACTGCCACACACTACAACACAAACAGATACACATATATAGTGACATTAATACGCATACACATAAACATATACATATTGTCACACACACAGATACACACATATACTGGCATAAATACACACACAGATACTGACACATACATGCTGACACAGATACACATACATAGTAAAAACAAAAGGGAATTGGGGGCACACACCCAGCACATGCATCTTGCAAGAATTTTGTTGCCATAGTGACCAAAATTCATACATAATACAGATTAAGAAACAGCCGCAACACCGCATGGATCCCGGAAGCATCAGCAGTAGTTCTTCCTCTGTCCCTGCTAACATCTAAATGCTGGAGAATGGAGAGAATCCCCTGTACCACCTTTCTTGTGCTATATCTCTTTTTTTTGGTTCCTTTTTCTTTTTTCTTTGAGTTAAATTGTAGAAATGTGTTTTATGTTGGTTTGCATAGAATATAAAACTATCTCTGACATCGTACAATGGTAAATAACTTGGTAAAATGTTGTACCACTTTTTGCATAGGGTTATTTAATGGCTCTCTCAGTAATTGTCAAATGCTATTGTGTTTAATATTTAGGTTTGGTAATGAGCAACATTATTTTATTTTTTAGTCACTGGAGTGATCAGTACTACAAGATCATTGAATTATGAAATGGAAGCCAGTAAAACATTCATGGTTAAAGTTGTATCAATGGATGGTCTTGTTGAAAGAGACAGTGCTTTTCTTACTGTGAACCTTGTCGATGAAGATGAACCTCCAAAGTGTACTGGTGCTTTTGGAATTAAACTAGGTAAGATTAATTAAAGATCTTTACTAGTCTATCGATTTAGCAATATATACAAAATATAGGTTGTGCCAGCCTTTATTTTGTATATATTGTTTCTCTATCTCTTTCAGTTAGGGATTGAGGGTGACCCTTACTATTAGTGTTTTCTGCCTGCAATCATATCTATACTCAGTTGACACTCTAGCGATTATCCTATCTGTGTATTTTCTGAATTTAACAGTCTATAACTGATTTCCAATAATTATTTACAGATTATTATTTACAGATCACTTTATAATTAAAGAATGTGTCACCATATGTCTGATTGTATACAATGTTGATCACTGATAAAAAAAACAAAACAACATAATTAATTTCAGCTCCAACAAATGCATGCCAGTGTTCTCCAACCTACAAGCATCTCCTGAATCAGCGAGAAACCCATATGAGTATATATAAGTGATATCAGTAATCCTCTTTCAGCCTGCCTTAATAAAACTTAACATAAGACATTAAAAATGCATTCAATATCCAGTGGTAAAATGTCTCACCTATGGTTTTTTTATTTCAGCAAGTGAAAGGATTGATGAAAATTATCAAATGTTTCATCAGCTGTATACTGTTCCTGTAACAGACGATGATGGTCTTCCACTTTCAGTAAGACTATTTTTTTTATATTGGTGTACCTTTAGTGGTTACATTTCCAATATTAATAAAATTTGAAAAAGAAATTGTCCTTTGTACATAAAAGACTATTTTCATTCTGTTTTTCATGATCTATATGTTGTATTTTTACAGTTTACTTGTTCAAACAATGTATTATAGTTTTTCAGGGGCACTTATTAAAAGTTAAATAAAAGTCAATTTACCTTTGTCATCTTAAATGAGTAGTTAATAGAGCCAATTCATACATATTGGCTTTGATTTACTACCTTGCGTACAGACCATATCACAAGTAACATTGGTATAATCAAATACCCTTGTATCCATGAGTTTGGAGATGTTTTGGGGTCCCTGCAGAAGGGCTGGAGGACAACAGAAGGATCTTGGAGATTTCACTGATTTCCTGATTTCCTCTGCTGCTCAGAACCATTATTTTAAAAATGCAATTCATATGTCATTGTTGTCATAGGGACTTTCTTGGTTTTATGTAAACTTAAAAACATAATTAAAACCATAATAAAAATTCATTTTTTCAGCGTTTTAACTTCTCGCTATCAAATCAGAATATTTGTTGGTCGTTCTTTGCTTTTCTATAGCATTTGTTTCTTCTTATAGGGCTAGATTAAAATTGGTACTGCTGCTGATTTGCACTGGTTAATGAAAAACAAATCATAATTTTAAGTGACACCAGTCGTACGGGAAAATCTCACTAGTAATACATGTTAAAATCATTTGTTGTGTGCTCGACATATGGCCATTCTTTTGTAAAATATTTTGTTGGTAGGATGATATCATGCATTCATTTGCCTTTTGAACCACCATAACTATTGCACTAAACAACATACAAAATAAATATTGTAGATATTCAGCATAATACATATAAGGCTTGAACCAGCATTGCAAATTAGCCATATATAGGCCATCGGTTCTATAGTCCAGTAGTGGGGTTACTATTTGGGCAGACCAATATTTCACTAATTTGTCATTCATAAATGTTTTGTTATGTTTTACAGTGGGAAACACTACACCTAACAGTAAATAAATAATAATCTAACTAATAGAATAAATAAAGGGCAATGTACAAAACATTATATTTCAATGTACTAACAGCAACTACTTTTCTTACAGTATACTATAGAATCACAAACCTCTGGGCCAACGCCAGATGGATTTTTTTTTGAGATAGATAAAGCCAATGGATTTGTTTATAGAAACAACTCTTCTCCTTTAGATTTTGATGCGGGATACAAGGTAACTTCATCTTCTTTATTATAAAAAATATAAGTTCAGTTGGAGGAAATGTGCATGGATCGCAGAATGAATTGCTAAACAGCTCATTAGATTTAAAAAAAAAAAATATTCTTACTTTAAAATAAAATGCCAATAAAAATCCTCGTAAAAGTGCACAACTTTCTAGAATGATGGCTTCATGCAATCTTTACAAAGTTTACTGTTGCTCAGGATTACCAAAGAGACAAAATTGGAACTATAGTTTACATATTTAGGTCATCTTCCAGCCTGTAATAGTAATCAATAATAGCCTAGACTCAGTACCATATGTACCACGGTTGCAAGGGTTGCCGCTTTCACTCCAGGGGACCCGGCCACAGCGGCGACTCCTGCTACCGTGGGCCACTTGCTTATCTTAAGGGCCGATGCATAGCTGCACCGGCCTGGCAGTGGCATAGCTGGGGGAGGTGGTTTGAGGTTGAGGTGGGCCATCAGGTGGCCCATGCACTTAGGGCCACCCAATGGCTATGTGTCTTCAGTGACCCAGTCTGGCTGTGGTGCTTTAATAGCATGACAGGTTCCCTCTAATTATGTCATTGCTGGGAGGAAGTGACAGCCAGCCGGTAACTTCCTCTCAGCTATCACAGAGCCATGCAGGAGGAAGACAACGAGGAGGGGGCAGAGAGGAGAGGAGTGCAGCCTGGAAGATCCACTGACTCCAAACATCCTGAGCCAGGGAAGAACCCTAAAGGTAGGAAAATGGAGGGAGGGTGACTAACTAATGTTCATTTTGCATGTGTGTCTGTTTGTGTGTATCTGAGTGTATATTTGTGTGTCTGTATATGTTTCTGTTAGTTTGACTGTGGGTCTGTGTATCTATCTGTCTGACTGTGTATCTGGTTGTCTGTCCGTCTACGTGTGTGTGTCTGTGTGCAGGTGTGTGTATCTACATATGTATCAGTGTCTGTCTGTGTATCTGTTTGTCTGTCAGTGTATCTGCATGTGTATATATGTGTGTCTATGTATTTGCATACGTCTGTATGTGTATCTATCTGTGTGTCCGTGTATCTGTCTGTTTGTTTGTCTGTGTATCTGCTTGTTTTGTATGTTTATCAGTGCATTATTTTTATTATTATTATTATTTAAAGCGCCAACAAGCTCTGTAGCTCTGTACAATGGGTGGACTAACAGACAAGTATTTGTAACCAGATGAGTTGGACTCACAGGAACAGAGGCATTGAGGGCCCTGCTCAATGAGCTTACATGCTAGAGGGAGTGGATGAATGTGACACAAAAGGTAAGGGTATGGTAGAAAGTGGGTTGCTAGGATAGTGTTCATTGAAGGCTTAGTGTTTTGTTTTGATGACCATTTCAGGAGAAGAATTAGGGTGTGGGGAGGGAACGCTGTTCACAGTTTCATTGATATGCTTTCCTAAAGAAGTACGTTTTCAAAGAGTTTTTGAAGAAGTGGAGATTGGGTGAAAGTCTTACAGAGAGGGGAAGGGCTTTCCATAGGAACGGTGCAGCCATAGAGAAGTCTTGAAGGTGAGCATCAGAGGTAGGAGTAAGAACAGAGGTTAGACGTATGTATCCGGCAAAGCGTAGGGGCCTAGACGGGACATATTTGTGTAATAGTGAGGATAAGTAGGTCGGAGCAGCATTGGGTAGAGATTTGTAAGCAAGTACCAGGATCTTAAATTTAATCCTATATCTTATGGGAAGCCAATGTAGGGACTGACAAAGGGGGGAGGCGTGGGAGGTGCGGACAGACAGGAAGATGATCCTCGCCGCTGCATTCATTATATACAGTAACGGGGCAAGTTGGGAACATGTAAGAGCACTGAGAAGCAGATTACAGTAGTCAAAGCGAGAGAGGACAGTGGCATGGACAAGCATCTTTGCCGTATCAGGAGTTAAATAGGGTTGGATGCGCGCAATATTTTTGAGATGTAAGCGTCAGGATTTCGCGATTGATTGGACATGAGGGGTGAAGGAGAGGTCGGAGTCAAAGAGAACACCTAGGCAGTGAGCCTTAGAGGTAGAGGGGATGGTAGCACCATTGACTTAGAGGGACACAGACAAGGGAGTAGCAACACTTGAGGGAGGAAAGACCAGAAGAGCACCAGGAGAGAGCAGTATCTCATAGACTGAGATAACGGAGGATGATCAACAGTGTCAAAAGCAGCAGAAAGGTCGAGGAGAATTAGGATAGAGCTGTGGCCCTGGGATTTTGCAATGATAAGATCATTGGATACTTTGGTCTAAGCTGTTTCAACAGAGTGATGAGCACAGAATCCAGATTGAAGCGGGTCAAGCAGGAAGTTGGATTCGAGGAAGTCTGCCAATCTTGCATGCACAACTCTCTCAAGGATCTTCGAGACAAATTACATTAGCGAGATAGGGCAGTAGTTGGACGGAGAATTGGAGTCAAGGTTGGGCTTTTTCAGAATCGGGGTTACGGTTGCATGTTTGAAGGGTAGAGGAAAGGTGCCAGAGGAGAGGGAGAGATTGACAATTTTAGTGAGAGGCAGAGCAAGAGAAAGAGACAAAGTGCAGATGAGATATGAGGGGAAAGGATCGAGTGAACAGGTGGTGGGGTGGGGTGGGAGGAATGGAGCAGAGCAGATATGCAGATGCAGATGAGCATAGGACAGCTGAGTGAATGTGGTTAGGGGAAAGGCTGGTAGTAGATGGAGAGAGATGAGAGATCTCTTCCCTGATTGAAGAAATTTTCTCAGTGAAGTGAGCTGCAAAGTTTGTGGCGATCAAGTTGGCAGGAGGAGGATGCACAACAGGGCACAGAAGAGAGTTAATAGCATGAAACAGTCATTTGGGCTCATGGGAGAGTGTGGTTATGAGTGTAATGAAGTAGTTTCTTTTGAAGAGTAAAGAGCCACACTGTACTCAGCATAAATTTATAGTGGCGGAAGTTAGACACAGGGTGAGACTTTCTCATCTGTGTCTGTATGCCAGTTTGTCTATATGTCTGTATGTGTATCTTTGTGTGTATCGGTTTGTATATGTATATCTGTGTCTGTGTCTATATTTGTGTGTCTGTGTGTGTATCTGCATGTGTATCTGTGTCTCTCTTTCTGCATGTGTGTTGGTGTGTGCCCATATGAATCTGTGTGTGTCAGTGTTTGTATGAATGTCATTCTGTGTATAAATGTATGAGTTAGTGTGATTATGTGCATAAACCTCAATATTCAAATGCCAATACTACACAAAAATACACCCCTGCATTCAAATGTCGACACTACATACAGACACACCCCTATATTCAAAGGCATTGTAAACCACTGCTTTCAAATGGCAAAAGTACTTAAAAACAAGTAAACCACTGCTTTCAAATGACAAAAGTACATAAAAACACACATACTACACACAAGTACACTCCTACATTTACACACATACTCCATACAAAAACATGCTTACATTAAAACATACAAACACTGCTCAATGCTAAGTACAACCCTGGAATAACTCTTTTACCAGTGCTTATTAGCACCTGGGGGGCACAATGTCCAAGTTACTGGCAGTAGAGGAGCGCACAGCAATCCTTTCCAATTCATGTAGCATTGTCAAGCTTCGCCAGCACCTCTGTTGGGTACGCCTGCTCTGGAGCATGTTGTAGCCTGTGTAGAGATGGTGGGGATATGACTCACCTCATAAACCCTGATCCCTACATTCCTCACAGCATGGCGGCGCCTTGGTAATTAGGAGTGAGAGGAGGTGCAAAGTCAGCAACCATCCCAGGAGGCAAAATTTCTAGCTATGCAGTCTGGGGCCCGTGGTTGCTGAGTTACCAGCAGCAGGGAAGTGCTGTGCTGCTACCCTCTTAGTGCTGTATGTAGAATGGCAGAGTGGTCTGACAGGAAGTGCTCACCTGTCAGATGGGTACCACGGTGAGCAGGTACCAGAGAGGAGTGTGAGAGAGACACATGATTGAGACACATGGAGAGTGTATCCCCAAAGAGGATTACAAGTCATCACAACCAGAGCAGTGATGCTTCATGTCTGCTGTAAAAACAGTGATAACTAACAGAAAAATAGACAAAGAGGATGATGTATAAATATGTATGTTCCCTAGGTGTTTTTATATAGCAGTACATTTCCTATGTTTAGGAATTCAGGCTTATGATAAAGGCGACAGATACAACTGGACTTTCCTGTGAAGGAGGACTGATAATCTATATCAATGATTTAAATGATGAACTACCAATATTTGAGTAAGTAATTAACAGTATTGTATGTGTGTTAATTCTTAAACAAGCAAGTTAAAAAGATCACTAATGGGCATCATATGTAGTAGTGATGATGTCTATAAATCCTGGAATCCATCTTTACTTATGTTGTTAATCCAATTTCAAACAGTAAAAATAGCTGTCTACTCAGCTCCTCTGTCTCCTTCTCTGGTCCCAACACCAATGCAGAAGTCTTTCCCTTAAGTACTGATGACAGGCTGAGAGTGTCAGCTGACACTCTCAATCTGTTACCAGCCACCCACTAAGAGAAATGATTTAGAAAGGTAAATCATAAATGAGGAAAAATGACAGCCAGGAACTGCAGGCACCATAATAACTTCATTGAGTTAAATTTGTTATGGTGCCTGGAGTGCTCCTTTAACCCCTTTGTGACCATGGACAAATCAGGTACGTCCGACAAAAAACGGTCCTTAAGGACCGCGGACGTACCTGATACATCAGCGGGGAATTATAGTATCAACTCTAGAGTACATCTCTAATGGTATTGCAGTGATGCCTCGATGTTGAGAATACCCCCCTCAATGCCGGTGGCCGCTCCCCCCTACCCTTCCTCTCCCTCCCTGTGTACTTACCGATCGCTGCCATTCCCCCGCTGGTGAATGTGAAACTGAAATGGTGAAAGTGCTTTTTGTACTTATAGCCCTATAATTTTCCAAAAAAAGCTAAGAACATGTTAATATTGGGTATTTCTAAACTCAGGACAAAATTTTAAAACTATTTAGCATGGGTGTTTTTTGGCGGTTCTAGATGCGTAAAAGATCTTGCGGGTCAAAGTTTGAAAAAGTGTGGTTTTTTAACTTTTTTCATCATATTTTATAAAAACAATTTTATAGTAAATTATGATATGATAATAATAATGGTATCTTTAGAAATACCATTTAATTGTGAGACAAACTGTACTGTATATAATATGTGTGGGTGCAGTAAATGAGTAAGAGGAAAATTACAGCTAAACACAAGCCCCACAGAAATGTAAAAAGAGCCCAGGTCCTTAACGGTAAGAAAATTGAAAAATGGTCTAGTCACTAAGGGGCTAAATATATAGTTCTTTCCCATTGGTACCTTCAGTGTTCTTTAGATTTTTTATTTGGATGCTAGTCAATCACTAGACTCTCTAAGTATTGCTCATATGATTACGTCGCAAAGAGTCATTGAGTGCTTTCCCTCATTTTTGAGTTAACTTGAGTGATATGACAAAAAACTAAAGTTTCTGGGGCTGTCTCAAAACCTCAGGCTCTAATGGCTATGATGCTTAGAATACCCCTTAATAAACTTAGCTATAATGCAAAACTTTTTATATTGCTATTTTTACACAGAAAAGTTGATAATGATACAGTATACGTGCCCGAAAATATCCCTCCTCGATCCATTATACATGTGTTTACAGCAACAGACAGAGATGCTGGGGACAAAATATTCTATGATTTTGCAGGACCTACGCGAATATTTTCTATAAACTCTGGTATGTAAAATTTTATATACATAATTAGCAGTAAGATCATAAATGTAGTTTATTCCCAATGTATACATGTTTTAATATTAAAGTTACCTGATGCAAAACCATTGTAAAGCAATGTCTACTGTTACTAAACCTTACCATACCTTCTTCTCCAATAATGAAAAATACTTCTTTCACCAAATAAAAATATTAGAAAGGGTTTATCACATCAACAAACTGTGTTTTAAAAAAAGTAGATTTTGGGAAGTGTATAACTTTCTGTAAGTGTAAATTTCTATTTCTTTTTCAATAAACAGCTATAACACATAATACATAACACAGCAGCTTAAACTCTTCAGATATAAATATAAATGTGTCCTTGCATACTCTATGTCCCAGTAATAAATTATTAACCAGCATGAGGCCATCTCTTAAGAGAAAACAATGTAGGTGTGTGGAATAACCTTCCAGCAAATAGCCATATTTATTGGACTTCAAGCAGTCTTATAGGCTCAATGCTTTGAGCTGAAAAACAGCATCAAGAATACATTTTATTTATGGGACAGATAGACCTGGAGCTTGTTTCCAACCTTAGATATTGGAAAGTTCAAACTGAAGAACTTTCCTGCCTGGTAAATGTTTTATCAGTCTAGTAAAATTGCTAGTGTGTGTTTACAATATGTGCAAAGTATTTAAATAGTAACTCATGTAACTAATAGAATTGTGACAATTCTGCTGCTAGCTGCTACCAGTCTGTAGCAGCTATGAATTAGATTTAGCCAAATGTCTTCAATGTGGCTTAATTATTACAGTTGAGCACTTCTCCTCTGCCGAGATAATCCATCCACCTCACAGGTGTGGCATATCAAGATGCTGATTAGACAGCATGATTATTGCAAAGGTGTGCCTTAATCTGGCCACAATAAAAGGCCACTCTAAAATGTGCAGTTTTACTGTATTGGGAGGATCCGGGGGTGGTCCGGGGGGACCGAAAAATCAGTCAGTATCAGGTGTGACCACCATTTGCCTCGCGCAGTGCAGCATACCTCCTTCGCATAGAGTTGATCAGGTTGTTGTGGAATGTTGGTCCCCTCCTCTTCAATGGCTGTGCGTAATTGCTGGATATTGGCAGGACCTGGAATACGCTGTTGTATACGCCGATCCAGAGCATCCCAAACATCCCTGTACAGTGAAAACCGGGATTCATCTGTGAAGAGAACACCTCTCTGTTACGGTTGCCTCCAGTCTAGCTGAAAGTTGGACCGCAGAAAGAATGCTCCTAGTGCTCACCAAAGGACCAGCAGCACCGTAGACACCATAAGTACTGTGGACTACATGAACCGCCGCTACTGGGCTGGGATCTCGCCATCTGCTATCCACCCTGGACCTATGAACAGGCTCCAGGTTCCAGTGGGTGAACTGGAGAGCAAAGCAGGATCAGGAACAAGAGCTCTTACAAGAGCTTGGTAGCGAAGGTAGTATGAAGAGCATAGCAATCCCTGTAGTGATTATAGCTGTCCCCTCCAAACTCAAGTCAAAGCTGCGAGTTGAGGGCCAAGTAGATCTGTTTAATTAGCACCAAAGGACTTTCTTTTATACGAGTTTTCCTACAAAGTTACTACCCACGTGGACCTTGTGGTACACAGGACTCAGTGTTACAGCAACCAATCAAACACATTACAGTACAGTCAGACACTCCCAGCCAAGGCACACAAACCCTCCCCTCTGCCTGTGATATAATTACTAAACACAATGGGCTAACTTAATTATCACAGGCAGGAAAATGCACAGTTTTACACAATATTCTTAACTTCCAAACCATACATGCAATTTCTATAGGATACATATTCCGAACCAGCATAATCAGAATACAAACATATTCAAAAATTATACAATTTGGTCCAGTGGTTCAAAAGATAGATGGAAGTCATATTTGACCAACTGCAAGCATGTTTCCTAACAGAAAGAGTTCCAAAGATTTGGGCTGTGCGGTCGTTCTATTTCACATAGAAAAAAGACTAAGTCCCATTCAAATGCACGAACGGTTGCTGTTCGTGCAAATATCCCATTATAAAGTGGTGTTCGAATAGTCGAACACACTTTGATTTCCGTCAAAACATCAAAGTTGGGGGGGCGTGGCCAACACGGAGCAAGATGGTCGCATAGAAATCTGCTCCGGCACCTGGGCACCTAATCTGATGTAATCTCACCATCCAAAGCTGCATCCAGCAACCTACCACCGCGATGGCACAACAAAGGAACAAGAAGGGCTCGGCGAAGACTGAAAAACTAAACTTTTTCAGCCAGAAATCGGCTCCTGCAACTCCGGCGGACCAGGCCTCAAACGACAACGAGGACCCCGAGCCGGATTATACCATGCAGAGCTCACAAACTGAAGTACCACTAAACAACCAACAGCTTACAAAAGCTGATCTCTCAGCAGCCCTAGAGACACTATCGAACAAATTAATAACAACTTGGCAACATACAGCCGACTCATTAAGAAAAGACATACAAGAGTTGGGGAAACGAACATCCAATATGGAGGACAAATGTGATGAAATCGCAATGGCACACAACGACCTCGCCACTACTGTGGAACAATTATCTGCCCAACTAACCACTATGGAAGAAAAACTAACGGACATGGAAGACCGTTCACGCAGGAACAACCTCCGCTTGAGGGGGGTTCCGGAAGAAATCAGCAATGCAGACTTACCGGCATATGTTCGGGGGCTGTTAAAGGCGCACGCACCAGAGATCCCAACGGAAATGCTGCTGGTGGATAGAGTACACCGCATCCCCAAGCCGCGACACCTACCTCCGGAGACACCAAGGGATATACTAATGAGGGCCCACTACTTCCATATAAAGGAGTACATTCTTAGAAACAGCAAGACACCCGCCAATCCACCAGACGAGTATGCCACAGTTCGAATCTATGCAGACCTCTCGGCAGCCACTCTCCGGAGAAGAAAAGAATTCTCCCAAGTCACAGGTGCCTTGAGAACGCACAACATTCGCTACAAATGGGGTTTCCCCACAAAACTCCTTATTACAAAAGATGGAACGACAACAGTAATCCTAACCCCGGAGGACGGCATGAAGAGGCTGAGAACCTGGAATGTATCACTAACACCTGACCTCCAGGATAGACCAACGATCCGTGAACCGCTTCGGCCCGAATGGACAAAGGTCCCGAAGAAACATTAAACATCAGACGACAACTGGTTTAACGGCAAGACTCAAGCAAGAATCCAAAGCAACTGGCTCCAAGGGTGAACAGACCCCATTGAAACAGCCCGACCTTCGACCGCCCACAACTCAAAGACCTTTAGCCGCGATACAGAGGGTCCCATCGCCAAGTAAGCAACCGGATCCGGGGCTCCCGCCATCCCTGTGACGAAGCACGGCAGAGCAGTGGAACTACGCGGGGGACCCGGGTCTGGAACCGTGGATTGGGACTGATGCCGCCCCGGTAAGACTACAAACATACCAATCACCACCCACACCCGGGTGTGCAACCCATGTAGAACTTTTTTCTTTTGGCTTCCCAGGACTCAGAGACTCAGCCCCCCTACTATGGGGCAATTTTAGCAGCCCAGTATTGAATGGAATGGGGGGTCTGGGGCTCTTTAGGGGGCGAGAGGCAATTGACAAGGTGGGCTACCACAACGGAAAGCTCACAGGGTAACGGGATCTCATGCGCCCAGGATGGGGACCACTTTATCCCGTTAGGGGCCGCACACAACAGGACAGCCCGCCCAGCGGGAACTCATGGGCAGAGAGACCCGGGTGACCATCCAGCGCAAACACCTATATGAAACACACCAGGAAGGTATTAGATGTCCCAGTGGACACACCTATTGCCCACCAGGGACTTATAGCAGCCGTTGCCCACCCTGGCCACGAAATTCTAGCTACATCATACAAGAGGGGGAAAGGCCATTCCCCATGACATATGAACCGGACCCAGCTATCGAAGCCAAATCTCATGAGTAACTTGCAGCAAACCATAAGCAAAGCCCAAAGACCACGTAAATGGAGGCACCAAGAAACTCCATCCCCCAAGGTGTGGAAAACTTGCACCTTGTCTCACATCGAGACATCATGTACATAGTTAACACCCCCACTCCCAGTTCTTACTGCCCCAGTACCCTTTCTCTTGTTCGGTAAAACAAATAGGGACCACACAGGTTGACAGAAACCCTAATCACACAAGTATAAAATGTAGCGCCGCACCACCGTATAAATATGTTGTATTAGCTACTGCCTACAGGGGGTCAACCGGGATCGCACTTGTCATTACAATAACTTGGTGCACATGCACTTCTGGCAAGCTATTTACAACTACACACAAATGGTGAAGGTACAATCAGTTAATTCACGCGGGCTAAACACTCCACATAAACGAAGATTATTATTGGAAGAAGCCCAAAGACACAAAACCGATATATTATGTATACAAGAGACCCATTTTGTGCATAACAGAGTACCGAAATTCGCAACTAGAGACTTCCCAGTGCAATACCACTCAACATACTCATCCAAATCTAGAGGGGTCTCGGTCCTAATACACAAATCTATAACATTTGAACTCTTACAACTGAAAAAAGATACACAAGACAGGTTTGTCATACTACACTGCAAAATAAATGATACGCAATACCTCCTAGTCAGCGTCTACAGCCCAAATGACAATCAAAGAAATTTCTTGCATAGGATATTGACAAAACTGCCAACCACGATCCACGTTCCCACAATAATCTGTGGAGATTTTAACCACATACTACAGCCCACATTAGACACTACCTTGCCAGCCACATCTCCCAGACACAAAATCTTAAGTAAACAAGCAACTCCACTGACACGTCTAATCTCAGAATATGGACTTTACGACGTATGGCGAACACAGCACCCGGATAGCCGGGAATTTACTTTCTATTCCTCAGTCCATAACACTTACTCTAGAATTGACTACATTCTAGTGTCAGGAGACCTCCTACCATATGCCACCAACAGCACCATAGGCGAGATAACATGGTCAGACCATGCGGGGATATGGTTAACACTCAAGGATAATTTCGCATTCCGGGGGGCAACTCCCTGGCGCCTAAATGACACACTTTTAAACAACCCGGAATTTAACCAAACACTGGACACAGAGTTAATGTCATATTTCACCCGCAACACGGCACCAGAAATAACGCCGGCAACTTTGTGGCTCGCACATAAAGCAGTAATCCGGGGGCACCTTATAAGCAGAGCATCCCACCTTAAACACAACTCAGATAGAGAATATCTGACTCTACTTAGATCCCTTAGGGACGAAACATCAGCCCAAATATCACAACCCTCCACCAAACGACAGCAACGGATACAGCAAATACAAAAACAGATCAACAACATACACATGTTGAAAACAGTTCATATCGCAAACAAACTAAAATTCACTACTTACACACAAGCAAATAAAGCAGGGAAAGCGTTGGCGTCGATACTTAGGCAAAAACATTTGAACGCCAAAATACCCTTCCTCTTTAACGAGAAAGGAAACAAAATATTTAACCCGCAAGACATAAACAATATGATGGCCGACTATTATGATGCATTATATAATTTAAACACAGACGGTGACACCCACCAACCTCTCCCATCTAACATAGATGAATTCCTATCGGCAATGAGACTACCAAGGCTGACCTCAGACAACATTTTCACTTTAGAAACACCCGTCACACTTAGCGAAGTACAACAAACAATAAAGACACTTCCTAAAGGGAAATCCCCAGGACCAGATGGGTTTACAAACTTATATTATAAGACCTTCTCACATACGCTAGCACCCCATTTGGAGAAACTATACAACCATATATTAAACACGGGAACCATATCCCAAGAAATGCTGATAGCCCATATATCAACTTTACCCAAACCTGGCAAGCCACCCCACAAATGTCAGAACTTACGCCCAATTTCACTATTAAATACAGACTTAAAAATACTAGCCAAAATCTATGCCACTAGATTGGGGAACATTTTACCATCCTTAATAAAGGACGACCAGGTGGGCTTTGTTAAAGGACGACAGGGTTCTGACGGGACCAGGAAACTCATAAACCTTATCCATAATATTCAACAGACAAAGGAACCCAGTGTGGCCTTGTCACTGGATGCAGAAAAGGCATTTGACAGGCTGCACTGGGGGTACCTGGAGGCGGTCCTCCAAAAATACAACTTCCCACAACGCTTTTTGAAGCTAGTTTCCGCCCTGTATGACAAACCAACGGCGAAAGTGATCAATGGAGGCTTTGCCTCCAAACAATTTCAAATCTCAAACGGCTCTAGGCAAGGTTGCCCACTATCGCCCCTTTTATATATCCTAGCACTAGAACCACTAGCACAAACTATCAGGGAAAATCGGGGGTTACTGTGGGCAACAAGACGCACAAAATCACATTATTTGTCGACGATGTGATGCTTACCCTAACCAAACCTGAAACATCCTTACCGGCACTACAAGCTGTAATCCAAAGATTCGGCAACTGCTCATACTATAAACTCAACGTTGCCAAAACCCAGGCCATGAGCTTCAACATTAGAAACCCAAGACTCTCAAACCTGCGAGCTGCCTTTACATATGACTGGAGACAGGACCACCTTACCTTTTTAGGAATAGCGTTAACACAACATACACACAAATTGTACCAAGCTAATTACGTGAAACTCCTTCGGGAAATAAATACTCAACTACAAAACTGGAGGGGGAAATATGTGTCGTGGATGGGTAGAATAGCGGCGGCAAAAATGATGGTGCTGCCCCGTTTACAATACCTATTCAGGACACTACAAATAGATCTCCCAAGACAATTTCTCACTAAGACCCAACAAGCAATAAATACGTTTATATGGGGGGGGAGAAGAGCCAGAACCGCAGCAGACATCCTATACAAACCCTTCAAAAAGGGGGGAATGGGGGTGCCGGACGTCTCGCGATACTATCGTGCGGCCATAGTAGGAACACTAGTACAAATGCACCACCACAAAAATTCACTAGCGTGGAATCAAATAGAAACGGTGCACACTGAGGGGCTACCACTACACACACTAGCCTGGATGCCAGTTGACAAAAGGCCACACCACAAAACGATATGCCCAACTACGGCAACGACACTGAAAGTGTGGGATAAATTAGTTAAGAAACAACAATCTCGAACGCGGATCTCCACAGCCTTCCAACTTCAGGCACTAACTATCCTGATTCCAGGATTTGAATATAAAATATGGCACGCTCATGGGGTAGTCTGCTTGTCGCAGGTTCTAGACAACGGACATATGATAGACTATGACACACTACGCAACAAGTACAATCTTCCACCTACCACCTTCTTCCCATACCTACAATTGAAATCGTGGGTACTCAAACACTATGATAATACACAAACCCAGGGACACTTACTCACAGAGATAGAACGTTTATGCTTAGCAACAAAGCTTCCGCAAAGGCTACTATCCACCTTGTACAGTTTGATCGGACCAAATGACCGTATAGAACAATTAAAATGTATTAAGGCATGGTAAAAGGAACTTGGACAAACACTGACGCCAGAAGATTGGTCTAGCACATTGAGGGCCCACAAAACGCTGACACTAAACACAGCACATATCGAAATCAGTAGGAAAATACTATATCGTTGGTACATGGTGCCAACCAAACTCCACAAAATAGATCGCACAAAGAGAGACACATGCTGGAGATGCGGTGAGGCGCCAGGCAATATGGTACATATATGGTGGGCATGCCCGAAACTAACCCCCTTTTGGTCCGAAATATCGGACATATTAAAAAACATCACGGGAGTAAAACTGCCGCACACTCCACTCTCCTTTCTGCTATTAATCTGGCCCGTAACACTGCGAAAACCAGACGCATACATTGCATATGACATCATTATTGCAGCCTTGACCGCCATCAGTAGAAGCTGGCTAAAACCCACACCTCCTAGTGTGCGACAATGCATGGAAATGGTAGAAGTAACAAAAACATTTGAAAAAGCAGCAAGAGGTACACACACATCTAGAGGACTCTGGACGTTAGCGTGGAGCAAATGGGAAATATGGAACCAGCAAAGCTGATACCCCCATAACCTCTAAAATTGAATAGGGTGCAAAATGGGCAAAACAAACCCCCCTCTACTGTTGTGACATACTATTGTGCCACACTATTGTGACACACTATCGTGACACGCTATCATGACATAATTATGTCCCTAGTAGAATGGTAGAACGGTATCCCTATGAACTAAACCGAACTCGTCCCTCTCCCCCATCTCCCCCCACCCTCTCCTACTAAGTTTATCCCCCCTTTTTTTGTTCGTACCACTCCCCTACGCCAAAGCGAATTTACCACACACATACATGGAGGATATCTCTCTAAAAACAATAGCCACCGGCCTCAAAGAGGCATCTATGGTGTACCCATTAGACCATGTTAACAAGGCGAATTATAGATGTAAGAAACTATAATATGTAACTGCTGATATATGATTGTGATGTGTGAACTTGGAAAATTTGTAGCAAGACTTCCCTATTCCCCTCTTCTCTTCTGTATCCCCACTGCATTTATACTTTTGAATGACAAAGCAATAAAAAAAAAAAATATCAAACACAAAAAAAAAAACATCAAAGTTGCAGTGAAGGTAAGATTCAGCGGTGTTCGTGCCGTCGTGTATCCGAATTCAGTTCAGACCGCGTTCGACTAAACAAGATGGCCACCGCCACATGTTCGACTATATATTCAACAATTAATAGACCCCGGCGTGTGTCCCTAATTAAGTTGTGGTTTCTGCTTTTAACCGCAGTTTAAGTGCTTATTCCAAGGTGGTCGCCGTTCGTATGCCGAACACGAGGCAGCGGCCATCTTTTTGTCATCTAGTGCTCAATGGGAACTGAGAGTAAAATCTCTGGAACTAGAATCGGCGGGTGATTTACACGAATCCCGCTGAACTACTGGTTGTCCCATCCGTTCGCACAACAACCATTCGAACAAATTATAGGGATGTGACTCCTATACACCATTTGTGAGATCTGAGCGCAATTCGTATGTTTGATGCACTCAGATCTGAGCTGTCCAACGAATGGTCGGTTGGGCTATTTTTATAATAAAATATAAACGTTATATATTTTTATGTATTTTCATGTATGCAACAAAACCTGGTATTTTCTTGCGCTTGGAGATAATTAGGTTAGTGTAATTGTTGAAACCAATTATCTCCAAAATAGGAGGGAACATTTTCAAAAGATACTTTGTGCTCTCATTGGTTGGGACATTGCATTGTCCAGTGTACCATCAGGTCCAGAGGTGTTGTCCTTTAGCCTGACAAATTGTGAAAATTGCCATGCATGAGTGCCATTAAAACCAGTTTGTTTTACCCTCAACTCGCAGCCTTGACTTGTGTTGTAGGGAACAGGGGATCCTAGCTCTACTATAGCTAGTGGGATATTCGACACTTGCAGGTTTTGCCGATTGAAGTAGCGTTCGTCTCTCCGAGTTCAGGAACCAGGATATCCAAGCGGTCCAACTTTTAGCTAGCCTGGAGGCAACCATAACAAGTATAGACAAGGACATTGGGAGTAAACCTAATACAAGAGCTACCAGGAAAGAATTCAGGCAGCCTACATTACCAGTCTTCTATACCCAAAATTAAAGCCGAGTGTACTATTTTGAGAATTAAATACACTATAAGGGATCTCCATACAATAATATTATTTCTGCTATCTACCCTTATGTCCACTATATTCAGAACAGCAGAGGTGCTGGTTAACAGTAAAAGTGGGGGATGGAGGTTGCCAATGTACTATAGTGAAACCTCATACAGTAGAGTGAATACTAATCACCCTTATATAGAGACTCTAATTAACTAATATAATACTTGATCAAGGTCTAAAGGCTGAAACGCTGTGTTTTTGTCATTTCGATCTTCAATAAAATACCTCTACTTTGTGTATTTATGTATATGTATTAACACTCCTCCCAGCCACCCACTTTGCCCTCTGCTATACGGCTTGACGCATTTCCACAGGACCGACTTCCTACTCTTTTCCTCTCTGTCTCTCTTTGTCACCCTTCTTGCTATGTCTTTCCTATACTCCTCCAGTGTTTCTTAGGTTTTTTTTTTATATATTTTGCAAAGAAAAATGAAAAATACTCTGATGGCTTGTTTTTTTTCATTTGCACATGGAAGTACACTAGGAGCGCATTCTACAACGATGCTGTTTTTTCAACTACTTGTGCATTTATAATGATACTGGTCCATGATTTTTGCTACATTGTATTTTACATAGCATGTGCTATTGTGTACTTTCTAATTTTGATGTTATGTATTATTTATTGTCACTTTTAATTATTGAATGACCACTACTCACAGATTAGTCACTTTCTTATGAAGCATGAAAAACACACTATGTGTAAATTGTCACCATAGCAAGTCTGTCTGATAAAAAAGGCTGTCTCTGAGCAGGAATTATTAACCCTGAGATTTGTCTTTTTTTATAATTTTATGCTATACATATTACAGATACATGTATTTTTTACTTTTGAGGTGAATTCCTGAATGTTCTCATTTACACAGCACACATACATTAATTATATAACACATAACTTGATGTTTTATATCATGTGTCTGACCTTTCCTTTAATGTTATTGCCTTTTGAAATGATTTAAGATTTCCATGTAATGCCATATAGTGAACATGGATTGTTCCTATAGGGTGTATGGAGAATTCACTCTTTTTAATTTCTTTGCATAAAGCAAGAATCTGGTGTTAAAAGTTTAAGAGTTAGCGGCTGTTGATAGGTTAAGCAGCAGTAGTGACGGGTTTGGAAACCAGTTGGTAAGTAGCGGATAGTGGTTCCCATAGAGAATAATGGGAGCTATTAGCCACTGCTTAACAAGCAGCAGGCAGAAACTCACTGTTGCTGTTGGTGAAATTCTGTGTTTGGTAAAAAGCCACTACTTTCTAACAGTAGCGAAACATAGGGCTTGTTGCCAATGTTGTTGCTCCTTTTTTCTGGCCCGATGCTAAGTGGAGCAATAGGCTTTTGTAACTTTATATAAGCTAGATGTATGTTTGATCTATTTTATTATGTAATAGGAATTTCCATATGTAAACCGTATTTTTCTTTCATTTTCAGTTACTGGTTCTCTAATTATTGAACAGACTTTCGATTATGATAATCCTGATGAACCCAAAGCATTTGCATTGACTTTAAAAGCATCAGACAATGCTAGTCATGTAACTTACTATAACATTCATGTTTACATTGAAAATATAGATGAGCCACCAGTTTGTGATCCAAGCATTTCCACTGGAAGAGGTGAGACACTTGATTTCTTAAAGTTTTCATTTATAAATGCACATTTGAAAAATCATCAAATATATTAACTTGTTAAATGCAACTTCATCTTCAAATAATTCAACAACAAAAATAGTTATTAGTTGGGATTTAGGAAAATTATTATAAGGAGGTTGACGTTTGTGCAATTATATTATACCCCTTATAATGTAAGGTATGAAAAACATTCAGTTATCCCGGGATATCAGTAGTATGCGATCAAGTACCCAAGACTCATTCGGTATGGGGTCTTCTTTAATCCTCTGAGGAAAGATAGTCAACCAGGTGGGACATTTGGCATCTCTATCAGTTTGTGTCTTTTGAGCTGCTTGTGGTAAACAACTATTTATCTACAACAAGCAGAGACTCACAGCAGAGTGTACTTAAGGTATTTGGCAATAAAGGGGAAATTGACTGCTGGTACCACTCCCACCTTAATTTAAAAAAAAAACAGAAGTTATCATTCCAACTCTCTGTGCCACGCTCCCCCTTGTGGTTCTTACCCAACCTCCTTACCATGTATTTCCCTCCAATCCCTTTTAGCCTATTTTGTGTTTCACCTTATCCCCCTTACGACATTTTGTGTGTTTCTTTTTGCCCTTTAATTCATTCTGTGTCTCCTTTCATTCCCTTGAGTGGTTCTTCTTATCCAACTTTCTGCCTTGCTTTCATTGATGTCCCCCATTTCTCGGTCCTGTTTTGTAGCATGGATGACTATGTTTTATTAGATTATTTTGCCTTGCTTGTCAGAGATGCTCAAGGCTATAGGTGTTCAGCATGTAAACTAGTGAAGAGAGGATGAGATACGACATGCATGCTACCCTTTCTATTTAATGTACACCACTCAGAGCCTAGAGGAACCCTGACAGAATGGATAAAGGAACATGAAGATTATGGTTCCCTTTGCCACGCTACTAAGCATAGTATACATCTATACACATTAAAGGGTAACTCTTACAAGAAGTGAGACTTGCCTGCCAGAGCACTCTGATTGGCTGACTTCCAGGGCTGATGTTGCCTGTGGTGTATAACCTTGTATGATATTCCAATACATATTTATTATTGTTTTTCCATTTGATGTATATTTCCAGATCTTTTGGATACATGGGAATCCTAGATCTCATATAGAAAGGAGAGTCTCTCCTTATAAATTCTGTAAATACTGAACATGATTATCTTTGTGTGGGGAGATGGGTACTTACCTTTTTTTCTATGTTCATTCTTATTTATTCTTGTAAATTAATTTTCTATTCCAATATATAGCATTGTATAAAATAGACAAGTAATGTGATATGCGATTAATATAGTGTGCCGAGTCTGCACAATGTTGACAAATAAAGAATATACAAATAGACAAATCTACTTACGATCTGAATACAATTTGTCTCTGTGTAGATCTTGAAGTTTGCTTGAATATCAAATGCTCTTTCATGGATCAGCTCATTCTGAAACTGAGTTTATAGATGGGCAATGAAGTAAATGTTATTAGTTATGCATTGTTTTTCATCTAAACAATAACTGTTCAGTACTTCGGTATAGAACAATAAAAAGGCAGAGTCTTATAATAAATGATTGGTTTACTTCCCTTTTTATATAGATTTATATCTCTAAAGACTCAAGAACTATAAAAAATGTTTTTCTTTTTAATAATTTCAACAAATTTTACATAGGCATTGTACTATCTGTGCCTGAGACATTTCCAACACAGACAGCGCTGTACACTATTCTGGCTAAAGACCCTGATGAAAATGATGATGTTAAGGTAAGTTTATTAGACAGTGAATTAACAAATGGATAATATGTTTTCACTTCTAACCATTTCTGCCTGTTGCTTGAGAGGACATACAGTATGATAAATGAATTGCTAAATATATAGTTTCTGTTGTCTGGTGAGCTAAAAAGGAACCTGCCACTCAGGGGTGTACCTAGAGCATGTGGCACCCTGGGCGGGTCCTGTGTTTGGCACCCACTCCACTCCCCCCCCCAAAAAAAAACACCTACTAAATTTTAAAAATGTGTTTTTTTCTTACATTTTTTTAAAAAATGTATTGCAAAAATGTATAAACTTTTTAAAACCCCTGCCCCCTTCTACAAAATCCCTGCACCTCCTCACACACAGTTACAGGCAGTACACACACAGTTACAAGCAGACAGTAATACGCACACAGTCACATGCAGAAAGTCACACATATAGTCACAGGCAGTCATACTCACAATAACAGGTAGAGAGTTACACACACACAGTCAGTTACAAGCAGTAACACACAGTCATGCACACTGTTAGAGGCAGACAGTCACATATACAGTCACACACACGGTCACAGGCAGACAGTCATACACATAGTTACAGTCACACACACAGTTACAGGCAGCATCAGACAGTGACAGACAAGCACACAGTTACAGACAGACAGTCACACACAGTTATAGGCAGACTGTTACACACACACAGTCAGTTACAGGCAGTCACGCACACAGTTACATGCAGATAGTCACACACACACACACAGTCACAGGCAGACAGCCACACACACAGTTACAGGCAGCATCAGATAGTCACATGCAGACTGTCACACACAGTCAGACGGGTACACACAACCACAGGTAGTCACACACACACACACACATACACACAGTTACAGGCAGACAGTCACACAAACACACAGTTACAGGAAGACAGTTACACACACACAGAGAGAGAGTTACAGACAGACAGTTACACACACAGTTACAGGCAGACTGTTACACACACACACTCAAACACACACAGTTACAAACAGAGAGTTACACACACACACAATTACAGGCAGACAGTTACACACACACACACACACACAGTTACAGGCAGACAGTTACACACACATACACACAGTTTCAGGCAGACATTTACACACACATACACACATACACACAGTTACAGGCAGACAGTTACACACACACACACACACAGTTACAGGCCCCACCCCCACTGTTTAGCTCTGCCCCAAAATGATCATTGCCCTGCCCCCTCCTTCCTTCTGTGTGGCCAGTCTAGCTGGTAATTGCTGGTCTCTGCGTGTGAGCTGTGCGGCACCCCAGCTGCCATGGGGCACAGCTCACACATCCCGCTGTAGCCCTCAGACCAGGGTCATGGCACCCCCCCTTCCTGGTGGCACCCGGGGTGGACCGCCCCCTCTGCCCCCTCTGCCCCCCATAGTATGCCACTGCTGCCACTACTTACCTGACCTTTTAATCCCCTGCTACAACCTCATTATATAGGTAGGTGTTATACTTCTGTAACGCCCACCTCTGTTCAGCCCTCATTCCTCTTGTGATCTTTACTGATTTTCCCTGCTTGCTGACAGCCATGGCTCTAACATGCTGGCTTTGTTGCTAACAGGATGGAATCTGAATGGAGTGACACACGTTACTCCATGCCTATACTACCTAAGCAGCGATAGCAGCACTGGCTAGGGAGTTACCATAGCAAACACTGTGTATGCACCATGTTTGCTATGCATGGTGAGCAGAATGACCACTTGTATAGACTCTAAATAGGATTTTCTCCCAATCTGTGCATTTGAGACTCAAGATAAATGCTACATACATATACAGCCAATTTCTGCTTTACCTAAACTGAAACATACTTCTAGGTAAAAAAAATAAAAATTAAAATTACCATATATATAAATGACAAACTAGATAGCAGGTATAGATGGTTATGGAATAATAATTTCAGTAAAAAGTAATTTTAAAATTACAAAGAGTGTGTAAAAAACGCTTAGTTGTGTTTGAATATGATTTCATTGCCCCTGAATAAAATAAAGCCCATTGCTTACAATTTATAGTTATGACTTTATTCCAGCTTATTTTTGAGACAACTACTCTGTTGGTATCCAGCTAGTTAGTTCCAGGTAGTTATTGCAATAACTTCTGATATCCATACTAAAACTGATAAAATATTTTAATTGTTCATACACTTAATAAATGTGCTACTACTATTATTATTATTGGCATTTATATAGCGCCAACTTTTTCCACAGTGCTTTACAATGTAGTTAATGGATTTCAAATTGATGTTCATGTTTTTAGTTTTGTTTATTCCTTATTTCTGTAGTTTGAGATTTCCATCTTATCTCCTGATACTATTACCTATTTCAAACTGGATGAAGATACTGGTATCATTTCTACTACAGGCACACCTCTGGATTATGAAAAAAATCCAAAGGTATGGAATAAAATTGGCGAAGAGACAATTGTGGTTCTGTATATAAAATGTAAATTTTGTAAATGTATTCATTTAACTATTGATTCTCAATACATTTATTTGTGATAATGATGGCATCCTTGAAAACAATCAGATATTTTCTACTCAAAAAAATTTAAATTGCACACTACGTATAAAAAAAGGTGTTTCTATGTTACATTTTTTCTCCACAAATAGAATTTCTTAACAACATAATGGGTCTAGTACAAATAAAAAGAATAAACAATGTAATTTAATAATAACAACTCATAAATAGACCGTTTTGAAATAATTTAGAAACTTGTTCACCTCCAGGTCTCAGGTTAAAAATTTCATGGGCTTGCATCATTCATCCATTTATTTTTTTCATGGTCAGTATATATAACTGACTAATAATAATTTATAACATAATTTGGACTATAACAATGTGCAGAAAAAAAGTTCTACACATATTAAGACATGCTTCTTAATGGAACCATATTTCTTCAAGGCTTGTCTAACGCCACTTTTTTTTCAAGCGACATTAAACCTTTTTTTTTTGTAGAGTCCCACCATGCTTGAATACTCCATATTTTATTGGGTCACTGGTGAAGAAAAACTGATCCAACACCTGCAAAATATACTATTGTACTAATACATGTTTTCTTTGTTTCTTTCCATATTTAGAAGTTTGCAATCCCAATCAAGGTTAGCAATACAAAGCATAATGCCAGCTCCTGCACAGGCTTAATTACAATTTCTCTTCATAATGAAAATGACGAAGCTCCAATTTTTAAGTGAGTAGTATTTATTTTTATGACACTATATACAATTTCAGAAGCAACAACAATGCTCAATCTCTCAGTTGTTAATAGAAAGTCATGAGTAAAATTACAGGGCAAATGTGAAAAAAGTAGACATTACAGTTAAAGGAACACTCAAGTCACCATAACAACTTAATATAAATGCAGTTGTTATGGTGCCAGGAGGTCCCTGGACACTTCTCGACCAATTTAACCACACAGACTGTCTCCAATGCCAGATTTGCAATTCCCCCAGGTGACAACTTACATCTGAAATAGATTTTAAGGAAACATGGAGTGCTGCCGGCAGCGGCACCAATGTTTGGCTATAGAACAGTCATCTGATGCTCTAAGCCAATTAGTAGCTCACCATTCATAAAAAAGGTCCGTACCTTAAACTCTATTTCAGAAGCTTGGGGGAACTAAATATCCGGCTTCGGGCAAATGAGCAAACCAGGCAAAGGCCCTGTGGGCCGCGATGGCAATGAGCCAAGGCCTGCAGAGTAAGGTCAGAAGATCAAACACACAGATTGAACCCCTCACACACAGACACTGCACCCTTCACACACACATCACATCCCTCACAGTGCACTCTGGATGCAATACATTACAGACTTAAACTACACAACTCTGGATCATCTACACACACATACACACACAGTCTGGGTCCTCCACATGCACTAGATCCACCACACACATATTAGATCCCCTATAGACACACACTGTACCACCTACACACGCTACATTCATGACATACACACTCTCAATCCCCTATGCACACCCTAGATCCAACACACACTGCATTCCCTAAACTTATACCTTCTACAACCCCTAAACCCCTAAACTTATAACTTCTACAACCCCTATACACACAACAACCTCTTTGCACACATTCATTATATTCCCTATACACACTATGCCCATTATACACACACTCTATCACTCTCTACAGCCTCTAGCCACACATATTACACCAAAAACACAACACAACTGAAACCGACCTGTTTACACAAAACACCATGCCACAATCAGCTCACTCTACACACATGCAATTCCACAAGCAGGATCCAAACACATGCACAGTGTGCTTTCCTGGTCATTTTGTCCTCTAGTATCCCACTTATCAAGACACCAGAGAAAGGTTACAAGCAAATAACGCGCGCCTGTTCATAAATTTGCCTTTGATGTGCAGAACCAATGAATTTCCTTTTTCTCATGCGAGAGATCTTCATCAGGTATTATGCACATGGGCTGCCCTGGAAGAGCATTAAACCAACATGCTCACTTTGGTGACGACAACCCCACACACCTTCCCACTTCTCATTGGGCCGCTGTGATTAAATGCTTGTGACAAATTTTTTCAGTTTAACCACGTCAGATAAGAAAGAGTCTAAGGGCTTGCTGTGACCTTAACAACTTAATTTAGATTAAGTTGTTATGGTGACTGGAGTGTTCCTTCAAATACATTCAAATTGTCTTATCATTTGCTATTAACTTTATTTTTTATATCATCACAAATTTTCTGAAAGTTAGAGAGCCAAAGATTAAATGAAAAAAAAAAAAAAAAAGTTCAGGAAAAGGGCTGTGTGTAAGCAGTGTTACGAAGATGAGCACAATACTTATCAATCGTTAACACATTTCAACTTTTGTTTTGTACTGAAAATCTGAGAATTGGAATATATCTTAACCAAACAACCAAATAGTTCTGACACAGACTTTCACGGGTATTGAAACTCAGTATGTTTAGAGAAGGGATTTTATGCACCACTTTGGCAGAACCAAAAATTTACATACTCTCAAAGGAGAGAAACTTGCAGTGAAATATGAATATGTATATTGTTGACAAAGTCACCAACACTGCTGTTACTATAGAGACCAGGTTAAAGGAACACACAAGGCACCATAACCACAACAATATACTCTAGTCGTTATTATACAAAAGGTGCCCTGGTGCCCCCTCATTGTACGTAGTTAAACAATTTTGTAATAGTTTGATTTCCTGCTACTGTCAGACACCACTCCATACCTTTTTGCAGACAGAAACGAGAGTTGTAAGCTAGGAGCTTCCATTAGGTATCCTAGGCTAAGCAACACAGTTTAGGGTAAATACGTTCGCTGAGAGCTTCAGCTATTCGCTCTAGGGTAATTAAGTCATCTCTAGAAAGTTTCTGGCTACAGTGTAAGCATGTAGCAGCCTCCTCTAAATGGCTTGACTACTTACCATGGTCCTCCTGGCATCATAACCACTACAGTTTCCTTTAAGAAAACCATAATTTAGAGGAATGTTTTATACTCTTCGACCTTACTACTTTATTCGGCCAACCGCTCATTATGTCTCAGCCCCACATTTACAAACAAGGATATATGACCTGTTCTAACCACTAATTATGCCCTCACTAACCACTTATAGAGGAGTTTTCTATGCTGTAGCCTATAGCATGTGATACTGGGAACAATTTGTTTGAAAATCCTTTGTTGTATTCCATTGATGGTAGAGATGTTATGGAAGTGTGCTTCTTAACATTTTTACATTTAAAAATGATTCATGCTTTTTGACTTTTGATTTATGCCAGTATATATTTTTTTTCCTACAGAAGCTTCACAGACAAACTTAATGTTCTTGAGAACCTTACTCCTGGTATGGTGATATACACATTGCAGGCAGTTGACCGAGATGTCGATGACAGTGTGCACTATGAATTTGCAAATTTTTACAATGGGTTTGTTATAGATGAAGGTAAATTTGAACATAAAAATAAAACTATGAAGCTCTTAATAATTTGTCCATAATAATTAATGCAATAATGTACATAGTGATCTGAATTCTCCATTTTCAAATATCTATAAGTACACTATCTTTTACAATTTGTCAGAAATGTCAGTTTCTCGATATTGTCTTAATTACCATTTGTTTTTGTTTTTTGCATTATTTTGCATTCTGTGTACAGAGAGGCTATCCATTGCCTTTTCTGCATGGTTATAAAACATATAGTTTGTAGCTTATTTACTTTATACCAATTGGTCAAACATGCACAAGCATGAGAGTGTGAGACATGTTTGTGAAGAAAAAAGTGCATCTACATATATGCCTGTTTTTCAGTGTTTAAATTCAATCAATTTACACAAATAAATATGGTTAATACTTAAAAGATATCGTAATACTAATCACTCTCTTTTTATCTAAGATTCTGGAGAAATCAAAGTTTCCTTTCCTTTGGATTATGAAAACCCTTCAACCCTTCATGAGCAAAGATTGGTGGTTCATGCTGTTGACAATGACAGAGTTCATAGTACAGAGGCAGTAATAATGATGAAACTTATAGATGTCAATGATAATTATCCTCAATGTGACGGTTTTCCGAACGTGTAAGTAATCACAATTTAGAGTAAGGTAGCATTAAATAGATTAGTCGTTTCTAATATTTTTTTTTTATGATGTACTGATCTAATGTTTAATAAAGATTATAATTTATATATTTTTTGTTGATTGTCATACAGGATTGAAGTTGCAGAAACAATTCCTGTTGGCACACTTCTTATGTCACTATTATGTCGGGATAATGATGTGAATGCCCCAAATAATGTTCTCAAATATAATATGGGAACTCTTGATGTTTTTTCGAATAATAAATTTACTCTTACTGGCAACAAGCTAACTGTAAGTTTTTAAAACTCTTCCTCTCAGAACAATGCAGTCTCTAACCACACCAGTATTTTATTTTGTTTTAAACTTTATAGAAAATTACATGGAAATAATACTAAATAATCCTTAAATCACTATACCTGTATAAGTGTCTCTAGATATGTGGATGGCATGATTTCTTAACTTTACTTCTTTTTTTTATTATTCTTTTTTTTTTTTATTTGTTATGGTTTTTGTAATCAACAAGGTAATACACCATTTACGCAATAGAGCATAAAGCAAAAACGCTTTTACTTGCATAAGTACAAAATTCATGTTATGTGACGCATACAAGGTTGCAGTTTGTACATTTACAATTCTTTAGGTTTCAATGCTTAGTGTTCACTTAGTGAGCTACACATTCTTCCCAAGCTTTGCTGTTGGAAAAGATGAATGAGTTGATAAGAAGGGAAGAGTGAGGTGGAAGGAAGGGGAGAAGAGGGAAAAGAAAAGGAGATATTCCACCGAGTGGACTCTGCTCCACTCCTTGTAGTAGTAGAAGATGCTGTATTCAGGATTATAGTAGCGTTGTGGGGAATCCTAAATTTGTGCTGTGAGTTGTTCCATATCTCTGATATTGGTCATTATATTATACAATTCCACCTAAGAAGACAGTGGCAGCTGGTTGCAGTGTTGAGCCAGTGCTCTCTTGGCCACTAGGGCCACGGCAGAAATTAGCTTGTTTTCATTCCTCGGTAGGCTTTCAACTGGCCTGGGAGAAGAAAGATCCATGGATTGGGTTGTATAGGTTTATCTAAATCGTGGAATAGCCATGAGGCCACCTATGTCCAGTATGGATAGAGGCATGGGCTTTTCCACCATTGATGGTAGTATGCCCCAGTCTGGCCACACTCACCACCTCCCCCCCCCCCAACACCTGTATTTGAAGTAAGCGTACTGGTGAAAGTTACCATCTAAAGAGGGTTTTGGATCCCTGTTCTTTATGAGTGAACCATAGAGTTTAGATTTAACCTCCCAGATCCTCAAGAGAAATGTCCTCTTCATTTTCATGCCACTTTCCCATGTATGGGAAAGGTGCATTTACATGAGAGCCCGGGAGCTAGCTCCTGGTAAATTAGAAAAATGGATCCTGTAGGGCACTGTCCCTGAAGACATAACTTTTCAAACCATGTGGGTCTCTTCATGCCAGCCTGTACTATTTTGGCTGTTGAAACAAAACCTTTCAATTGTAAGTATTTTAAAAGATTGTGACAGGTAAGAGTGGCTTGTTCTTGAGTTTTGAGTATGTTTTCATACAGACTTCTGTTACCAGGTCCACAATGTAAGAGACTTATGCTTCCTGCAGGGAAATATGGGATTCCTGTTTAGAGGAATTAGTGGGGAGCAGTCTGACCTAAATACAAACTTTAGCGAGGTAGAGTTCAATTTGTGCAGTGAGTGCAAGAGAGGGGGGCAATGAGTTGGAGATGCAGTGCACACCTTCTTTGGGAGTCTGATAAAGCAAACCAGGTAACAGAATGACGTTCTCTATATTCACCCAACATTTAGCGAGAACCAGAGAGTGCCAATTAACCCTTTAAGGATGGCAGGTGTTCTATGTCGTCCTTACGGGGGTGGCACTAAACGCCAGCATAGAATGTCCCCACCAGGTCCCTGCCAATCCCACACCAGTGGTAGTGATCCTGGGGACTGCCTGGGAGCTAAGGCAGCCCCCCTCTGCCAGATTCAGCCTTTCCGGGACATGTGATTGCGGGGTCCTTGCGATCACATGGCTGGAATAGCCAGCTTGTGCAGTGTCTGTGCCATAATACAGTGAAGTGTCATAATACTGTTAGCTGTTCTGGTGTTTTGGAAAGTTACAGGGCCAAATGCAACACATTACATTTTTCAGTCTATACACATTGAAATTTGCCAGACTGGTTAGGTTGCCTTTGAGACCATATGGTAGTCCAGGAATGAAAATTACCCCCATGATAGCATACCATTTGCAAAAGTAGACAACCCAAGGTATTGCAAATTATGCATGCCCAGTCTTTTTTAGGAGCCACTTAGTCACAAACACTGGCCAAAATTAGCGTTCAAATTACTATTTTCCATTTTTCACACAAACATTTATGAACGCTAACTTTGGCCAGTGTTTGTGACTAAGTGATGCAGTTTGGGGGCATAAATAATTAGTTTGGAGATTCATTGCCATTTGCCAGGCCAGATAAAAGTGTCGATGTGCCTTTGTACAGTTTTGAGTTTGTTATCATTGGGGCTGTTGTCAGGAGGTCATGAGAACAGAGATCGTTGCAAACTTAGAGATTTTCACCCTAAACTCTAAGACTACAGAATATTGCTCCAAGAGATTAAACAAGTGAGGTAGGGAGGTCATGGGGCAACTAACTATTAAAAAAAACATTGTCGGCATAGGCCACCACTTTGTGTTCATTAGTTTGGATTCTATACATTTTTGTGTATTGGCAAATAGCACCGAGTAATGGTCCTATACACAGAGCAAATTAAAGTGTGGAGGGCACCTAGATGTGTATATGTATTTATATATATATATATATATATAAAATACACACACACATTTTGTGTGTAACTATTAAATTAAAACTCAATTTAAATAGTTAATGTTAAACAGTTGTTTTGTCTGTCACTTTCTGTTAATTTTAACCAAATTTTACTAGGTTGGACCTAATTCATTAGACTATGATAATGAAACATTTGCTGGAATGCAGTTTATACACTCCCTGCTAATTGAGGTTTCAGATTCAGGAGCACCTTCTCTGACAAGTAAGAATTCTCAGTCATTTATTATTGTGAAATTTATAATCTGAGTAAGTATATAAATTTCTAAAAACAGCATATGTTACTGACAGAATCCTGTGATTGAGTTTGCTGGCTGTATTTACATTGGAAAAGTAAGAGTACCTGTGAAGTACTTTCAAATCTATTGTAACCAGCAAGTTGAGCATTTATACTCTAGAAGCAGTCAGGTTTTTACTTCTGAAGCACACACTGGGGGCTGGTTCAGGGTGTACTGTACTTACTGAATAGCAATATTTCATAGACTTCAGTAGAGGATATGATATTCAGTAAAACCCTAATCTGCTAAGAGAATCTAGCCCTGAATATATGATCAAATTATGAACTTCAACAGGTGCAGAGCTTTATGACCATAAAGTGATCATTGCAGTGATAATGATAATCAGACAACTTTCCTTAAATTAAAAGAATAACCTTTTATTTTTTGTGCTTTCCAATAAAAACAACAGTTGTAAATATGACTACTATGCTGATAGTTGGCATATTAGAAAACCATTTAATAAAAATAGCCATATATAATAATACAGTGGAATCTCCAAACTCAAACTTAATCCATTCAAGAAGGCTGTTTGAGAATCAATTTGTACCGATACTTTTTTCTCAAATTTTGTTTGAATACCAAATTATTTGGGTAAAGGAGTGTTCAATTTCCAAGGTTCCACTATAGTTACAATAAACAGTTATATATAACATGGCAAAATGTGGATAGAAAAATAAGACTCATGCCTGATTTGTGATTTTGCCATGGGGTAGGTTTACTAATTAGTCCACTAAATTACTTTTATTACATATTTAGTTTTTTGTTTATTTTTTCCATGTCTTTGTTAAAAATGTTTTGATACCGGAGAAACTGACGGAAGCAAAGCACAGAGGGATGGACACAGGTTTCTTCAGGAAGGAAGAGATTTTTTATTGGATCACCGATCGGGACTCAGAGGGACTAATGTCACCAAAAATACAGCAAGTTCTGAGCCCTGAACAATAGTGCAGGCTCCCTATATAGGCACATAACTCCTCCCATATTAAGCTCCACCCGCACATTCTCTTGACCAATCATTACAAATAAGAATTAACTTCCTGCTTGACCGCATGGCTTGTCCAGCACAATGGAGGAGGGGAATACTACATCCTGTATTCTTGCACATGCTCCGTACACTACTGATCGTATCTTGCCTCGTGCAACCAACTGATCGATACGTCAGCATATGCACGTACACATGCCACGTGGTAATCTCGGCCTACTAAATTTATTTTTACCGAGATTCCACCACATTCCCCCCTTTGATGCCTCTTGATATTTTACAATTACTTGAGGCATCACTTAACCTTGGTTTGCATACACCACAAGTTACCTTTGAACCAGACCAGACTTATCCTATGATGTGAATCTTCAACACTCGTCTTCCTGCATTGGTTCTCCCTGATCTAGAGCCTTATATTTATAAATTGCCATTATCTGTGCAGCAGCCTTCCTCTCTGCTATATTTTCTATCAGGCTTTGCACAGACCTAACTACTAAGGGTATAAGACACGGCAGGAGTAGACACAACATTAAAATCAGTAGGACTCCACCTACCACTGCCTTAAGCCCTCCAAACCACTCATACCAGCTACCAAACCAACTACTTGGATTGTACCCTTTCCATACCTGAGTAGGCACATGCACTAGTTTAACCATATGGCTAGTAAGCTCAGCTATTGCTTGCCCTTCGTCATCTATTTGAAGACAGCAATTGCTCAGGTTAAACTTCCCACATACACCTCCCTCTACTGCCAAAAGATAATCCAAGGCTAATCTATTTTGGTAAACTGCTGTCCTCATCCTGGTATTATGCTTCGCTAGAAGATTGAGCGCTTGTGATGTCTCGTTAGTAATGATCTCAACCACCGCCTGTAACCTTATAATGCGGTTGAGCATATAAATAGGGGTTCTATAACCAAAGGTACCATCCTCTGCCCACGTGGCTGGCCCATAATAATCTATAATACGCTGGGGAGGCCATTCATTATCTTCCCAGGCACCTATCTCTATGGGTCCCCTTTTCTTCCTATGATTCACATCATACACTTTAACACCTAAAGTCTCACCTGTTTCAATAGGCAACAAGAAGAAGGATGGTTTTAACATACCCAACACACATGCCCCTTCCCAGTCCTGTGGTAACTCCGAATAGGCCTTCTTACCACAGATCCAGTACAAATTCGCTGGGGCTCTCCAGTTAGATGTGATGGATAGATCAAACCATACGTCCTTTAAATTGGCATATCTTGCAAACGGGTTAGATGGTTCTGAGACATTTGAAGCCGACCACCAAGTTGTATTCTTTGTATCATCATCATAAGCTTTTTGCCCTAGACAAGTTAATTCTCCTACAGAAGTATTATACATCATTCCTTTCCTCGCTATGCAAACATAACCTATGATGGAGGTCTTCAATCTCCACTCAGATTTACCTCTAACACTCATATGATAGTCGGCTTGTGTAGATATTAATTGGTCAACTGCCTCAGAACCGGACATTACCTCCTTTGCTTCCCAAGGCCATTGGTCTCCCATGTTAGTACCTCCACACACATAGCAGTTGGTAACATTAAGACTACCGGCAATACTCTCGGCTAAATCAATGAACAAGTTTTTAGCATTATGGGGGATCTTATTATCTATGCTCATCTCTTCATAAAAGGAATGGTATACTTGATGAGTTTGGGAGGTTACCGTATCAGTCTCTATCCCTATAAACAATATTGTCCCAGGGTCTAAACCCGTCCCATATATTTGAAACCCAAATAAATTACCATATTTATCTAAGAACTTGTCAGGGTTATTTATAAGTATATGGATTGGATTGCATTCCATAGACTTACAATATGGATCAGTAGGCAACTTAGTCACAATCATGTCCTTGTCTGCTGTCTGTCCCCAAGTCGCCCACCCCACACAAGACCAATATGGGCAGAAGTTATAATCTCTATTTGGGCATCTTGGACTTACATATTTATTTTTACTACTGGGACAAATATATTTATCGTTAGACCCATACGTCCTCTCCCATCTAAGATCCCCACATACATTCCACGGCTTTCTACCACTTGATATTGCTTTACACGCATCAAATAGCAGAGCACCTGAAGAATATATGGATTTTAATACCGTCTTATTAATTAGGGTTCCCTGAGAATCTCCATTTCTGAGAGTCAACCAAATTGTACGGGGTTGATACTCAGGACTGAAGCACTTAGGTTCTCCTACTCCTAAATGACACACACTATATTCTATATTTAAGTATCTACATCTTGATACATCTCCTTTACACTCATATTGCGAATGCCAAATTAGGGTCTGGGATATATGGTTACCTGTTCTTGTAGTCTTAATGCATACCTCACAGCTAGGAGTGTTGGTACCTCTACCTTCCTGAATATAAAAATACACATAAATAAACATTATTAAAAATACATCTTTCGTCGTCATCCTCAGTCTTCGTCCGTGTGAAGGCACCTCAGCTTCCAGGATGTAAGGACTGCAGGGAATGGAGTTCTGCTCGTCTTCACAGGGGTCCCCTCAAGACTTTCCCTGACTTATACACTCGTTGGTGAGTGGACAGGCTTTATTATGGCCTTCTCACTCACTTACCAAGTCTCTGAAACAATAAAATTTGTAATCTACAAGGTTCCTCGTCACTCCGACTGAGTCGTGCGTTTTAACCGGATCTTGCAGGGATTCTCTGGATTTGCTGTAACTTGCCAGGAATCGGCTGCTGCTGGTTTAACCCTGGAGTGATGTATCCACGGAGCCACTTCGGCTACTTTTATCGCTGTAGGGGTAGACAGAAGAACAACATAAGGACCTCTCCACTTGGGCCCTAACGGCACATTATTCCACTCTTTAATCCACACTTGGTCGCCTGGGTGGTAACTATGAATTGGGGGATAAATATTCACAGGTAATCTATCTTGTACCCATTTCTGTACCTCCTCCATAGTCTTACCCAACTCTACAACCTGCTGCCGGGTAATTCCTTCTCCCAACTGACTCAAATCCCCCCTTAAGTTACCAAGCACGGGAGGTGGTCGCCCGTACATGATTTCAAAAGGAGAGAGGCCCATCCTTCTGGTAGGTGTACTACGGATTCGCAATAGAGCTATGGGCAAGAGAACGTTCCACTTAAGTTGGGTTTCCTGACACATTTTAGCCAACTGATTCTTAATAGTTCTATTCATTCTCTCTACCTTACCAGAACTCTGGGGTCTATATGCCGTATGAAGCCTCCACTTTATACCAAGCATATGAGTCAATTGTTGTAGGCACTGATGAACAAAAGCTGGACCATTGTCCGATCCTATAGAGCAGGGTAGTCCATATCGGGGTATTATTTCTCGTAGCAGGAATCTCACGACTTCTCCTGCTTTCTCTGTACGAGTAGGACATGCTTCTACCCAGCCTGAATAGGTGCACACCACTACCAGCAGGTAGCGATGTCCACCCGATTTAGGCATCACTGTATAGTCAATTTGTAAATCGGACATGGGAAGTCCCCCCATAAACTGGACTCCTGGTGGCTTTACTGGTCCTTGTCTTGCATTATTTTTAGCACACGTTACACATCTACGTACAATGGCCTGAGTCAAGTTGGACAATCTTGGTATGTAGAAATGTTTTCTGAGAGATTCTTCTGTACTGTCTCTCCCAGAATGTGTCCCGTTATGATAGTTTTGGACAATTTCTACCGCTAGTGATGCTGGAATAACTATTCTTCCATCTTCTAACTGATACCATTTGTTCTCCAAATACTTTCCAGGTTCAGTCCTTAACCACTCCTCTTCTTGAGCTGTATAAATTGGAGTCCATTGAGACAGTGGAGTTGGTATAAGAGCAGCTATATGCCCCACATATTCCTGTCTTCCTGATTCAGCAGCACGCTTAGCTGCACTATCTGCCATCCGATTCCCTTTGGTTACATCACCATCTCCTCTCAGATGCGCCCGACAATGTATAATACCGACTTCTTTCGGCTCCCACACTGCTTCCAATAGTTGTAGGATCTCAGCTGCGTATTTGATTTCTTTGCCTTCTAATTTCAATAGTCCTCTTTCTTTATACAAAGCTCCATGGGCATGAGTGGTTAAAAACGCATACTTGGAGTCCGTGTAGATGTTCACTCTTAAACCTTCAGCCAATTGTAACGCTCGTGTCAGTGCTATCAATTCTGCCTTTTGTGCTGATGTTCCTTTTGCCAGTGGCCGAGCTTCTATCACCTTGTCTATCGTTGTTACTGCATATCCTGCATAGCGGATCCCTTCTTTTACATAACTACTGCCGTCGGTGTAATATTGAACATCAGGGTTCTGGATGGGAAAATCACGAAGATCTGGTCTACTTGAAAATACTTCATCCATTACTTCCAAACAATCATGTTGACTTTCAGTAGGTTGTGGCAAAAGGGTAGCTGGATTTAAGGTATTCACAGTCTCTAAATGCACTCTTGGGTTTTCACACAACATTGCTTGATACTTGGTCATACGGCTGTTACTAAACCAATGATTTCCTTTGTAATCCAACAACGTCTGTACTGCATGTGGAACTCGTACATAAAGTTCTTGACCCAGAGTGAGTTTATCGGCTTCAGCTACTAGCAGGGCGGCTGCAGCTACAGCTCTTAGACAAGGTGGAAGTCCGCTGGCCACTGCATCCAGTTGCTTAGACATGTAGGCAACAGGTCTTTGCCATGATCCCAAGTACTGTGTCAATACTCCCACAGCCATTCTTCTTTGCTCATGTACATACAGGTAGAATGGCCGTGTGTGGTCAGGTAGACCTAATGCTGGGGCACTCATCAAAGCCCTCTTCACATCTTCGAATGCCGTTTGCTGTTCTTGAGTCCATAAGAAGGGGTCGTGCTCTGTACCTTTGATAGCTGCATACAGAGGTTTTGCCAGTATCGCGTAGCTGGGAATCCATATCCTACAGAAGCCTGCTGCCCCCAAGAATTCTCGCACTTGTCTTCTATTCCTGGGTATCGGTATTTGGCACACAGCTTCTTTTCTCTCTGGCCCCATAATTCTTTGACCTTCAGAGATATGGAATCCCAGATATTTGACAGTTGGCAAACACAACTGAGCCTTCCTTCTTGACACCTTGTATCCTGCCTTCCAGAGAATGTGTAGTAGATCGTGCGTTGCTTGCTGACATACTTCCTTTGTAACTGCTGCTATCAACAAGTCATCTACATATTGTAATAATACACACTCTCCTGGGATAGACTCGAAATCTAGTAGATCTTGACTTAGAGCTGAACCAAATAGGGTAGGTGAATTTTTAAACCCCTGGGGCAATCTTGTCCAGGTCATTTGGCGTTTCGAGCCCGTTACAGCATTTTCCCATTGGAAAGCGAAGATACATTGGCTTTCTGCGGCAATTCGGAGGCAAAAGAAGGCATCTTTGAGATCTAAGACTGTAAAGTAAGTAGCCCCGCCCGGAATTAAAGCAAGCAGGTTATATGGATTGGGCACGACTGGATGTATACTAACAACCGCATCATTGACTGCTCTCAAGTCCTGCACAGGTCGATACTCATCTGTACCGGGCTTTTGAACAGGCAGCAATGGGGTGTTCCAGGGGGAAGTACAGAATTTTAGGATACCATACCGTATGAACTTATCCAGATAAGATTGGATGTTCTTCTTTGCCTTCTGCGGAATATGATAGGCTTACTGGATAAACCCCAAGTTTTAGTTCGATTTTAATAGGTGGAATATTGCGGGCCAGTCCTGGTGGGTTGTTCTCTGCCCAAACTCCTGGTATGTTAAATAAGGATTCATCACTCCTCGGGTTTTGGCTAGTCAACACTGTATAAAGTCGCCACTCTTCTTCCTTTGGTACGGACAATGTCATAATACCTGAGGGTCCATTAAACTTTAAGGATGTTGTTCCATTTGGTAGGAACGTAATCTGCGCTTGTAATTTGGATAGCATATCACGTCCCAGCAATTGGACTGGACACTCAGGCATATAAAGGAATTGATGTTTTACTACGTGGCCTCCCAATGTACAGAGTCGACTTTTAAGAACCGGTTTTTCAGCACTTCTTCCAGTTGCTCCTATTACAGTAATAGTTCTTCCAGATGGAGGAGCAACTTGATTAGTCACCACCGAATGTTCAGCACCAGTGTCGATCATAAACGCACTCCTTTTTCCCCCTATTGATACATCGACCATAGGCTCCGCTCGACCAAGGGGGATGGAGCCCGGTCGGTATCAATAGTCCTCCATGACCGTGTCAGCCAATCCCACAAAGTCCCTACCTTCTCTATCGCGGGACCTTTGCGCTGCTGGATAGTACCTATCTTCCCTTACACTTCCTCTGTTCCCATTACTCCCTCTATTACCATTACTCCCTCCGGGGCCTCCTCTACCTCTCGCTCTGCCTCTAAAGTTTCCGTAACCTGCCCTGGGTAAGTCTCTCTCATACTGCTCTCTTTGCGGACACTCGTTCCTCCAATGCCCTTCTTCCTTACAGTACGCGCACTGATTCCTACTCAAAGGCTCCCTATTCCATCTACCATCGCCTCTATCTGGGCCCCGTCTATCTACGCCTGCGATCGCTACCGCTAGCATATCTGCCTTTCTACGCATCTTGCGCTCTTCCTCTTTCTTACTTTCTGTTTCCCTATTCATATATACTTTGTTCGCTACCTCCATTAGTTGGGTGATAGACATACCTGCAAACCCTTCTAATTTCTGTAGCTTGCGCTTAATATCTCCGTAAGCTTGGCTGACAAAGGCGGAGTTTACCATTCGGGAATTATCAGCGTCTTCCGGATTAAAGGGGGTATACAAGCGGTATGCCTCCAATAATCGGTCATAAAAGACACTGGGCGCTTCATCACTTTTCTGAATCACCTCAACTGTCTTCGACATGTTAATAGCTTTCTTCCCTCCGGCTTTCATGCCAGCAATTATAGCATCTCTATAGGCTTTAAGTTGAGCCATATCTGCGCCATTTACATTCCAGTCAGGATCGGTGTTAGGGTAATGTGTTGCGGCCCATGCTGCCGGATTGGCTTGATTTAAAGCACGGGCTCTCTCCTCTAGCGCCTTAATGGCCGCTTGGTTAATCCTTGTCCTTTCCTCATTATTGAACAATGTCATTAATAACTGCTGGCAATCAGCCCATGTCGGGTTATGTGTCTGAACTATCGAGGTGAACAGATCGGTCATAGCTTGTGGTTTCTCAGTGTACGAGGAATTGTGGGTCTTCCAATTCAAGAGATCGGTAGTCGTGAACGGGACATATACGAAGACTGGGTCAGCATGTGCCATTTGACCTGCGGCATCGATATAGGCTGACCCAGGATTCAGACGAAGAGGCATCTGATAATGTTTTAATTGTTGGGTACCGGTCAGTTGTCGGGTTAGTATGGGGCTACGTGGAGGGGCGTCAGTTAAAGGTTCCGGTCGAGAGGTAATAGGGCATGAGGATGTGGGAACTTGATTTTGGGAAAAGTTAGTGAATAGTATACTCCGAGCCGAGCTAGAAGAAGCTTGACCGGAAGTTTGAAGTGGCGCCAAATCAGGATATTCAAATCTAATGGGGGTTGGTCCTGGTTCCGGAAGGGGAGTTTTAATACGAGGGGGGGTGGATTCTGTACTGGAGGAGGAAGCGGAAGTGGATGGGGGCAATAGGGGAAGGGGTGCAGAGCTTCCTGCATTCGCGTCACTTCCTCTTAAAGGAAAGTAAGGAGGCGGCAAAGGGATCTCGGACTCAGGGGGCGTGTCCAAAATGGGCCTAACACCAGTCCTAGTGGACAAACAAGTCCTGGCCACCATGAGGCGACATTGCTCCTCGTGGCATATCCGGATCCATTTTGGCGAGTCGTTTACGGCCTGCCCCAACAATCAATGTATGGAAACTGTCCGTAAAGTTCAGGCCTACCTGACACAGCCACGTGTACACGCTGTACCAGGGTTGGATCCAAACTGCCACGCGGCGGCCATGCCGCAACCAAAGTAGGCCACTCCCTAGTGCACAAAGTGACCAAACGTACAGGAGACATTTTAACCCCAAAATCACATGTTTTGAATCCCTTTTTAAAATTCTTTACCATACAACCTAAGGGATCCGAAATCGTTGACTCTGACGCGCCCATACTTATCAATGGAACGTCGTTGACAACGAATACTATGCACGCGTTCTTATTCAACAGTCACACCCGTTTCCTCTGGCAACAGCACCACGTGGTACAGTTACCGAGTGAAACGTACACAATAACACAATAATCACTCAGGGAATTCCCGTACACACACAGCTGTTACACCAGTCACTAAATAATCAATATTATGCCCTTTGGCGAAACTATACAGTCACCCACGCTATAATTCTCTATATATGAATTACCCGTCTATAACACACCCCAGTAACATCGTCTTTTACTAGTATCGGTTACAGTACGGTTAGCATAGGTCAAAGCACAATTTAAGGTCACAATACAATTATTAGTGGTTACGGTGTTAAACATGCAATAGACGACAATGATTAGTACTTATATACAGTGTCAGTAAATATACAGGGTTATGGTACCGTGCACTATGATACAGCAACACACTATTAACACTCTCGCTAGACGGCTGAGCTCGCGCTATCTAACAAGATATACACTTTACTAACAATCTTTAACACATTTACAATCCCAACTAAACTATTGGCCAGTACCTTGAATGGACTACCTAAAACTATATACACCCGTTTTGGTTAGCCACACTGCCCAAACACCACATATAGCGAACTAGAGGGCGAAATTTACAAAATTGCCCTTCTAGTCTATTTACTCTATCAAAAGTCTAGTGGGTTCCAAATTTACACGCCTTCCCACTTAGCCAAGATAGGTTGAGAGCTAGCGAACCGAATTTACACAGGCGCCGCTTAGTCTCCCGGTCCCTCCGACCTAGCGAACGTAATATACACCCTAGAACGCTAGTCTAGACAAGACACCGGTGTCCGGCTAGGGCTATTTACACAGGACCCCGCCTGACTAACCAGATCAAACGGTCTTACTAAAGAGCGTTCGATCGAGCGGTGCGCCTTCGCTCCTTCCCTCCGACAGAGGGGGCAGATTCCATACACAGATTTAAACCCCTTTTGGGCCTACCGCACAATCGGTATACCCCTAGTGGGTCTGCCGTCTAAAACAGCAGTTGTCTTACCTCCTCGTTCCTGAACCTGAGTTCACACTCATCGACGGGGACACCCCAGCACTTCTTACGTAGAGGCCGATGATCTCCTGGACAACAGACCAGTGGCGCCGAGACGAAGGGAGGTCCACGCAGAAGTTCAGGGGTGCAGCCGTAGAGAACGTGGGCAAAGATAGACCGTCTCACGCCTCTGCCTCTCAGCTACCGTTGAACGATGAGCTTCCCGGCCAATGCACCAAATGATACCGGAGAAACTGACGGAAGCAAAGCACAGAGGGATGGACACAGGTTTCTTCAGGAAGGAAGAGATTCTTTATTGGATCACCGATCGGGACTCAGAGGGACTAATGTCACAAAAAATACAGCAAGTTCTGAGCCCTGAACAATAGTGCAGGCTCCCTATATAGGCACATAACTCCTCCCATATTAAGCTCCACCCGCACATTCTCTTGACCAATCATTACAAATAAGAATTAACTTCCTGCTTGACCGCATGGCTTGTCCAGCACAATGGAGGAGGGGAATACTACATCCTGTATTCTTGCACATGCTCCGTACACTACTGATCGTATCTTGCCTCGTGCAACCAACTGATCGATACGTCAGCATATGCACGTACACATGCCACGTGGTAATCTCGGCCTACTAAATTTATTTTTACCGAGATTCCACCACAGTTTTTTCAATATGAATTCATGTGGAAGGCATATGCCTGAAATTGTGGGAGGGGTTATTTTCCTATTTAAATCCCCAGTAACCCCAGCTTACCTATCGGCACCGTTTGGAAGTTCTCTGATCACTTCCGGTTCTCTGATCACTTCCTAGTGCCAGAAGAACTCCCCACGTGGTTTCCAAGAAACTGGCAATTGAGCAGGCCCTTGGACCTGGACTACCGTACCCAGCCTCAACCGTTCGAACGCGGTCGGTCTCAGTTATACTAAACTCCCGGGGGAACTTGAACATGGGTCAAACTACCGAACGAGAGTCGCGCTCACACGAACAACAAATACATTTGTAAGTCATTCGGCTATTCAAACGCAATATTCAGTTTATTTGTTATCCGTCTAAAAATATCCTTTCGTACATTTTAGTCATCTGGCTACCTAGTGTCTTACATTCATTCAAACGTACGAACGACATTTTGTCTCAAGCCACATTCGCATTTCTGCTTTGTAATCGGAGGCTTTCAGAATACTGCAGCATTATATGATACTTTTTTAGTATGTTAATCTGTTCACATGTTCTTACTCACATATTGTACTACAATCATTCTGTATTATTACCAAACAGTTAAGGGGATAAAATCCTGGTGAGAACAGGTTTGTTGTATTGCAATTAGAGTGTGTGCTTTGTAAATTTCCTTCTTACAACTTGTTGATTGTACATTGCACGTACGGAGAACTGTGATATACAAGCGTGTGCATGCTGTTAGATTGTTGCAAAATTGTTTCACAATAAATGTTACTTTAAATAGAAGTCCTGTTTAGGTGCTAATATGTACAATCTTGCAAACCCCTGACCTGTTTATTACAGCAGGGTACTAAATTCTGGTTTGGTTTGATACAAATGAAAGTTAATGGTGATCAGTAGATTTGCATAGAGTTTGTTATAACGCCGAGCCGTAGTAAGTATTCAATTATAGTTCATTATCTGTCTTTTATGAAGGGTAAGCCCATGGATATTTGACTCCTCAATGGTGTGCAGCTAGTTGTAAAGTGTGGACATATAGCACTTGTTGCTACCTGGTCAGTTTCTCTCATCCTGAGATAGCATTTCACTTCCAGATAACGATTTCATGATGCTCATTGTGGATCAGGGCTATGGCTTGAACAGAATCTGAATGGAACAAAACAGGGGCAGGAATCGGCAGAGCAGGAATAGCTATGATAAGAAAGCATTTCTACCTTACATCTAAAGGTTTCCATTTCCTACCTTACTGTTTGAAGGCTAATAACTGTTCAAACTAAACGGCAAAGAAATAAATCATTTGCACAACGGTTCATTTTTTTTTCTCTCGAAAATATGCTTTCTCTTGAAGATATTAACATTTCGTCCCAAACTAATTGGAAATCTATCTAAACATGTTCATTTTATCTAATTATCTTAATCTGAAACATTTTATAAGAATTAAATGTGTAAAGAAAAAAATGTTACTAATAAATTTGCAGAGTATGTTATATATTTTGTTTGTATATTGGTACTAATATGTTAAATCTTTGGATTTACCTTGTGAAATTGTTCTCCTTCCATTTCCAGGAATAACAATTCGGAATATAAATATCAATTACGCTAAGTTACATAATTTACGGTTCGGTTAGTAAATACATAAAAATTTCTGACGTATTCAGCTTTGCACAGACTACCTACATTTAAGACCTATCATAGCCTGATTACCTTGACCTGTATGCTTCTGCTCAGACAAGCACATGTGAGTCTAAACAAAGTGCATTAAGCTCACACTCACGTTATCTGCAGTTCTGATAAGCAAGCCTCGGCGAAGGCGATTATGCGTGGTAACAGTAATATGAACAAGATCCGCATCTATATTGAAACAAAAAAAACTTAAGAGCACCGAGGGCCATACACACATACATACATACACGCATTCAAGTTCATACGTACTGACCATCTGGACCCGACGTGCTCACAGGGCACTCCAGTTACGGTCAGCCTTACGATTCTACCTCATTACCCCCCACCTTTTCGTCCCATGGTATGTCCTCTCTTTCACTAACTAACGTTCCCTCTTAGTTAGCTGGGTGTCAGGTTCCTAGGTATCCACTAGTTATTATTCCCCCTGGCTTCTTCGCATTAGGTAAGTGGTCCCGCGAGGCCAATACCCATCCTCATACTCGGAGGTACTACGCCCCTACGCCCCTTGTGCCAAATCATAGTTAGTCGCCTCCCATTGTGGCATAGAGAAGGCTTCACCTGTCACTTCCATTCTATCTTATGTTTAACTGTCACCGAGAGGCCGCCACAACATTCAGTGGCTACGTTATCTCCTTGCGCCAATGCATAGATAGAGCCTCTCAAGCCGCTTGGCAATTAGCAGGGCCTCACCTGTCACAACCTAGAGTAATCGTTTTGCCGCATTGCGGCACTAGCTAATGAGCCATCACACACACACGTAGTAAGCTGGGGAACGGCACCTGCAGACCCCGTCATGCATACTGGGGTCAGATCCAATAATCAGATCAGGTATCCTAGCGGATTATTTCCCACCTTGTTATAGCTTTAGTTTCGACTGTGAGTTTATATACCCTTACAGTAATACAAACAGTCAGAACTATAATACAAGGCTAATCCATGCTTTCAATACTTCAATCACTTACGGGCTAAGGGTCTACTGGATAATTAGATATAGCAGTACAAGGATGATACCCAAATATATATATTTCCCCAACTTGTCACTCACTTTGTGATCCTATTATACCCCATATACAAGGTGCCCATATCAATTTAGTAGAAATCAAGATCAGTGGTTTCCTCCAACAATTTGTTTCAGGCATTTTATTTCTTACATATATTTTCAATTAAATACATATATTGGGCAACCCATTAGGGGCATTTCAGTACATTGAGTTCTAAATTACCATACATTGACTCATACTATCGCTTAATTATCACGTCTACGTCAATTATACAAGGCAATGCAGGTTAAAGCATTAGCAATCTAATAAAGACAGGGTAAACCAGAATTCCCACTTGTTTCATATAAAACATCAAGGCATCACTCGGCCTTCATTACGACCAAACGAATACAATTCAAATCCTTAACAGCTAATAGGGACTTGTCTCTGCACGCTTGACATTCGCAAGGTTCTCCATGCGCATTCAATCATTTGTTACTGTGTAGAATCCCCCTCCATTCATTCGGTACTTTCCCTCCCTGCTACTTTATTCATGGATTTATTACTGTGACGAAGTGCCCTTCGCCACTTGTGCCTGGAGAGGACTGCTTGACCGCTTCTTGCTCTGTGACTGTGGACCCTGGGAGATTTGGCCCATTCAATACAGTATGATAGGAGTTATGTATTTTTGTATCCTTTTGTGTTTTACTGGGAACATGTGCTCAATGGAGTCTGCCTCTATCCCTAGATAATTGGATTATGTTCCCCATTGTCTCCAGGATAGAGGGCTCTGTAAAACCGGTTTGGGCCAGATAGCCATGCTGCCAGCTGATTCATGCCATTTTGAGATATGTTGTTCCCCTGAATGGATTGATTGTGAATATATAATTTTTTATGTGAATGTGATGTATATTTTAGAAGTTATGAATATGCTGTAAAAACTGTATTTTTCCTGCTTGTGATAATTGCATCTTCTATTGTATAAGATAATTGAATCACAGGCAGAGGGGAGGATTTTGGGTGGGCTGTAACATCTGTTTTATTGGCTACTGTAGATAACGTGTGTGTCCCTCCCCTGCATGGGAGCAGGGCATAAAAGAAACTGTAGCTTGAATACCTGTTGTTGTTACTTCCAGTAAAGCCTTGTTCCAGCATTAAGCCTTGGCTCATGTTTGGGGGATTGAAAAACTACACTCTGGGGATTGCTATAATCACTTACTCCCCAGAGTAAACTCTTGCAATAGCTTGATTTGTTCCTGCTACGCTCTCTGGATTTAGGAGAGGTTCACCCACTGGGAGCTGGATCCTGGTCGTGGATCCAGGGTGGGTGGAGACGGCGAAACCCCGGCGCAGCTGTATCGCTGGAAGTGGGGTCTGCAGTGCTGATGGTGTCGGTTGGAGTGCTTGGAGTCCTCAGCGAGCACTAGGCGCATCGATTGGTGGAGGTACTCAGTCGGAGGGCCAGCGTTCCGTCACAGTTACGCAATTTAATATTACATACATTTCACTATGTTATTTACATTCAAGAAGTCCATCAGGATTGACTTTCGGTCGTGCTATCTGTTTCTGTCTAAGAAGTTACACCTATAGGCATCTTATAATACAGACAATTATGATCCCAAGCCTAGCAAGTAAACGATTATAGGGTATTTATTATATGACACATATCATCTTTAAGCTCAAACCACAATCAAAGCTCCTTTTCAGGTTTTTCTCTTAAGGGCACACATTTTTCCCTACTGTTAGTCACGGTATTTCATTCTATTCTTCAGTTCGTATCACAACAGATAGTTTTGTCAGATGCCTTTTACAGTCCTTTTTCTCTGTGGTTCTATCCACTTACCTCAACACGGAGGTTCCACCCAGCGGCCCAACTCTGAGTTAGTGCCTTGCATATTCTTCTGCAAGGTCTTGGGTAGGGCCTCACATGTCACGGCCACAAGTATTGTCTCTTTTACCGCCACCAACAGGTTAACACCACGCTGCGCATAGTAGGTTCAAGTCCACATGGCCCAAATCAAAGGTAGGGCCTCTCTCAACCACGGGGCAAATGGCAGGGCCTCACCTCTCATAGGATAGTCAATATCTTCGCCTATCAGTACTCGTTAGCAAGCAGCTCTACTACATGGGATATTTCAATTGGCATCAAAGTTTTGCATAGTTAAAACATATATATATATATATATATATATATATTCCTCCCTCCTTACAGCATGCTACAAGAAATAGCTCCAGGTGAAGTTCTATCTCTAATAAACACTCTAATCCTGTCATCCCGGGATATCCCCCGTCCTGGCCACTCCTAAAGTCCTGAAGTCGGGCCTTGCTTAAACGTAACGGTTGAGCTTAAAGAACATTCAGTCCAGAGATCCTCTGCAGTTCAAAAAGGTCTAATTATGCTTTAAGTTAAAGTTTTTTATGCAGGTATATTTGTCTACTAATACTAAGAAAACTTACTCTACAGCTTACAATATGTGTAAGTATTGTGTATGATTCAAGATAATAAATGTGTTCCAATTATAAATGGTTGCTTGCACAATTTTTGCTACATCTCTTTGAAACTAGCCTACAATACAATTGAAACTATACCTACAGGAACTTAACATTACATGTAAACAATATACCCCAACAGCTCCCATTTTCTTTTCTTATTCAGTAAGGGCGATGACAGGTGTCAGATATCAAAACTCCACAAATCATCCTATTCACTCCCTATCAACAGTAAAATCTTAGGGGGAGTTTTCAAATTAACCATTAAGGCTCCCTTTAATAACCCTACTATAATAGTAATTTAAGTCAGCAGCTTACTTGGCTTTCTACAATTTCCTTGAGGCCAAAAGAAAGAATCTTGCTGTCGGAAACATTCGACCTTCACCCATGCGTCAAGAATTCAGGAAATCAACAATCGTTACCTTATCTACTCCTCATACCAAAACATATCAGTCGGGCATTTTAAATTGTGCCCGGTTCAAAATTTATACTCGTAATCAAAGACCAGGTTAGCCAGGTCCCTAACTAACCATTACTATCTTTAATAACTGTGATATTTGTTGCTTTAATACTCCACCAAGGCCTTAATCCTTCCTCCTACTCGGGCCACTCATTCCATGTCAATACAACAGCAGCCTCTAATGGGCGTGTTACGACACACATAAGTAGAAATATGGGAAGTTGGTTTACAATAGGAACATTCCTAACCCAGGATAGAAACCAGACTGTCTTTTCGATAATGTGACTAAATGATTGCTAATTGTGAAATTAATCTTGTCTTATATTTTGCCCTCTTTTGCAGGCCTGACCTCTCGTCAGTATCGGCACACCTCAACTGACTTTGGTCCTTATTGAACTACATACTTTTAATTGTACATCCTCTAATTACCCTGTACACAAGTGGAAGCCATATGCCTGAAATTGTGGGAGGGGTTATTTTCCTATTTAAATCCCCAGTAACCCCAGCTTACCCATCGTCACCGTTTGGAAGTTCCCCTCCCACCTCACCCTTTATTATTTACATAAATATACCATATGGGCCCTCTTTTGCAGGCCTGACCTCTCGTCAGTTTCGGCACACCTCAACCGACTTTGGTCCTTATCGAACTACATACTTTTAATTGTACATCCTCTAATTACCCCGTACACAAGTGGAAGGCAAATGCCTGAAATTGTGGGAGGGATTATTTTCCTATTTAAATCCCCAGTAACCCCAGCTTACCTATCGTCGCCGTTTGAAAGTTCCCCTCCCACCTCACCCTTTATTATTTACATCAATATACCAGGTGGGCCCTCTTTTGCAGGCCTGACCTCTCGTCAGTTTTGGCACACCTCAACCAACTTTGGTCCTTATCGAACTACATACTTTAATTCTACGTCTTCTAATTACCCCGTACACAAATATATATATATATATATATATATATATATATATATATACACTGAACAAAATTATAAACACAACACTTTTGTTTTTGCACCCATTTTTCATGAGTTAAACTCAAAGATCTAAGACTTTTTCTACGTACACAAAAGGCCTATGTCTCTTAAATATTGTTCACAAATCTGTCTAAATCTGTGTTAGTGAACATTTCTTCTTTATCGAGATAATCCATCCACTCTCACACTCTGCTCTCACACTCTGCTCACTCTCTGCTTTCACACTCTTCTCACTCTCTGCTCCTAAACTCTCCACAAATATGGTGTCATAGGGGTGGAATTATATAGTGTACAGAAGTGTTGCATGCTGGTAGTACCCCATGATTGGCTGCACTATCTGTGCAGTGAAAATATAATTTTGTAAATTGTATGTATACTAAACTAACACTACTAATTATTAACTAAACCAAGATCACTTCTTAAAGATGAAGTGGTCTGGGTCGAGAATGCAATGTGAAACATTGCTGTTTAACAAAAAACACACAAAAGTTTATTTTTCAATACGAATGACATTCCGAACTGCTAAATGCCTGAAACGAATGACATGCCAAACTGATGAATTCCTGAAATGAATGACGAGATGCCGAATGTCCGAACCGAATGCCATTCGGCAATTCCAAAGTGCCGAACCAAATGCCATTGGTCAGAATTGCCGAAGCAGTCAATTTTTCTTTACTTACCCAAGTTTCTGAACCAAAACAATTTTTTTGCCAATGCACACCCCTAATAAAAATACATAAGTTATCTAGAAAAATCTAAAAAGAAACAGAAAAACAGAAAATAATCTTTATAGATATAATGTATGCTCTCAAGTCTTATTCCTTATCATCCCCCCCAAAAAAAACTACATCTCAGTGAAAACTATTCTAGCAACCTACTTTTCTACCCTACCCTTACCTTTTGTGTCACTTTACGCCACTCCCTGTAGCATATAAGCTCAATGAGCAGGGCCCTCATATGTCATAGTACCTTACCAATTTCCAGTATTTAAGTTGTCAAATATTGTGTCTAGCCTCAATAAAATTATCAAGAATTGCTAAATTCTCTTTATCCTATATGTGAGTTTATATCAATTTAACCCCTTAAGGACCAAACTTCTGGAATAAACATAGAAACATAGAATGTGACGGCAGATAAGAACCATTCGGCCCATCTAGTCTGCCCAATTTTCTAAATACTTTCATTAGTCCCTAGCCTTATCTTATAGTTAGGATAGCCTTATGCCTATCCCACGCATGCTTAAACTCCTTTACTGTGTTAACCTCTACCACTTCAGCTGGAAGGCTATTCCATGCATCCACTACCCTCTCAGTAAAGTAATACTTCCTGATATTATTTTTAAACCTTTGTCCCTCTAATTTAAGACTATGTCCTCTTGTTGTGGTAGTTTTTCTTCTTTTAAATATAGTCTCCTCCTTTACTGTGTTGATTCCCTTTATATATTTAAATGTTTCTATCATATCCCCCCTGTCTCGTCTTTCCTCCAAGCTATACATGTTAAGATCCTTTAACCTTTCCTGGTAAGTTTTATCCAGCAATCCATGAACCAGTTTAGTAGCCCTTCTCTGAACCCTCTCTAAGGTATCAATATCCTTCTGAAGATACGGTCTCCAGTACTGTGTACAATACTCCAAGTGAGGTCTCACCAGTGTTCTGTACAATGGCATGAGCACTTCCCTCTTTCTACTGCTAATACCTCTCCCTATACAACCAAGCATTCTGCTAGCATTTCCTGCTGCTCTATTACATTGTCTGCCTACCTTTAAGTCATCAGAAATAATCACCCCTAAATCCCTTTCCTCATATGTTGAGGTTAGGACTCTATCAAATATTCTGTACTCTGCCCTTGGGTTTTTACGTCCAAGATGCATTATCTTGCACTTATCCACATTAAATGTCAGTTGCCACAATTCTGACCATTTTTCTAGTTTACCTAAATCATTTGTCATTTGGCTTATCCCTCCTGGAACATCAACCCTGTTACATATCTTAGTATCATCAGCAAAAAGACATACCTTACCATCAAGACCTTCTGCAATATCACTAATAAAAATATTAAAGAGAATGGGTCCAAGTACAGATCCCTGAGGTACCCCACTGGTGACAAGTCCAAGCTTCGAATATATTCCATTAACTACAACCCTCTGTTGCCTGTCACTCAGCCACTGCCTTACCCATTCAACAATATTTGAATCCAAACTTAAAGATTGCAGTTTATGGATAAGCCTTCTATGTGCAACAGTGTCAAAAGCCTTACTGAAATCTAGGTAAGCAATGTCTACTGCACCACCCTGATCTATAATTTTAGTTACCCAATCAAAAAAATCAATAAGATTAGTTTGGCATGATCTCCCTGAAGTAAACCCATGTTGTCTCTGATCTTGAAATCCATGTGTTTTTAGATGTTCATCAATCCTATCCTTTAACATGGTTTCCATCACTTTCCCCACTACTGAAGTAAGGCTTACTGGCCTATAGTTGCCCGACTCCTCCCTATTACCTTTCTTGTAAATGGGTACAACATTTGCTAACTTCCAATCTTCTGGGACTACTCCTGTTAACAATGATTGGTTAAATAAATCTGTTAATGGTTTTGCTAGTACACCACTAAGCTCTTTTAATAGCTTTGGGTGTATTCCATCAGGTCCCATTGACTTATTTGTCTTTACTTTTGACAGTTGAAATAGAACCTCTTCCTCTGTAAACTCACATGTAATAAATGACTCATTTATCCTTTTTCTCAACTGAGGTCCCTTTCCTTCATTTTCATCTGTAAATACAGAACAAAAATATTCATTGAGGCAGTCAGCTAGACCTTTATCCTCTTCTACATACCTTCCTTCTTTTGTTTTTAATCTAACTAATCCTTGTTTTACTTTTCTTTTCTCATTTATGTATCTAAAAAATGTTTTATCCCCCTTTTTTACTGACTGTGCTATTTTCTCTTCTGTGTGTGATTTGGAAGCTCTTATAACTTGCTTAGCCTCTTTCTGCCTAATCTTATAGATCATTTTGTCTCCCTCACTCTGGGTTTTTTTTATAATTCCTAAATGCTAACTTTTTGTTTTTAACTATTTTGGCCACATCTGCGGAGTACCACAGTGGTTTCTTGAATTTTTTGCTTTTACTGACAAGCCTAATGCAATTTTCTGTTGCCTTCAATAGTGCAACTTTTAAATAATCCCATTTTTCTTGGACTCCATTTAAATTGCTCCAGTCTGATAATGACTCCTCTACCCATATTCTAATTTTAGAAAAGTCTGTTTTTCTAAAGTCTAAAACTTTTGTTTTTGTGTGGTGTGACTCAGTCACTGTTCTTATATTAAACCACACTGACTGATGATCACTGGATCCTAAACTTTCACCTACAGTAACATCTGATACCAAATCTCCATTTGTTAACACTAAATCATGACATGTCACACATGTCCTGTGTTCTTAAGGGGTTAATATTCCCTACATCTTTTTGGATTGTTATGAAGATTTGTCTTATATAAACATGGAAATTTTCTTCTAATAGATTGGATTTAAAATAAGACTTGAGAGAAGATGATGCCACTAAATAATTTAAAAGGACACTCTACTGTCCAAACACCAACAAAATTACAATAACAATCACTTTTTTAGTTTTTAAAGCCCCAAATTACGCTTGTCTGCAGCCTTCTTCTAACTCCACCCAGACTTCTCTGACTGTTCAATCACAGACTTCCCAATGCAGCTCAATGAGAAGTATTTACCAGGAAGTTACTCTGGGCAATTGTTTCTCTTGAGTTTAGCTCAACTATGCAAACTACCAATGGGTTAATTTATAAAAGTGCCAATTTCTACTAAAATCTGCAATTTTTTGCAAAATGGACATACTCTTCAGCAAGCTCAATTGTTTTAGAGGTCCATAGTGTCCCTTTAATAATCTGTATTTTAACAACATTTGCACTAATCAATGATTACTCTACTTTTGCCAACATTTCAGAAACTAGGCTCATTTGTTCTGTATGCTTTCAGAATGCAGTGAACATTATTTCATAATAAAGCAAACTATGATAACAGTTTCTGGACATAATTGGTAATTGAGAATTTGTTTTGCTTTTTATTACAGGTACTGTTGCTGTTATTGTAAGAGTTACTAGAGTAAATGAAGCTAGTCCAACATCTTCAACAAATGAGTTTTTTGTACAAGAGAACAGCCCTATGGAGACCATGGTTGGCAAAGTTAACTTCGCAGACACTGATTGGCCATTTAATAATATGAAATTCACATTTGATTCAGGAGACTATGGAAACCCACCAAGATTCTATATCGAGCCAGAAACAGGTACATGGTGAACATTTACACCTGACAATACACAATAAATATGTCCATGCAAATTTGAAAATCAATCAAATGGATAAGGGTTTTGTGATTCTGGGAACTAAAATAACGTTTTCCTTTCCAGTAACGCTGAAAAGGAAAAGTATAGATATACTGTACCTTTTCCTTTGTAATACATGGCCTTCATCACTTTTTGTTCCCATATAAAGTTGATTTGCGATGCTCTGTGGAAAATCTTGACACTCAAAAATAGGAATAATATATATAATGTTAGTATTTACGTAATCTGTTTAAACTGAATACATCAGCTATAATTTTGTGTTGCACTAGAATATGCAGTAAAATTAGTTTTCAGTATATAAAGATTCACTCTAAGTAGCATAAAAACAACTATACTCATTGTATAATGTCTCTGCTCACAGAGGTTTATGGCTGCAGCAAAATGCACATCTCAATTAACAAGGTAGTTAACTGGGTTGTAAATAAACTGATGGCAGTTACAATATGACTTCTGTCAGCTTATTCAGCAGTACCACTCATATTATTTGATAATATTTAATGAGCGAACGAAATTACATGTCCCATAAACCTCCTGCCACTTATAAAACTGTACAGACTCAGCATGATAATAGCTGCTGTGTAATATAATAAAATAGTTCATGGAAATATGCTTATCTTTTCACCCCTTAAGGATGGGGGCAATTGTACAATTTCTGGTCAAAACAAAACCTTGAATTTGAGCTATAAGTTGTTGAACCATAATTTACCTCTTGCATTTAAAAGGACATCCATACTTGTTAAATATAATTAAACAGAAATTTCATTTCATATCAAATATTTAGATATGAAACGTAATTTAATATGAATAAAATATAAAACAAATTTCAAGCTCTGCATGACATTTTAACTGTGAATGTCATAATACTGTTGACTCTTATTGCAATAAAATACACATATTTGTATTTAGTAATGTCTCATGAGTACAACAGTAGCGTCCATGTACAGGTTTTATGGGGGTTATGGAAACTTACATGGTCAAATATAGGGCTTCGCCCTTTTGCATGTACACATTGAAATTTGACAGGTCTATGTTGCCTTTGAGACCTTATGGCAGCGCAGGAATGAAAATTGACCCCAGCATTGCATACCATTTGGAAAAGTATCATAATTAGGGTATTCAATATGTGGTATGCCCAGTCCTTTTTAGTAGCCACTTAGTCACCAACCCTGGCCAAGTTTGCATTTATATTTGTTTTTTGCTTTTTTCACAAAACAATTGCTTTTTCACAGTGGATATCATCAGCATTATATATTTTACTGCTCTAAACCACTCATGTTTGTGTTCAGCGATGTCTCACGAGTACATTAGATACCCCTCATGTCTAGGTTTTATGGGGTTTTGGAAAGTTACAGGGTCAAATATACGGCTTACAAATTAAATTCTCTGGACCTTCTGCCTGGCAGGTCCCTCAAATCATAACTAATAAAATCACCTAATTATGTAAAAGTTATAGATAAATACATATGTATGTAGAATGTATATATATATATATATATATATATATATATATATATACAGTGGGATCTTGGTTTACGAATTTAATGCATTTTCTGGGACATTTCTTATTGTGAAAAATTTGTAAACCAAAACACGGTTTCCCATAGGAATGCATTAAAAATCAATGAATCCGTTCTGGAGGTGCGAAAAAGGTCTAAATGAGCTGACATGGAAACCAATGCAGAACACACAATAAAAGGCATGCAAACGACGATGCTCAGCTCCCTACCTTTCCACAGCTTGAGAAATGCACCAAAAAGTCCCACAACAACTGCAAACAATTTCCAGAATGGCTCCAAAACTCGATGAAAAAGCCGCTCCAACACCTCCACACTCAACGCCACGTGCTACCCACAGGCTCCAGCATGCAGGGGGTTGTGCTATAAACCTTCCAGGTGCAATGCATCCTGGGGAAACTTGCTTTGTACTGCAAAAAAAAATTGTATACCGAGGCATTATTTTCAGTGGATTTTCATTTGTAAACCGAAAATTATGTTAACCGAGGCGTTTGTAAACCAAGGTCCCACTGCATATATATATATATATATATATATATATATATATATATATATATATATATTATATTTTAAAATATGATATAAATGCATATATATATATATATATATATATATATATATATATATATTCATTTTATATATTTTTGTTTTATAATATATTATAAAATAAAACATGTTAATATATTTTACATACATTACACACACACTTATATATATATATATATATATATATATATATATATATATATAATTTCATTACAAGTATATAGAGATATATATCAAAGTACAATAACAATGACATTTTATGTATATATTATTTATGTATAATATCTTAATAAAATGCTTTTATTATTTTATAATACATTATACATATATAAAATAAGTATAATATATTTATTGCATGCTCTTATAAAATTTTTACTTTGATTTTAACTTTTATTTGTACTTTGGGGGACTGCCTGACAACCCAAGCAGTCGTCCTGCAGGCAGCACAGAAGCCTCCTACTGTGGTAATGTGATCATCATAATCGCATGGCCCTGGAGGGCTGGAGGGCTGGAGTTGCTGCAGGGGGACTGATCAGGATCACCTCGGATCACTGCTGTAGATAAACACAGATTGGCAGAGTGAGTGGCGGATGGCTGGACGTACTATGCTGCCCAGCAGCATTTAGGATCGCCTACTTAAGGAAGGCATTGCAAGCCCGCCCTCCTTTAGCCCTCGATCAGACAACTAGTCCTGTTACTTTCTGGTTTGGTTAGCACAGTGGAGCTAAACTCAAAGGGCAGCAATTGCTCAGAGCACCTGCCTTGCAAAGACTTCTCATTGAGTTGCATTGGGAAGTCTGTGATTGGACAGTCACAGAAAGTCTGGGTGGGGTTAGAAGGGGAGGTCTTGCAAAGACTTCAGACAAGAGATCTGCAGCTTTTGCAAGCTGTTTTTAGCTATACACCCAATCAAAAATGATTAATTAAATGTATGCATGCTTCTATTGGGATATATTTACAAAAAAAAATTTTTTTTACATTTTGTTTCGATTTGGGAGATGGATTTTCTGTTTGTATTGTTATAGTTACATAATTATTCCTCTTTATTAAGAAGGTTATAGACAAAACTTCAAGATAACCAAACAGATAAAAGTATGTATTATTCTCAGATTGTTAACAATTTTATCACAAGACACGGAGGCTCATATTGCATATCCCTTTCTTTACTGTCCACCAATAGCAGCAAAGGATATAAACAGAATGAAAAAACAATGAACATACAGTAGCAAAGGCCCCTCCCTGCACAGGTCCCAGTATAATAGGCAGCACTTACCTTCCATTTCCCTCTTTCTTTGCTGCTCTAAGATAAGTAACAGCTCACATTTTTCTCTCACATTTTAATTATTATTCTGTGATCTATTGTCTTGATATTTACTATTTATTGTCATTTATTACTCCATTGTTTTTCTCTGTTGATATATTCAGTATTATTCTGTTTTTTGTTTAAGGAATCTTTTTTCCGTTTATTATTTATGTTTGCTCACTACTATTTATGTATATTTATTGCCTCTCAGGGTTCCAGACCTTCTCTGTGAGATAATTGATTTTCTCTGGTTGCTCTTATCTCCCTTCAGTCTCTTATCTTTTCTCTGTTTCTCCCTGTACTTTGACACCATTTGCACCTCGTTTTTCTCCATTCTGTTTGGCTGTTTTGGTGCATGAATCTCGCCGTTCGGCTAAATTCATCACGAACACATGCCGTTCGTTAGTTTTACCGGCATTTAGCATAATTCGCCAATCTGCAGCATTCGACTAAATTTGTTCGTACGTTTTGCTCATTCGTATGTTTCTCCATTCACTTGTTCTATTCTCATGAATTCGTCTATTTTACCGAACGTTCGGCTATTTTCTTAACGAATTCTCAGGTTTTTGCTGCGAATCTCGCGAGATTCTTGGTAGCCATTTTCTGACTTCCTGTCTCATTTCCTACCTCGTTGTGTGTGTCATTGGTCTGGGCCCTGGTGAGATCTTTTTTGTTCATTGCTCCTATAGTTTGGGTGACTAACCCTTACTACTCTATAGTCTTAGATAATAGGAATATTGTGCATCTTTCATTATGTCCAAACCCAGGATGCCTTCGAGCTCCCCACCCTCTGGGGAGATAGATACTCCATTATTCATGGGAGAGGTCCCTGTCACCCCAGACATACCAACCACTCTGTCAGACAGGCCATCCATCCTGCAGGGGACAAATTTGTGGCGCTACTGCTCTCTGTGACAAATGCCATTATGGCAGCCATGGGGTCCATGTATTCTACCCTCTCCCATACTATCTCCCAGGCCCTTCTGCCACGTCCTTTGGACGCGCATATGTCTGGTTCCACAACGCCTATCTCGTGTCCTGCTGTGGACCCGCCTTGGGACGCACCCAAGAAGGCGACTCATAAAACTAAACATCCCTCTGCCTCCAGAAACACTTAGACTGGCGTACCTTCGTTCGCCCCAGAAAGCGTGCTCCACACACGCAAAAGAGCCTTTCCACGCCAGGCAGAACGGGTGTGGCTATGGAAATGTGCCAGAGCACAAGCGGAGAGTGACTCCGATTCACAAATCGGGTTTGGTGAGGAGGCTATGATTGAGTCGGATGACGACTCCGATGTTGAGTCCACTGAGCTGGGCTTTGACCTCCTTCCCTCTACTCAGGCAGAGATGTCCGGAGGTGACATGGGGGCGCCTCACCCCGCAACTGCGGGGTCCGCCCTCTTGGATCCGTTGGGCGAACCTCTCTTCGACCTTGCTGAGCTACACCATCCAAGTTCGGCGGAGTGGCTCCTGGCGGACCATGTATCCAAGTACCTTGAAAATTGGGTACGACGCCCGCTCACTAAAGCGGCACATAATAAATTGAGGGCAGAGTGCCTGAGGCCTATGGTGCCAAATAAGGTCTGCGATACCCCTGAGGTTGACCCAAAAATGACCCAATTCCTGGCAAAATTGGGCTGGAACCCACGTAAAGTTCTAGACTCTGCCCTAAAGGCATGTCAGGATAAGCACCTAGACATATTTTGCCCACTGGCAAAACTTTTTGAACTGGTGGAGGATGCCAGAGCTGGAAACCGTATGGTTGACCCTGAAGACCTCCGTGGTTGGGTCCAAAGGGCTATTTGTATTGCCGGGAGTGTCAATACCCCCCTCTCTATTGAACGGCGTAAAGCCATTTTATTCAAAATAGAGCCTAAATTGGCCAACCTTGCCCTCACAGAGGCTGGGAAGGATGCCCAAGGTTTACTTTTTGGCGACTCCTTCATTAAAGACCTAGGACGCTTTGTAGGAGAGTTTACAGCCCTTGACAAGACCCAAGCCTCCATGAGACGAGTATTCCAGGGCCGGGTCTCCACCAGGGCCGGCAGTTCCAGGAGCCGTCTGTCCGGCCGGTCTTATTTTCAGTCCCGTGGCTCTGGACAAGGCTCCTTTCAACACTGCTCCAACTTCCAGGAGACGAGTACCCGCTCCCCATTCTTTCCATCACGCAGACATCCATGGTGATCCAGAGGCTTCTGGTGTAACACCGGTTTCAGGCGACCTTATGATGAGTTTACCCATACCACATGTTTCTTCTCATGTTTATGTAGGGGGCAGACTCCAACATTTTTTCCTAGCCTGGGCAAAGATAACCCCCGACCCCTGGGTACTAAGCACTATTTGCGGTTTTCACATAGACCTTGTGGGGAACCCTGTAAGTATCGACGACGAGCTATCTGCGCTCCTCACCAAGAGAGCGATAAGACGGGCACCCCCGGGCTCCACAGGAGTCGTTAGCAATATTTTCCTAGTGGAAAAGAAGGGTGGCCAAATGCGCCCAGACATAAACCTGTGCCCACTCAATGCTATGGTGAGGTACCGCCATTTTAAGATGGAAGGTATACATCTACTGCGAGACCTACTCCTTCAAGGGGACTGATTGGTAAAGCTGGATCTCAAGGATGCGTATCTCACCATGCCTATAGCCGAAGCATCCCAAGATCTCCTACATTTCCGTTGGCGGACAGGGACTTGGAGGTTCACCTGCCTTCCATTTGGCCTGTCATCAGCGCTTCACAAAATTGCTTCTCCCAGCTATGACCTGGCTACGCAGTCGAGGCATTCGTCTAATTATATACTTAGACGACATCCTGCTCATGGCCCAAGATCGCTCCATACTTCTGGCGCACCTGTGGCTGGCGGTGAACCTACTCTCCCGCCTGGGTTTCATTACCAACCAGGGAAAGTTGTGCCTGACTCCCGCCACTCGTATGGAATTCTTATGATTCCTAGTGGATATGGAAGCGGTCACTCTTAGCCTTCCGAGGTCCAAGACTCGTTCGATACGCAAGGAGCTCCGCAGAGCTCTCATCTGGCCACACCTCACCTTGAGGCAACTGGCGCGCCTCATCAGCCTCCTCACATCCTCCATTCAGGCCGTACTCCTGGGTCCACTCCATTACCGCGCACTGCAACGCCTGAAAATAGCTCACCTGAGAGCCGGCGCATCCTACGTGGACCTTGTGTCTCTAGACAGCGAGACGAAGGACGAGCAGCAATGGTGGATCCTCAACCTATCCACTTGGAACGGCAGGGCAATCTTCGGCTCCATGCCGGAGTTCACCATCGACTCAGATGCGAGCATCCATGGCTGAGGGGCTCATTGCGAGGGTGTGGCAACAGGGGGTCGCTGGTCGGAATCCTGAATCCCGACTCCACATCAACGCGTTGGAGCTCTTGGCAGGCTCCTTTGCGATCCGCAGCTTCACGAGGGACCGGGCTTATACATGCATCAGCCTCCGCATGGACAATGTCTCCGCGGTGAGGTATGTGAACCACTTGGGCGGTACTCAGTCTGCGGTTCTGGCAAGATTGGCAAAAGACTTTTGGGACTTTTGCTCAGACCAGAATATGATGGTACAAGCGGAATACCCACCAGAGCTACACAACGTCCAGGCGGACTGGGGTTCATGATATCTATCAGACGCCAGCCACTGGAAATTGGACATGAACGTGTTCTCCAGTTTATCATCTCTCTGGGGCCCTTTTGCTATAGACCTCTTCGCTTCCCGGCTCAACACCCAATTCCCAAGGTTCTTCAGCTGGCAGCCGGAATCCGGCAGCGGAGGCAGTGGACGCCTTCCTGCAGGACTGGAGCGGAGGCCTCCTATACACCTTCCCCCCGTTCTCCATGATTCCTCGCACCCTTGTTCACTCCTACAGACACCAAGCCGAGCTGGTCCTAGTGATCCCATTCTGGGAAATGCAATCGTGGTTCCCCCAGATTCTCGGGATGACAGTGGATTATCCCAGGCTGTTGCCATCCTCCCAGGAACTTCTACTGGACCCGTTGGGGTGTTGCCACCCCCTCCTGTTAGAGGGTTCCCTCCCGCTCCTGGCGTGGTGCATTTCAGGGGACCCTGGGAGGTCCAGGGAGTTTCGGACACTACTAGACACCTGCTTGTGGAGGCATGGGCTCCCGGCACTAGACGGGCATATGGGTCAGCTTGGCGAGCTTGGGCTGGCTGGTGCCTGGCTAGGGACATGGATCCCATTTCGACCCCTGTAACTACGGTCCTACAATTCCTGAATTCCCTCTTTGAAGCAGGTAAGGCCTACATGACCATCAACCTATATCGGTCAGCCATCTCCTAGATGCATCAAGGGTTTGATGGCTGCCCGGCGGTCCTGCACCCCCTGGTGTGTCGGCTCCTCAAAGGTCTGAACCGCGACCTGGGATTTTTCAGTGGTATTATCCTTCATCACTTCTTGGCCCACTAATTCCGCACTCTCCCTATGACAGCTATCGGTCAATTTGGTCTGTTTGTTTTGTCTCATCTCCTGCAAAAGGGTCTCGGATGTCCGTGCACTGGACTTTGTTGCCAGATCTTATACCCCTGATGGTGTCACATTTAATATCAGCAGACGCACCAAAACATCTATTAGGTCAATATCTTATCCGAGTTTCCCCTCTACACAGGCACTGTGTCCGGTGGCCTGCCTACGCGAATATGAAGATCGCACCAAACTACACCGTTCTGCATCCTCTCCTCATCTATTTGTATCTATCCATCCTCTGTTTAAACCCATCACTAGCACCACCTTGTCTCGCTGGGTTAAATGGCTACTCTCTCAAGCCGGTATTGATACTGCACTTTTTGGCGCCCACTCGATCAGGGGAGCCTCGGCATCTTCAATGATGACTTCAGGTGCATGCCTGGAGGACCTCATAAAGATGGCTGACTGGTCGAGGGAATCAGTTTTCCGGGAATTTTACTTTAGACCGGTTCCTCATGCGTTTGATGCGGTGGTCGATAGGCGTTAAACTTGCAATATGAGCCTTCGTATCTTGTGATAAAATTTAATGATTTTGCTATTACATGATGAAAAGTCATGATTTTATTAAAGACATGGAGGCGAGTATTGTCCCACCCATTTATATTACCCATGTTATGTTTAGCTTGTTTTCCCCCCCAGTTTATTTCACTGTATAGGTGACGTATTGTCTTGCTTGGTACGTTAAGTGGGGCTTGTGTTGGATGGGATTTGACTATGTAACTATGTCAATTTGGGTCTATCTGGTTCTTTTACTGCAGATATTGGTGGGGTCTTGTGCTGTTTGGCCTTGATGTTAGTCTCAAGTACTGGTTTAACCCCTGGGCTCCTGTTCTTTATGTTTTCACAGCCTAAACCGATACTGTGGAATGTCTGGCTTCAACATGTATGGACCTTTCCCTGCAAATGAAGCTTGGTTGGCAGTTATCCAGTTATACTTTCCTGTTTATTGACGTGATGTTCCTCCTCTTGGTTTGCAGTTTATACGTCTTTTGGCTTCTCTCTGGACTATATTGCTTTTCCTGTTATGGACTTTGTGTATAGTGTCACATCTTCAGAAAGAAGGAAATGGAAGAGAAGTGCTGCCTATAATACTGGGACCTGTGCAGGGAGGGGCCTATGCTACTTTATGTTCATTGTTTTTTCATTCTGTTTATATCCTTTGCTGCTATTGGTGGACAGTAAAGAAAGGGATATGCAATATGAGCCTCCATGTCTTTAATAAAATCATGACTTTTCGTCATGTAATAGCAAAATCATGCAATTATCAACTCAGATTTATCTTCATAAAAAGTACATCTTTCATCTAACTTGAGGGTAATTTGGGGAAACTGTTTTGCAATATACCGTAGATCGTTCCAAGGACATTGCAAATTACATTTACATATGACTCAACTCGGGAAGTCAAGAGAGTAAACCCCTTTATTATTATTTATGAATCCAACACCTGGTCTGATACTCTTAGATACAATTCAAGCCCAGGACAGGAGAGCGCAATCTTTTTTAAATATAAATATTAAGTATGAAATATCTGAAATATTTAACTTCTTGAAAAAACCATATCAGTATATGTTAACATTACCTTGTTGTTAACATTAGTATGCTATGTTTATAATAATGATTGTTTACCACCAGGTGTTATTAAAGTACTAAATCAGCTTGACTTTGAAAAGAAGAACCAGTACTCAATCACAGTGCAAGCAATTGACTTGAACAATGATATACAACCTGATCCTCTGAAGCAATTAAAAAAGCTTGCTGTTGCTACAATACACATCACAGTAAGTATGTCTCAGAAAAAATAACATAGAAAAGTTAGACACTCAGTTTACCTCATTTATTGTTATTAAAAAGATTTGGTTGAGGGTACACGGGGGTGTACATTATGGTAGCAAGATCACAGCTGACGAGGTATCACCTGGCACTCCAGGCAAATAGCCCACTACTACCTGCAAACACAATCCGCCTTTTATAGCTTTGTGGTTTCCTATATGATATTACCAGCATCATCAGTATTAGTATTATTATTACATTTCATTTTGCTTTGTTAGTTGTATTTTATTTTCTGCTGTATTATTTTCAACTGTGAACAAACCGTACCACATGCTCTTCAGGTCTTCAAAAATGTGTTTAGATCAATATCTGCAAAGAGTCTCCATATGCGCTGATATGATCCCTGATACAATCCAGTAGCACTCCATTATAGGCATTCATTTTGATAAATTTGTTATAAGAGTCTGGTTGAAGTGTGTCAAATACCATCATAGTAACCAGTCCCAAAAAATGGCCCACGTAGATATATAATGGGTTGAAAAACTAAACAGGCACAGATAATTGATTAGTGCTAAATGCAGATTAAGGGAACAGCACAGTTTCTAATCCAAACAGGCTACTTAACAATAAAGATACAGGGAATTGGTTCTATAATATGGAAATACCATGCTAATCAATCTTTGTAAAAGTACCCCAATATCGGTGGGTCCTATGCATTCTTCCATGGGAGAAAAAAAGGCTTACTGCAATATATTTAATATTTTTTATTTAAAAGGTCACTCTGTGGGGATATTTATGGGATAATAATAGTAACAGTGAGAATTGCCCACTAATTCAATTCTCAGATCCTAAAGAACGTTTATCGTGTTAAGTGGAATGTATTTCATATAATTGATATCACAATGTATAAAAATAGATTTTATTTATGATAACCAATAATTAACAAATAATATTATGTAACATGCATGACAATAATCAATGAATATCCAGTATGAAATGGTATGCAATACAAAGGAATGGGTATTACGTTTCAATGGCTAACTAGCATTTTCTGTCAAGAATTCTGACGATTTATGAGGTATCCTTACACAGATTGAAAGTGAAACTTTTCACACAGAGAACAGAATTCCTCAGAGTGCAGCGTAAGGTCGTAAAGTTTAGCCGACAGTTAGAATAACCCTTTCAATGCTGGCTAGATCTCCTAGGTAGTTAAGATCTATTCTGATGTCATTTTAAATAAAATAACATTTAATCCAGTTTAAATTCATTTTCTTAAACCATCCAATAAGAGAATCTAACATTATATAAGCAGATTTTTAATTTGTCTAAAAGATATCTATCTTAATTTAGAGCAAATCAATACACCTGGATAAAAACAGCGGTATGCTAACACGTGATAATATCACATCAATATATAATTATTCTTAATTCCACCTGCTGAATGGAATGTTTATAACTATATATTCTTAGTTAACTAAGATTTCTTAATATGGAAATCTGACAGAGCTTTATCCAGTCATATATAATGCTATTAATACATTTTAATTAATTTAATTTAATTAAATGAAACCAGTATAATTACCAGTTGAGTAGATATTTCATCCGATTGGTAGTCTCTCTGCATGGAGGTGTTGGTTAGAAAGTCAGTAAATTCTAAGTGTTAGAGTTTTAGGAGTAGAGTGTTAGTCTCAGATGTTGTCCGAGTTGGAGTCCCCAAACTTCCAATTCCTCTCCTTTCTCTCCTTTGCATATCTTGCATCTGCCTCCTCTCCTCTCTTATCTTCCCTTTGTCTTAACTTTTAAAGGGCCAGACTCTCTGTACGTCATCAGTTGATAACCCAATAGAAGCACTAGAGGTGTGGTTATCTTCCAGATCGCAAATTAGTTATTTGGTCTGTAGAGGGCAGTCTTGTCCCACTAAACATACCTATCCAGGAAAGAGTTAACTTTTCCTGGTGGCTATTTTGACGTCATTTTGGCCTATCTAGATAGTGGCTATAACTTACGTATCCTTCAAAGATCAAAGGGGTTCTTAAATTTTGTCCAGACTATGTGTCTGCAAATCTGCTATAATTTCTGATATGACAGATCATGAACTAAGTTTACCCTTTTCCATACAATGGTACCTTATATGTATAGACAGTAAAATTAAATTATTTAATCTTCTCTGTCACAATTGTCTGGGTTTAGATTTGATTATATTCTTATCACTTGTTTATACTATGCATTCCTTAGCTCTGGCAAAGAGGCCAGTCTTACAGAAAGAAATCCTGTGTCTCTTTGTCTTTGTTAACTTGGAATAACAAAATGGAGTCTGGTCTGTTCAGAGTGACTCAGAATATACACTTTTAGTTTCTATCTTAGCACAAAATGTCTGCCGATATAAATACTCTGACAACTCCAAGCACCATGAAAATTTTGGTGAATTGAAGTGGGCATGGTTGCTGGAGTCTGTATGTGCTATATTTAGCTATGTTTATGGTTTGCAGTAGAGCTTTGTGTATAATAATTTCCTTAGCAGTATTGTTAACTATAGTTTACTTCAAATATTTAACTATTTATATCCAGGGCCAAATTTGCCACATGACCCCTGGGACCAGGGCATCAGGGCAGCAGGCAGGAGACAGACCGCATGGCCAGTGTGGAGATCAAAGATCTTCATCACTAGCCTGTCCATTCTCCTGCTGTGTGGCTAAGGCCGATAAGAGAGATTTTCCTGGTTGGCATCTTGAATAGAGAGAGGCTCTCCCACACCTATTCTATATCAGAAGGTTGTTGCATCTCCCACTGGACAACCAAAGATCTGTATTCCCCCCTCCCTAGTACAGAGTAAGCCTGAAGGATGGAGAAGAAACATTTGGAAAGCCTCTGTTACCCCACTATAGCCCTTGTCACCCCTGTATAGTCCCTGTTACCCCCAGTCACCATAGATCAACTAGTTGTATAAATACATCCAATAGAAATCGTCAAGCTTTCTGTGTGTGTGTCTCTATATATCAGGGGGTACATTGAAGATACCGACCTTGGGGCAGCAAGGAGGATAATTCTGGCTCAGCTGATATCACTATTATAACCAAGATAAAAAAAATGTTTCTATACTAAATGATGTATATGTTTTTAATTTTTTTTTTTTTTTTTTTTTAACAATTCCTGTGAACATCAGTTAGTGAAGTTAGTAATGGTCTTTGCTATTCTGATGAAAGAAAGACAAATCAATCAAAGTAAAATAAATATTAAATAGAGAAAAATAATGAATATGTTGCTGTTTACTTATAATTTAGCATGTCCATGTTTCAAGTCCCTTAGTTAAATTATGGCTTTTAAATGAGAAAACATATAGCATTTAATTTTTGATTATATTTTTATATGAAATAAACGCAAAACAATTAACATATACAGAATGTTTATAAAGCAGTAAAGATAAATATGACAAATCTATTACTATAAAAATAAAATAAATATATACAGAATTCTAAAAAAAAAATTCAACCAGTTCAGATTGATACAAGATTCTAAAAATGTTCTACAAATACAACACATATATCAGCCTACCTCAAACGCTCATAGATTGTTTTTTAAGCAGGGCCGTCCTTATCTCAAAATATCCACTTTTTCTTTTATAAGGTGCCGCAGAATATATTGGTGCTAAAATGCTAAAAGAAAATTAAAATAGGTTTCCTACAGCCACTCGAGTGATCCAAGCAGGAACTAAACATGGACTTAATAAAAATTCTTCTTTTTTCTCAGTGCTTCTTGATATTTGTCTTCTTCCTTTTCTTGACCCTTGCTGATGTGGAGTTGTTTGTTGCTTGCCTGTCTAGGTCATTTTTTTGTCCATGAGGACTGGAAATTGAGCCCTTTGACCCATTCAAAATCAGAGCACATTTTTGCTACTGACAGCTATGTGTCTTTGCAGTCGTGTTAGATTTGTTCTTGCCTCTCAGGCTTATTTTTGTTTAACAAAAAGAAAAGATAAAGTGTAGTCAATGTGAACGCATTGATTTATGTGTAAGATGTGCTACACAGAAAATGAAAATCATCTGATACACATTGGTTCTATAATATAATCATGCATATTACCATCAATATGATTAGAAGATGAGCACACGGTTATGTGGATAATGGACGTTATTCAGAACATATCAAGTTTCAAAGTCAACATAACTAGAGTGTTTTCTGTTTGCACACAGATTCTCTTAACGTTGATCTAAAATGACAGGCAAACAAATACACTCTCTGTAAAATGTTTAATTTGATAATCATAATATTTGTTTGGCAGAATGTGAATGATGAAGCACCAGTTTGTGTTCCTGCATACTACGAGAACATTATCTATTCAACAACAAAATTGCCTGTCATTCAGTTGCAGTGCTTTGACAAGGATTCCTCTGCTGACCAGCTTAGCTATTCCATTATATCAGGTATAATATTTCTATTTGTCATCACTTGATAAATATGACCAAGTTTTATATCATGCAATCAGGACCGCCACCAGAAATTTTGGGGCCCCTAATTCAGCTCAGGGTCTGGGCCCGCCTCCAATCCCGCCCACAGGGTCCGCCTCCAAATCCCGCCCACATGATTACACACACAGACACAAACACACACACTGATACAAAAGGACACAGATACACACACAGAGATACATACTAACAGACATACATGCATATAGGCATACATACTGACACACACATACTGAGACATACACACATATACAGACACACAGGCATACATAGTGACAGACAGACACATACTAACATACATACAGACACATATGCATGAGGACATACAGACACAAACATACATACACACTGACATACATAGAGACACTGACATACAGACATACATACATATATATATACAGACATACTGACAGACATACAGACACTGACATCCATACACACATACATTCATAATGGCATACAGACATACATTCATAATGGCATACAGACATATATACATACATGCATTCAGACTGACATACATGCATATATACAGACATATTGACAGACATACATACATACATAAATACTGCCATACATGCATACAGACATCCATACACACATACACACAGACATATGTTCATAATGACATGCAGACATACATTGATACTGACATACATACATATATACATACATTCATATATACATACATACAGACATACATATATACATACATACTGACAGACATACAGACATACATAATGACATACAGACATACATTGATACTGGCATACATACATATATACATACATACAGACATATATACATACATACTGACAGACATACATGCATACAGACATACATTGATACTTGCATACACACATATATACATACATTCATATATACATACTGTGACGAGACCAATTTTGCAACTGTGCATTGGAGGAGCTTGGTTGCCCGCCTGCTGCCTTTAGACTATGGCCCCATGTTGAAACGCTTGATTTTACCTTGCAGAGACATGAAAGCCATGTCATTCGGTACTTGCCCTATTTAAACAGTGATACCCCAGATAGCTATGCCATGGAGCCCATTCGTATAACTAAAGACTATGTGAAAGACTTTGGATCCATGGCAATTGAACTGTATTTGATGTATACTTTTAATGTTATGAATAATGTGGAAAAACTGTATTTCTCTGCCTGTGATAATTACATTAACCCATTGTGTAAGGTAATTGTATCACAGGCAGAGGGGAGGATTTTGTGTGGGAGTGTCTGAGTGTATTGTACGTGTTTATCGGTTGTTTTACAAAACCCTGTGGGTGGTACTAATGTGTAAGAATGTGTATATAAGAACAATAAACCCACAGCTCTGTCTGTTCACTGCTTGACCCTCAACATGGAGCTTTGTCTCATTCCTGTTGATGGCGGCCCTGCATGCAGTGGTTGTGCTGTGGTTGTAGAGATTTCTTCACCATGCTATAGGGAGGTACATGAAAAGTGCTACTCTACAAACGATTGAATTTATATGCTGTAGATTTACAGCTTGGCTAATTAATATGAAATGGGTGCAGCATGTATAAATGCTATGTGGATAACCCTAGTCAATCTGGTAACACTAGATTTAGCACATAGCGTTGTTTAATTCCAGATCTGAAACTTTTGTTCACACAGGCTCTGAAAAAAATTTGGGATATTTTTTTTTTAAAACTGATTTATCATCTGCACCAAATGTTTTCTTTTCCTAAAATGTATGTCATGCTAGTACTTATAGAGAACAGTTACACTGTTATAATATGGCAGCCAACGGAAGAATTAGTTTAAATATCTAAATATACAATCTAAAGATGCCACTTGATAATATGTCATTATATTTTAACTAAAGCTTCCAGTAAAATAATCATTCATGTTAATTCCATCAAATTCATTGGTATTGATAAGAATAAAGCATGTTCTCATTTTAGGAAACAGTCCTGATCGCTTTGCTCTTCAAAGGAATGGTTTAGATTATCCATTTTTAGTGACAAATCAAAATTTTCAGTATAATGTATTTGAGGGCATTAAAGACCCAACTGTCTTTCAACTACTAATTGCCGTCACTGATGAATTTGGTGGAAATAAAGCATTACAACTGTCTACAACAGCTACTGTAATCATTCATGTGATTCCTTGGGTTACTACATTACCGACAACACCCACAAAACCAACAACAACAACAGTAAGTTTTTATGTCAATCAGAAAGGTTTATTCATATTCTATATAGGTAACAACTCAATGAGCTTCTAAATTGCATTTTATCAGGTTTGCTTTACTGATGTTAACATTTTTTTTTTTTTTTAAAGAATCATATCAATCAAATGAATTATGATAAATTATTATTTTTTAATATTTAGGATATTTGCAGGTTCCCTGAGAATTGTCTTGGATAGTGTATTCTAAGCAAAAACTATTTTTTATTTTTATTTTATGCCACTATACACATACCAAATTTAATTGTGTAAGTATTATTTATTAAGTCCCAAACCAATACATAATTTGCTTACTTACCATATCCTCTGACATAAATATCACTGGAATCTAGTAAAAACATTATTCTTCATTCTGATACTCACTAAACCACATAATTCAAGAGCTATTTGCTAAGGAGATGATATTTAACTGTATATGTTGACCAAATAGTGGAAACAACATCACTCTACCTACTCAGTGACATTTGCTGTAGTATAATTAAATATTGCAGGCTGTTGTTACCCGATATCCCCATAAAATCCTATGTAAGAAAAAAATCAACATACCAGTTTATGTCTAAGGCAAAGGAAAGGTTTTTGTACTGTAAGAACAATCAGGATGTGGAATTCTCCGCCTGAAGAAGTGTTTTTTTCAGAGTCCATACAGATGTTCAAACAGCTACTAGATGCATACTTGCAAAAACAGAATATTCAAGGATATAATCTTTCAATGTAGGGTAATAACTGCTTGATCCAAGGATAAATCTGACTGCCATTCTGGGGTCAAGAAGGATTGTCCTAGCTTGTTGCAAAATTGTGTTTCAAACTGTTTTTTTTTTTTTGCCTTTTTTTTGGATCAACAGCAAAAAACAAATGTGAGGTAGGCTGAACTTGATGGACGCAAGTCTCTTTTCAGCTATGTAACTATGTAACTATGTAATATGTAACTATGTCTGCTACTAGTCTGTCTGCTTCTAGCCTTACTCCTTTTAAAATGGCACCTTACATCAGGTCTAAACCTGCTAAAATAGATAAAATATTATTTCTGGTCAATTAAAGCACACCAATCTCTCAAGTATTCTAAAAGTGAAAGCAGAATATTAAACATAGTGTAGCTTTTACAAAGCTGGATAAAATTTCTACCACACAAAATACATGCTGCAAATATATTTGACACCATTCACTCACTCACTGAGCACAAAAATATATATGTAAAAAATAAAAAATATATATACTTCTCACCCCTCCTGGGTGGTATACTTATTCCTTATTCCTGGGTCCTCTAACAGAGGCCTGGGAGTTTGAGGGTTCTGCGCAATATCTTATCTGTTCCTAGAACTTCACTCTTCTGGACAGCGGTCTCAGATGTCCCTCCTGGAATCTGTTGAAGCCACTCCCCCGACTCGGGAGTCACAGCCCCGAGTGCTCTTATCACAACTGGGACTACTACTGCCTTCACTTTCCACATCCTTTCTAGTTCTTCTTTTAGTCCTTGGTATTTGTCCAGCTTCTCATGTTCCTTCTTCCTGATGTTATAGTCACTGGGAATTGCCACATCCACCACGACTGCAGTCTTTCGTTCCTTGTCTACCACCACAATGTCTGGTTGGCCAGCACTTGCTTGTCTGTCTGGATCTTGAAGTCCCACAGAGTCTTAGCCTGTCATTCTCAACTACCCTTTGTGATATCTCCCATCTGGACTTAGGCAGGTCCAATCCATATTCGGTGCAGATATTTTGGTATGCAATCCCAGCAATTTGGTTGTGTCTTTCCGTGTATGCTGTTCCTGCTAACATCTTGCATCTGGCTACTAGGTGCTGGACTGTCTCAGAGGCCTCTTTGCACAGTCTGCACCTTGGGTCTTGCCTGGTGTGGTAGACTCCAGCTTCTATTGATCTGGTGCTGAGTGCCTACTCCTGTGCTGCTAGGATTAGTACCTCAGTGCTGTCTTTCAGTCCTACCTTTTCCAACCACTGGTAGGATTTTGTCATGTGAGCCACATCCACTATCTGCCGGTGGAGAGGTTTGTCTTGCAAAAGAACTTCCTCTTTTTCAGCATCCTCGATCTGTGGAAGTCTCAGGCATTCCCTTAGCAGTTCATCTTTGGGAGCATTCTTTGTGATGTACTTGTGGATGCTCTGTGTTTCATCCAGGACTGTGGCCTTGACACTCATCAGGCCCTGACCTCCTTTGTACCGGCAGGTACATTCTATGGGTGCTGGATTTCAGGTGGAATCCTCCATTCATAGTGAGTAGTTTCCTGGTCTTGACATCCAGTTCTTCTCTTGGCCATGTTATTATTCAAGCTGGGTACCTGATGACTGGTAGGGCATATGCGTTGATGGCTTGGATCTTGTTTCCATTGAGCTGGGACTTCAGGACCTGTCTGACTCTTTGGAGGTACCTGGATTTGCTATCCTCCTTGCCTCTTTTCTGATGGTTGCCATGTGTTTGTGGTACCCCTAGGTACTTTTAGCTGTTCTCTACATCATCTATCTTCTTCCCTCTTTTTGCTATCCTAAACAGGAAGATAGATCTTTAAATCCCTCCTAATCTCAGCCAAAGTACAATCATACAATATTTTTGAATTAGCACACAAGTTGTAATACATGACGCATACAAATACACAAACTCATGTGAGCACTAATGCTATGTCAAGGCTTCAAACCTGTTGCTATCCATTCACACATCATTCATTCATATTTGTAATCTACATATTCACACACCATTCATTCATATTTCTAGACTATCCACTCTCATACAACACTAATAATAGAAGATTTTTTTGAGCACTGAATATATATAATTTTTTTTTGCAAAAGAAAAAAGGGGACAGGAATTTTAGGCATATTGTTATAGAATTTGTTATGAAGGCCTAAAGAAATATTAAAATGGCTAATGTTATACATATTTAATTTTCGCAACTTTGGATGGTGGTTAGTGGCACTGGAGTGATTACTATCCATTTACAGATGGTGACATCTCAAGTATGGAAGGGGAGTATTGGTAACCCAATTTAGGAGATTAAAATTGAGGAAGGCTATTTGCTCCATCAGTCGCGGTGACATTTGAGACCTTTGTGGATTGAGGATGTTCCCTGTACTAGAGAACACTCTCTAACTTTCCACAGAGGTTGGAGGAAAGGATAATAGCTGCTGGGCTAGGCCACAAACTGAAGGCAGAGAGCAGGCCACAAACTCCTTTTACCATCCCAGTAGGCCAAAGGGTCAGCAGTAGGAGGCAACGGTAGTTCTTACAGGTAGATTCTGACCATTTCAGAGGCACTGCTCTCCTCTCGGTTACCTGGTGCTTAACTTGTTCCCACCAAATTGACAAGGGCCTCTGCCCAAAATGCAGATGCTGCACTTTGTTGTGCTGGGGTCATGCAGCTGCTAGGAGTAGCAGACATGTCAGGTGTAATGCCCAAATTTGCCTCATCCAGCATGCCGCTGTTTTGATGCAAATTATGAATCAGATTAACAAGTTGTTCCTTCCAGTGTGTTCAGGGCTTTTGTTGAATCTTTCTTTTAGGCGACCTTTCAAAAGCTCTTTCAGCTTCTTGAGTACTGCTGCTACATTAGTCTGGAGTGTGCCGCCAGGAACAGGTTCCCTGCTTTTAAGCAAGTGAGATGAGTGAACAAGGGAATGACCTGTCCCAGACTGGCATTGCTTTGACTTAAGCTTTCAGTCACATCCCTAAATGGTTTTAGGACTGAAACTAGCTGTCCAGTCCTCACATCCCACTGTGTGGACCCAATACCAATGAACTGGTGCAAAGAAATATTATGAATGACCCTCTGCTGCCCAAATATTCTTTCTAGCATTTCTAGAGTGGAGTTCCACTGTGTGCTAACATCCTGTCGCAGACAATGTGTCGGAATCCCTGTTTTATCTTGCTCCTGCCTCATGATTTCGCTTGACCTTACACTATGGTGGAAATGGCCAGCAATCCTGCTGCAACGATCCAGTATAATTGACACCTTGTTGTTACCTTCTGGAATTGCACTCTTCACCACTAAATGTAGGATGTGTGCAGAACAGCGCACACCGATAAAAGAACCATCTCTGAGAGCTTTTGCCATATTGGCGGCTCCATCGCTCACCATGAACCCAACATGCACATTGGTGCCTGCCTGCTCTACAAACCAATTTTCCACCATTCGTTTAATTGCCTGCAAATTTTTTTCAGAAGTATGCTTTTCATCCATGACTTCAGTATGTAGCAGGAGAGATCTATAACCCTGATGCCCTACAGATCCACTACCGGCCTGCCTTGCTGATAAGATTAGACCACCTCCACTAGTACCACTACACCCAGGCACAGTGGGCTGCCACCAGTGTGCGGTCAAAGAGAATAATGCATGTTGGCGTTGGCCACTAGGTGCAGTCCACAAATCAGTGGTGAAATGTCCTGTCTAAGGCTGTACAATCAGCCTTAGCCAGGCTTTCCTTCACCACTGCTACGCAAGAATGGTCAAGTGCAGGAACTATGTTTCTTCTGAAAGTTGTACATGAGGGAATGACATATCGTGGAGCAAGGGCATGCATTGGCTGTCTAAATGGCGCCCCGTCAATCATCAGAAAAGAAGCTCCTCCTACAGCTATGAACTGGGCAATCAGGTGAGTGATCTTGTTGGCCTGCTGTTTTGACATGCCCCTGGAACTAAAGCCAACAACATTTTCTAGAGTAGGCTGGTGGACACTTCCCTGGGATGATGAGGCACCTGACTGTGTCTGTACAACCAGCCTTTTTGGACTACTTGAATCCTCAATATTCACTGTGCTCTTCCTAAGTGTGGTGGAGGAGGTATCACTGGTATTAGGTAGTAAGAAGAACTGATCAAGGTCATGTATAGTCCCAGTGGCCTTGCTTCCTGCCTTAGTTCTTTCTTTTTCTGCCTCCTCCTGAGCTACTTCTGAAACTGGTATCACATGATACTTCTGTCACCATTAGAAAGTGTGACAGATGTAGGAGAAGATGCAGGAGGTGAGTGTATACTAGCATGTGAATATAGGGGACTACTACTTGACATCTCAGGGTATCCCTCTTGTAATTCATCCTGCTCATACTGTTGTTTCTCTGGGGCCATAGGTATATTACTGAGTATATTGTCTGCAGTGGTAGGGGAAAGAGCAAAATCATAATCAGATCCATCATCATCACCACCAACACCAGACATTGGGGACCCTGGTTTGGTGCTGTGCTCTACCTGTTCAGTAAAACTTGTCTCTGGTGGCAATGACAACATAATCTCACTCTCTGCTGCTCTATGCCTTAGTTGCTTCTTTGGGGTGCTACAAGGACAAGGTATCATTGGTAAGGGCAACAACTCCACTTCTTTAACTGGTCTCTTGCTTCTACCATAAAACTTAGATGGTATGACACTAGCTGTGGTAGAAGAAGCTGCAGTGGAAGCAGCAGCAGATGTTATTGTGGAACTGGTGGTCTTCATTTTTGGAGGGGAATCAGAAAAAAGCCTCTTTGTACATGAGGGATGCTGCTTTTGAATGGAACTCATAGTCCCTACCATGTTCTGCTCTTTGGTACTCATTTCTTGCTGTTTTTTTCAGGTAAACTAGTACAAGTTGTGGTGGTGGCAGTGGTGGTGGTACTAGTGGTGGCGGTACTAGTGGTGGCAACAATAGTGGTGGTGGTACTAGTAGTAAAGGTGGTGGTGGCAGCGGAGGGGTCAGCATCAGCAGTACTAATATAAGTATACATGCGTATGTTACCATTTGTGTCTTAATTTATGTATCTGTAAGTGTCTATGTCTATTTGAATTTGTGTTTTCATGTGCATGTATAAATGCATCTCTTTGTGCGCGTCTGTGAGGATACATTATGTGTCTGTGAGTGTGTGCCTTTGTGCAACTGCAATTAAATACCTCTGCAACCGATTGCAATCTCTATATGTATGTACCTGTGTGTCTTAGGGAGGTATTCCTTTTTATTAATTTCTTTAATCTGTAAGAAAAAGTTGAAATTGCAGAATTTTATACCATGAAATGTATGGATCTACATTTTACTCCCAAAATATCCATGACAGCTACCCAAACATAGCCGTACACCAATTACACACTTGCAGCTACCCATACATCATGCATTGCAACACAGATCACTCACAGCTAACCAAACATATCTCTTACAACTATTCATACAGCAACACACATCATCACATCTACCCAGTGGCGTACCTAGAGCATTTGGCACCTGGGGCAGAACCTATATTTGGCACCCTCCCCTCCCAACTTTAAAACATAAAAAACACCCTCAAAATGTTTTAATGTATTTAGCACGAGTAGTGTTTGTATATTTATAATTTTTTTAATGTATTTAGCCCTGAGCAGGGTTAGTGTGTTTGAACGTAAGCATGTTTTTGTATGAAGTCTGTGTGAGTCAATGTAGGAGTGTGTTTGTATGTAGTGTAGGCATTTGAATGCAGGTTTGCATTTATGTGTAGTGTGGTTTCTGAATGCACATACACACACATAAATATATTTACACACTGACACACATACACACAGAGACAGACAAACAGACAGATACACAGACACACGGACAGATACTTATTGACATTCATACAGATACACAGACACACAGACAGATACACACTGATACATAGGTACACACATAAAGATACATAGACACAGTCACACACAGATACAGACACACATGCAGCTTCATAGACACACATACAGATTCACACACTGACACACATACAGATTCACACTTACACACATACAGCACACAGTCACACATAGATACTCTATTACCTAGTTACATAGTTACATAGCTGAAAAGAGACTTGCACCCATCAAGTTCAGCCTTCCTCACATTTGTTTTTTGCTGTTGATCCAAAAAAAGGCAAAAAAAACGTTTTAAGCACAATTTTGCAACAAGCTAGGAAAAAAATTCCTTCTTGACCCCAGAATGGCAGTCAGATTTATCATTGGATCAAGCAGTTATTACCCTACATTGAAAGATTATATCCTTGAATATTCTGTTTTTGCAAGTATGCATCTAGTAGCTGTTTGAACATCTGTATGGACTGATAAAACCACTTCTTCAGGCAGAGAATTCCACATCCTGATTGTTCTTACAGTAAAAATACCTTTCCTTTGCCTTAGACGAAATCTTCTTTCTTCCAGTCTAAATGCATGGCCTCGTGTCCTATGTAAAGTCCCGTTTGTGAATAGATTTCCACACAATGGTTTGTATTGGCCCCGAATATATTTGTATAATGTTATCATATCCCCACTCAGGCGAGTGTGTGTGTCCCTTCCCTCTCCCCATCTCAGCACAATTACAATCTGCCCCCCTTCCAAGCCCTCCATCTGCAAAACCCATGCCCAGCCTCTTAATAAAAAAGCAATAATAACATTAAACAGAGTGATGTGGCAAAATCCAATTGATAGTCAAGTGAGCAAAGAGGCTCCAGCAGAGAAGCAGCTGCACTCAGATCAGATCCTTCTGTGCCACACAGTGTTTGAAGCACCATGAGAGAGCGGAGCATGCTGACGCCAGTATGTGGCAAAGTGCAGCTCCACGCTCCTCCTCCCCATAAAATAGTGCTGCATGGATGTTCAGACAGAGCCAGACAAGGAAGGAGAACAAGTAATGAAGTGAGTAAAACATCCTGTATGCAGCATGTTTTATTCAGTTCACAATATGTTAGCAGTGATGCAAGCTACTTTATGCGATTTGTGCTGGCTGTCTGTCGCGGTCACACACCCCACAGATTGGCCCTGCAGGGGCACCATCCCTAGTGAGCAGTACCCGGACGGACCACCCTGCGCTCCCCTGTTAGTACGCCACTGCATCTATCCATACATTATATACATTATTCTCAGTCAAAATGCCCACATCACACACAGACACAGTCGGAACATGTCTCACATACAGCTCCAATACTTACAGCCACCTGGCAACTACACTATCAGGCTCACTGAACATATTTTCCCCCTCACACACACATAGCCTTTTAATATATATTTACTTCATGTAAAATTGGAAATAACCTAGATAAAGAATTCCAGAGTGCACAACCTAATCAAAAATGCTGCGTACACCTATGCTAATAAACAGATATTCTTACTGTGATCCTTCAGTTGTTGTCTGACTCCAAAGCCCAGAATAGATTGCAATTCATGACTGGTGAACAAATCAAACGTATTTAAACAGATAATTGTCCCATTTATTGCAGTAAAGATTGTTATAAATATGCTTTTCTCATAACAGGATGTAATTAATTAAAGTACACTTTTTTCCAGGTGACTACATCCGTGCTCGTTCGAACATCATATTTTTGGCATCCTGATAATTGGTTTCCTGCTGTTATTACAATTACAGCTGCTTTGTTTTTGCTATGTCTTTACGCGTTGGCTTGGGGTTTCCTGAAAGAGTAAGATATTTTATTTTTTGCAACTGAATTATATCTTGCTTTATGATGTGCATGCAAATACATTATTAGATTAAAATCACACATGTTTTAACTGTACCATAAGACATACAATTTCAAATAAAATAATGTAAAAATAATATTACTTGAAGGTATAAATTAACATGAAATAGTGTAGAATGTAGTTTTAAAAATGTGATCATTGTTCTTCACTTGCTACAGTATACAACACCCTAGCTCAGTCTCAAAGGTGATTATGTAGTAGGACAGCTATATTACAAATATTGGACAGGCCACCTTCAGCTATTTTGCTCATGGACCCTCATCCCACGACGGCTGAAAGTAATTTAATTATTGGCGTTTTAGTTTGTCCTTCCAGGTTGCTTCTCTACACTTTCTTTAGCCGGGAGTCCTTTCAATCGGACACCACAGTCTTATTCCAATGCTCTTTATTACTAACTTAAGTCTAGATCACAAATCAGCTGATCGAGTGTATTGGTTGTTGATTGGCTCCCAATAAGCCTTTTATCAGTTCAAGTCAATTTAATCACCACAGTAAAGGGCTTACCGATAAATATTATATCAAATATTATCCATTATATGCTTTCCATGGCAATTATTGGATTCTATGACTCAAAACAATTAATCAGGGACATAATCCTTGTTAAAACACCTTAAAAATGTCAGAAAAAAGCTATCAAAAATGTATTTTTGACTATTTGCCTATTAGCAAACTGTGGGCAATTAGTAACATTTTTTTTTTATAAGTGCCAATATGACTCAAATATTCATACAAGGGAGAAATCATGCACTTCTTCCATGCTCACACTCACTATGCCACCCATCAGCATCAGTAATGTATTCAGTTTAAAATATGGAGGGAGTGTGCATAGATCACTGTCCTGTATGGTGGGAATATTGACTAATATAATAATGTGGGGTTACATAGTTTCAGGGGCCAGGGTGACACCAGCTTCACAGTTCATTTTAGTTCCCCTACCACTGGCTCACTGCCGGCTGCTTGCATTGAAGTCAATGGGGACCCAAACTTTTGGGCACTAAAATGGCTCTGAAAAAGTCCTGGAAAGGGCTAGAGGACTGCAAAAGGAAGTAAAATGTATTGCCTAAATACTAATATACTTACCCAGTGGAAGAAGAAGAATGTTACACTGTATTCAATTTTAAATAAAAAGTATACAAACATAGCCAGGATTCAGCTGTAAGCATTTGCAACACTTACAACAAAAATGTAAGTTACTTGGCCAGTCAATGTAAAGACAGAAATGAATAAGTAGATAACTCCCTAATTCTCACAGTATTAGAGAGCTATCTACTAAACGGCTGAAAGACCTGAATTGGTCTTTCAGCCAAATTTACTAATACTAAGTAAAGATTACTTACGGTAGTATTAGTATTTGTATTAGTACTAGTATTAGTATTAGTAAATTATGCCCCTACTCGCTATACCGCGAGTAGGAGCATGTCTATTAAACAGTTAGCTGCCTATGGCTGTTCACTGTTAAAAAAAAAAAAGGAACCTATTGTCCTTTCCCCCTGGCCCCCACACCTGAGTGGTGGGTGGGGGCCCTAAATACCAATAAGGGGGGAACCTATTGTCCTTCCCCCCAGTCCCCACTCCTGAGCGGCGGGTGGGGACCCTAAATTAGAATTGGTATTTAGGGGGAAAACATTAGGTCCCCCCCAATTTTTATTTAGGGCCCCCACCCACCGCTCAAGGGTGGGGGCCAGGGGGAGGAAATTAGGTCCCCCCTCCCTAATTGGTATTTAGGGCCCCCACCTACCGCTAAGGGCTGGGGGCCAGGAGGGAGGACATTAGATCTCCCCATTTTTATTTAGGGCCCCCACCCACCGCTCAGGGGTAGGGGCCAGGGGGAGGACATTAGGTCCCTCCTTAATTGGTATTTAGGGCCCCCACCCACCACTCAGGGGTGGGGGCCAGTGGGGAGGACATTAGGTCCCCCCCCAATTTTTATTTAGGGCCCCCACCCACCGCTCAAGGGTGGGGGCCAGGGTGAAGACATTAGGTCCCCCCCAATTTTTATTTAGGGCCCCCACCCACCGCTCAAGGGTGGGGGCCAGGGGAAGGACATTAGGTCCCCCCTCCCTAATTGGTATTTAGGGCCCCCACCCACCGCTCAGGGCTGGGGGCCAGGAGGGAGGACATTAGGTCCCCCCCCTTATTCTAATTTAGGGCCCAACTCTAGTAACTACATTACTAACGTTACTCTACTGGTTTTCTTTCAGTGTTCCAAAATATGCAAACTTATTTCCTCTTTGCCGAGGTATTCATAAGCCCCTGAAATCACCCAAACCATCTGTTCCTGAAAAGAGTGCTAAAGGTCAAAGGTAAGAAACAAGATGTCTCTCTGATATAGAAAAAAATTTCTAATACAATCTCCCAAAAGGCGATTTGCCAATAATATACTTCTTTAGTTGGTTTGATTGTAAGATTTCTTTCCTCTTCAAGGAGCATCTTTTATATGTCCTTAATCATTTGTTAAAGGTACACTATAGACCCCTAAACAACTTTAGCCTAATAAAGAAATTTTTGGGTAAATAGATCATGTCCCCTGCAGTCTCACTGCTCAATTCTCTACCATTTATGAAGTAAATCACTTTTGTTTCTGCTTATGCAGCCCTAGCCACACCTCCCCTGGTTGTGACACACACAGTCGGCATGAAAAGAAATGGTTTCACTTTCAATCAGAAGTAACTTACTTTAAACATTGTTATCTCCTGCTCTGTAATTTGAACTTTAATTGAAGATTATGCTAGCTTTAGTGTACTAATAATCTTAATTTTAATAAGGACAGGAGGTGAGTATTTTGCATTAACTCTCTTTACTAAACTCCATAGCAGTAAAGAAAAATGTAAAGAATAAAAATAAATCAATGAGCAGCATAGTCTATATATGGGTTATGCTGCCTGCACACTTCCTCTTTCTTTAAGCGACATCCAAGTCCTGACTGAACCCGAAATCAACCAGAAAACCAAACAAAACCATTAGAAGCGTCCTCTGGGAAGCGCTGAACTTGAGGAGACTCCCGACCATCGAAACTAGGAACCTGAGACACACTAAGTCATCAGTCAATCAGGCGGAGTCGTGAGAGATCCCGAAATGACATCCAGTGGAGGTCTTGAAGAGGGTTACACTGAAAGGAGAGAATAAAACAGGCTAAGTACTGAACCGTAACTGGTCAAGCAGATAAGCCTTTATCAGCATGCTTTCAAGATGAAATTAATATGGAGCAGACGACAAAATAATATTATACAATAAAACATGCTCCTGAAAACGATATAATGTCAGGTCCCTATAATGTGTAACAAGCGGGAACCAGAGTAGACCACAATATGATAAGATAGGGAAACAACGAATTTAACCAGTGAAAATTAACATCCATCACCTTGAAATCCACCCCCCAGAGGTGTGTCAGGGGAGGGAACAGAAGGGAGGGAAAATATTCGCCTCCTGTCCTTATTAAAATTAAGATTATTAGTACACTAAAGCTAGCATAATCTTCAATTTTATAACATGACAGGAGGCTTCCTATTTTGCACTTTTAACGCTGAATGAAAGATATCCAAGCAGAAGGAGGAATGCGGAAATAGAAGGTACGAAATGTAGTTTCCCTAGAATAATCCGCCGCCCGTAGAATATCCGACAAAGACGCCCCCGCTAGGAAGGCTGAGGAGGCAACCGTTCCACGTACGGAATGAGCACCGAAAGAGGGGTCTATACCAGCGAGAGAAAGGATCCAGCGAATCCATCGAGCCAGCGTGGTGACTGAGACCGGAGCGTGGGGCCGAACGTAGGACACAAGGAGTTGGCCCGACGCTGAGTTCCAAAGAGGGGAGGTAACCGTGACGTATCTGCGAAGAGTAGATACCACACAAAGCTGCGGGTCGTCTGAAAAACGTCAAATCTGACTTGGTATGTCAGGAAATACGGAATGTGACCCCATCAGGGGCGACATCGAAAGCGTTGACGTTGAAGGCTCACACATCCGACACTCGACGGAAAGACACACGGCAAAGCAGGAAAGTGAACTTAGCTGACAATTGTCAGAGAGGCAATTGTTCGTTAGGGTGCCAATCCCGGATAAAACGGAGAACCAGCCCAACGTCCCAGAGGTGGGTGTAATAGGGGGCCGGAGGGCGGCGGAGCTGCATACCGCTGAGAAGGCGGCAAACTAGAGGGTCTTTGCCAACTGGGAGGTCCCTGAAGGGAGTGTGGGCCGCCGAAATTGCAGAATGAACAACGATAACGGAGCGGTAGGAACGGCCTGTCGAAAACAAGGACGATAGAAAGTTGAGAATCATGGGAATAGGTGCTGTAAATGGATTGGAGTCCCATTCCACGCACCAAGTAGACCAGGAGGCCCAAGCTGAAAGGTTGCAGCGTCTAGTTCCGGGGGCCCAGGAATCCCATAAGAGGTCCCTAGCAGCCTGCGATAGTCCGCCGACTTGCCAGGAACCCCTGAAAGAGTCCAAGCCACAAGGGGCAGACGGTCTTCCAGGAGTTATGGGTGAAGATTCCCTTTGGGATCCGTGAGTAGGTCCGGGAAGGACGAAAGGAGTAGAGGGTCCTTGCATGAGGAAGCCAGGAGGTCCAGGAACCATGGTTGGTTCTGCCACAAGGGCGTTATGAGAGTCAGTGTCACTTGCTGTGTCCAGAGCTGGTGCAGTGTTCTCGCAATCATGGCGAGGCCCCGGTGGTCGTCCAACGTTGGAGAAATGCATCCGTCGCCTTGCTCTCCGGGTCCGGGAGCCAGCTGAAGAATTCAAGGGTCTGGTGGTTGTTGCGGGAGGCAAACAGGTCCAGATGAAAAGGACCCCTCCGGGCTGCAATGGCCCGGAATATTCTCGTGTCCAGCTTCCAGTCGCTGACGTCCCTCCAATGACGGGAGAACCAGTCCGCCGTGAGGTTGATCTCTCCGGGGAGATATTCAGCCTGGAGTGCGATGTTACGGGGAAGACAAAAGTCGAAGATGTCTTTCATGATGTCCGACAGAAGGCGGGAGTGTGCACCCCCCAGGCGATTGATATATCGGACTGTGGAGACGTTGTCCATGCGAAAGAGGATGCAACAGTTGGATTTCTCCTGAGCCAGGCTGCGGATCGCGAAGGAGTTCTAAGCAATTTATGTGTTGTCCATGTTCCCCCCGTGGAAGTTGTTCCGCTGGTAGCGCCCCAGCCCCACAAGCTGGCGTCGGACTCCAGTATAAAATCCGGGGAATCTCCGAATATGGCCCTGCCATTCCAGGCCTGCATGCTGTCCAGCCACCATGACAGTTCTTCATGAACCTCCGCCGTCACTGGGACGGGCTGATCGTACCTGGGCCTGCGGTGCAGGAATCTCGCTTTGAGTCGTTGCATGGCCCTGTAATGGAGGGGGCCCGGGAATATGGTCTGAATGGAAGTGGAGAGGAGTCCCACGATTCTGGCTAAGTTGCGTAACAGGATGGAGTCGAAATGAAGTACCCTGCGGATTTCCTTGCGAATAGACGAGATCTTTGAGGATGGTAGTCTCAGAGTGCACGATGTGGAGTCGATCTCGAAACCCAGGAATTGTATAGTCTGGGAGGGAGCCAATTCCGATTTCTGGTAGTTCACCACGAAACCCAGGGATTCCAGTAGTGTCACTGCGAGACGAGTGTGTTGACGTAGCCTGAACTCCTCGGAGCAGAAGAGAAGGATGTCGTCCAGGTAAATGATACAGTTGCCGGCCAGCCCTTCAAAAACCCCTCTCAAAAACGCTCATACCAAAATCCTCCCTCCTTCCTTCCTTTTTTTTTTTCTTTCTCTCTCTACACTTTTCCTCTGGACCCATTACCCAACCACTAGTCTACTCTGCAGATAATCACCACGAATACTGCACCCATTTGTGACGCCCATCCCGACCACACGCACCCAGCCAGGACCTAGGTCTAGACTCAGCCGCTGTAGACTCTGTAGGTGTACGCGATACGCCCACCATCTCCTAAGTAGACCAGCTCTCGTCACTACTTAGAAAAACGAATACAAGTCAGACGTGCATTACTACGTACACTGATCTGCTACAATACCCCACTCAAAGGCAATATCAACTGCTGCAAGACGCATATAGGTGACAAGCGCCCTGGGCCGATCATTGGCTGGTCGATATCACATGAGGTTGACGTACTGAAAGACAATGCCTTTTGAACCAAGAGGTATACACTGCAACCCACAGGCACACACATAAAACCTACCGCCGCTGCTCCGCAGCCTTGTTAGCCACGCATAGACCAAACGCGGACAGACCCGCATCACAAACCCTCCACTCACTACAACCCTTGGCCCGACCCAACAACAGACCTTGGCACGGGGTGCGGGACAATGCAGATACACCCGATTAGAAATGCTGACCCATGCTTTACTAGCACTCGACAAAAAATGTTTACGTTTGCAAAATGCATGCATGTTATTTTATTCTGCCTGTTCCTGTAACACCCGACTGCTTCACCACTCAAGCCTCTACATAGGCGCCATATGCTCTTTACAATGCCATTCTCAATGCTTGTGCTCATGAAACGATGACAATAAAAATAATTTAAAACAAAAGAACCAAATTGTTAGTCCCACTGTGTTAGTCTAATCTAAAAAGGAGATTGAGCTTTTATATATTGTATAATATTTGAGGTATTTAAAGGCTATTGTCTGGTAGAAAATTGACATTAATAATATTTATAGTTCAAATTGGTTTTAAAATCCACATGTAACATATTTTTTGTATTATTTCAGCAAAAAACAGGACTCACTCAGCAATAATAAACAACCTGCAGAGAACCCAAATATTTTGCCTGGGAATCCAGTTGTAAGTGTACTTGGTTTAACTGATGCAAAATTAAATTATATAATTTTTCCCATGGATAAAGAAATTTTGTTATAAAAGTAACTATTATTTCTTTTCACACCAAACACTGAAAATCTTTAAAAGAAAATCTAAATTTAGGAAAAATTGTAGATTTGTTTTGCAGGAACTAAGCATGGAATGTATGCGGTACCAACTTGTTTATTTTTTCATAATTTATGCTGGTTGCTATTTCCATCCTAAATTAAAAATGCAAATATGACTTAGTTTACTATATTGATTGTTAAAAAAAGTTATAATAAGAATTTCTCGATTGCATTGTTTTTAAATTGAAACAAACACAATCTTATTTTACACAGGCAGCAACATAATCTTAGACCACCACAAGGTGTCACTGTTGCAACATAATAGCTGAACACCACATACGAGTAACTATAAAATGTAATATTGAATTGATATTTTCTGATTCATGATGAAATGCTTTTTTCAGCAACTTTAGAAAAATAAATAGCAAAAATATAATAAAAAATATCAATATCTATGGAAGAGATATATAGCAAAACAAATATTTTAATATTTTGTCCTGCTTAAATGGAAACTGTCCCTTTAAACAATATATAACACATTATGTGATCTGTATTTCAGTATTACATATACTGAAAATAAATTTTAACTATGTTAAGGACAAAACAAGTAATCTTTACTTTTAAAAAGATATATCTGTGTCTATGACATCATAATTTGGAAATATAGTAGCGACTCACAAATCTAAAGGGACTCTATAGCTTAATGTAATGTTGTTCTGGTGTCTATAGCCTATCCCTGCTAACTTTTTAATGTGGCTTTGGTGGCTATGAAGTCCACAGACTCACCGGGGTGCACTACCCATATTGGGGGTGCACCGCTGAATCGTGCAACACCTCTCTAAAGCCCATCAGAGCTGGGAGATCGGGACGCCACGTGCGGCCTACTGGAGTTGGAGCTGGGGGGAGGCGGATGCTCTCCCTGACACTGAGCTCACCCAGTAACTCTCTGATCTCCTACCCCACCCCTGTCAGGGTCAAGTTGTAGACCTGGAATAGGCTACAAGACCATCGCTAAGCAGCTTAGTGAGAAGGTGACAAAAGTTGGTGTGATTATTCGCAAATGGAGGAAACACAAAATAACGGTCAGTCTCCCTCGGTCTGGTGTTCCATGCAAGATCTCACCTCGTGGAGTTTCAGTGATCATGAGAATGGTGAGGAATCAGCCCCGAACTACACGGGAGGATCGTGTTAATTATCTCAAGGCAGCTGGGACCTAGGGTGCCCAAGTGTCCTGGATTGCCTGGGACAGCCCCGCATTTTGAGAGCCTATCCAGGGTCCTGAGCACCCTCATTCCTGGACAATGTAGTTTCCCGGAATGAGCTGAGCTGCACCGTTGCCGCTGCTGTCTCTGCAGCCCAGCGTGCCCAGTCGACAGGGGAGATCCTTTGATCTCTCCTCCCGGCCCCATTTTATTCCGTGGCCCTCTCGGGCACTGGAGAGATCAAAGATCTCCCTCACCGTCCTAAAGGCCCTTTGTTAGTGGGAGAGAGAGGGCAGTAGGGACCTGGAAGACAGGAGGAGCGATATGGGAGGAAGATGACTCCTCCCGCGAGCATGCTGTGTGGAGTGTTGCTGCGCATTACCACAGCAATGCTCCACACAACATTCTTCTTGCGGGAGTGAAGACAGCCTGCAGGCTATAGATCACTACTCACCACCGGAGCACCAGGGCTGGCAGTGTCCCCCCACCTTCCTCAAAGGTAAGAAGAAGGGTTGTTGGGACATAAAGATTTTATAAATGGATATTCATTATTATTAAAAAAAATAACTACATTTAAAAAAACATTTGCTCCCTGCACCCCTTACTCACACACCGCACCCATCTCACACACACACACACACACACACACACACACAACAATTCTACACACACAGCACCCCTCACACACACACAGCACCCCTCACACACAAACAGAGTTATGGTGGTTTAGGATAAGCATGTTTTTTGTGTGTAAATTATTTTTATTATTTTTTTGTGTTCATATGTTAACCGAAAACACAGGAAATGAGAGCAGAGCGAGTCTTGAAGAACGCAATACCACAACGTAGAGGTGTTGAGATACATACGTCTCCAATACAAAGAGAATATAATTAGTTCAGCAGATAAAATGATAGATCATAAAAAAACTATTGTTTCCTGAATGCTAGCTGTTCTAAAGGGTAACATCATTACAGCTGAAATGTCTATAAGCTATCATCTTGCTGATACAATTGTAGACAAGTGGCAACATAAAAGTATTATGTCTTTTATCTACGGCCTGCAACCATTGCGTGTCATGGTAATTCGGTGTGAATTATCACATTTTGCTTCTATAATTACTCCATTTTAGCTGTTTGAATAGGAACTTTAATCCAAAATGAGGGTTTGAACAAGTGGAGTCTGGATATATGGGGAGGGGGGAATATGATCTCTCGGCTTCACATTAAGAGGATCCGCAACTCCGTGGAGAGGATTCAATGGGTCCAAATGTTTAGATAGGTTTGGTGAGTTCGACCATGGAATGGAAATCCTCCATGCTTGGAAACCAAAAAGTCAGTGTAGGTGGAACCTCTTTCCTTCAATACAACATTATCAGGCTTTTGGCCTCATTCAAATTCCAAATCTTTAGGGATTTCCTGTACCCTGAGGAGCAAGTATGGTATGGGGCTGGGATTATCAGAGAATATCTATATTATCTAGTGTATTTTTTTCCTAGTATGGACCTATTTGTGAGTATTCCCACCATATCTGAAATTGTATTCCCTCTGTATTCCTTGAAGAGTGTCTCTTGGATGTAAACTACCTGTGCTTAATGTCTCTTGAAATGTCTAATGGCATGTGAGCATTTATCTGGAAGCTCAGTTCCTTATCATAATGAAGAAGGGCAAGTATGCTAGAATGACACCGGTGAATGAGGAGGATTTGCCCCGCTTCTTAAGAGTGCACCAGCTGTTCTTGTCATTTCTGCTCTAGCTCTTCTATGGCACTGGGGTTGCAGCCCTACGTCGGGTTGAATGGTGGTCGGCAAATAGAAGTCTATTGGGACAAGCCACCACATGTTTATGGGAGGAAGCTGAAGCTGGGTCCCAAGATGAACAAAATCCTGATAGGGTCAAACAGTTTCCAGGCCTTTTGGAGTGTTGACCACCAGGCCCATAGTTAGCTGCCAGTGGTAGCTTATCTTCTGGGTTGCCAGAACATGGGTAAGTGGTTTTAGGGCTCTGCAGTATGCAACTGCAGCAGTTGATAAGTCTGGAAAGAGTTGCAGGTGGCATTGGTGGTAGTGTAGATTTGTTGTTTCTCTGGCTGCATGCAAGATAGCTTCCTTGAGTCCATAGTCGGCTAAGCAGAAGAGGGCTGTCTGAGGGCCTTTTGGCCTCAGGGCCAGATGTGCTTGGATAAAGAAAATAGAGGAGGCATTTGAGGAGGCAATTGAAGATTTCCATGAGGACTTTGCGTAGGTGAGTAGGAGATTTGTTTTTTTCAGGTACACCCATAAGTCTAAGGTTACAGTGATGACTTTTGTTATCAAGATTGACAATAAGGACTGCCATCATCCTTAGCTGGCCATTCTGGCAGGGTGTCTGTTGTTATTGATTGATTGATAGTGTCGGAGTTGGCCTCCAGCTGATCTATGAGGTCCTGAGGCCCTAGATGTCATCAATGAGGCATTGTAGGTCTGCTTGGATGGAGGCTTGCACGGCTGAATTCGCCTCCTGCAGATTTGGCTTTGGTTGGCAGATCTCTAATTAGGTGAAAAAAGTTCCATCTCTAGGCCATCTCGAGGTCGGCTCTCACTGGCCGGTGAGAGCCGCAGGTTTCAATCTGGCATGGTGGTGAAGTATACCCGCAGGGAAGGAGTTAGAGATATTTTCCTCAGGTCCTAGGACTTTGTGGGACCAAAATGCTTGTGGATTTTTCCCTTCTTATGTGTAGCATCGGGGGAGAAATATGCTTGGTGTACATCAAAGCTCTGTCTTAATGCAGCCATCTTATTCAGTGGCTTGGTCCCACACTCCAGGATGAACATTTTGTTTAACATTGTGTTTGGAAGAAAATCTGCCCTGAATATCTTTCCATCTTTCCCAAAAGGCAAGACTTGTCTTTGCTCACACATTATATGCCTAGGTCAGTTTGTCACCTTGCACACAGCCTTTCAAATGTTGATAATCATCTAGACATTCTTTGTGGAATAGTTATGCCCCATTTGAGCATCTTTCCAGACCCATTAATGAATATGATACATCCCACTCACAGGGACTGCCCCTTTCAAAGGAGAAATGGATATCTGTGTCCAAGGAAGACTAGATTCCATGGGTAAAACCCTATGATAAAGTCCTATAAGTTATAACTGTGAAAAAAATATAATTATCTACTTCTATACAACCGCAATAGAGTGGCACCCACAAAATAAGTGTTGATCCATATCATCAAGTAGTGTCTTATTTTGAAGCCACATTGCTGCTGTAAAATACTTCCATGGAAGTCTCAGAGTTTCAAAGTTTATAAATTTGGGTTCAAAATTTTATTTTGATTGGTAATATTTGTGAAATGATAAAAGACTTAGCCCACTTATCATCTTCAGCAAACAAAATATCTCTTTTTTAACAGAGACCAAATGTCTCGCCAAACATATGAGGTGGAAGAATCTCAGAGGAATAAATTGAGTATTTTAGAGAGCACATTCATTTTAAGCAGTCCCAACCTAAAATATAATAGAAAAGACAAAGTGGAAACACCTCCCAAATACGTGATAATATAAACATAAATGCAAATAACCTGAGATATAGGTAGTAATTCGCAAACAGAATCTGTATGGAAAATTAAAAAGCTAACATAGCGTAATACAGTACTAAGAGAGTGAGTATATTAGTGAAAATAAATGCACTCACAAACAAAATAAGAATTCAGGCTTCTCACCCTCCAAAGGGTAGCAATCTTAGTGGATAGTCCTCCTCCGTAGGATATATAAAAGAATAGGAAACAAGTATAGTGAAGCATGTAATTATATTACAGAATCATATTTATTGGTCACACTTACAGGAGAAAAGAATTGACAGGCATATCTCCAAATCACATGGAACTCCAAGACCGATATAGAAAAAGTCCAATAGAAGATCCAATTGGACAGGCAGGATACAATAGAAATAAAATTAAAATAAAATAAATATAAAAACTACATACAGGATATAAAAACAAATAGCAGCATATATAGACTCAGAATGTGTATCCAACGCGTTTCGTCCGACAAAAAAGGTACTTCCTAAGGGATATGAAAAATATGATTGTAATCCAAAGCCTTCAAGTTAATTTGCCTTCTCTAATATTTGCAAATGTCTCAATGACAGCATCTTGTAGAATGTTTTCAGCTAGATTGAAAGGTATTTAAGTTGACTCCTAAATCAGCTGAATGGGAATTGATTGAAAGTATGTGTACTTTCTTTGCTAAATGCATAATGTTAAAAAATAAGACAATAATACTTTTCTTTTCTGTATATGGTATGATATTTGATTGATCCAGGTAGACTAAAGGTGACATAAACTTTTGGGTTTGTTTGGAATGACCATAGCAAACAATTTAACATCTCTATTAAGAAAGGAGATTTGCTGAAACCGGCACACTCAGGATCTATGGCTCCTTGGACAGTAACATAATATAAACCAATAAGTTTGGATGAAAAACCCACTACATCAGACAGTTAAGTGCATTTTTAGTAAATTAATCTTAATGTTGTAAACCAATTTTAGTAAAATAAACCAGTAAATTGGTTTTAAAGAAACTAAAAAGTCAAACCTACAACTCTTGGTTATATTTGATATATTCAGGACTCATAGATTAACATACATCTAGTTATTGTACATATTTGTAGTTCTAAAACATGTTTTGTTTATACAAAAGAATAAAATGATTGTTCATTTTCTTTATGTAGGATGCTGCACTGTATTATGATGGCCGTGCTATTGATCCAGGTAATTCAGCAATAAGCTAAACACACATCCATAGACTAAATAAGTTAAGAAGTATAATAATATGACACATAAACACCAACATCTTACAAGCATATGCCTACCTATTAGAATCTGACAAGCATATCTGTTAGAAATCTTAAAATTGCTCGTAATACTAATTTATTCACTTGTGTACAAATACATACATGCAAACATACATATAAACATATAAAATAATGTGTTCTATGTTTTTTCTATTTTTAATATTCACATTATGTCGTCTTAGCTTCAGGAAGTCATTACCTGTTCAACAGTCAAACAGGCGGAGTGAAGTGGCTTAATTAGAGAGAAGAATTTCTGTTATTTTGATAGCACATCAGCTTATAAACAATATATGGGTAGTGGAAAAACAATGTTACTGGAACAAAATGGGTCATGGAAAACAAAATAAGTTTGTTTCAGTGAAAAATATTCATAAATGTAACTGCAAGTCTACATATATATTGTAAAATATGAAACAATCTGTTTTACTGCATGTAACATTATTAAAACATTAGAATTAAATAGATTTGTGTTTTTCTTCATTTTTCTTCATTTTATTATTATATTACCAGTAATATGTAATTGTTCAACTCATGGTAGAGTATGATAAGTGCACATATATAAATTTACAAACAACTTTGGCAGAAATAATTTTTAGTTGCTGCCACTGAGAAGGCAATTCAGTAGCCATAAAAGCTGGCAGAATGGTGCCTATGAAAGTGTTAGCATACAAAATGACTACAATATTGCCTGACCTAATGGCTATGCAGTATTAACCATTTTTACAATGCCAACTCTGATGTTCCAAAATTGAATAATTATATATCTGGATAAAAAAAAAAAACAACAACAAAAGACATAAAGTTAAGCGACAGTAGGGGGCAGAGCCTGACCTCTGAGTTGTGTAGACGTGGGCAGCACGAGCTCTTGCCTGGCGGGCGGATTTTGGGGTAACTTTGGTGGCTACAAAGCCCACAGACTCACCGGGGTGCACTACCCATATTGAAGGTGCACCGCTGAATCGTGCGACACCTCTCTGAAGCCCGTCAGAGCTGGGAGACCAGGACGCGACGTGTAGCCTACTGGAGTTGGAGCTGGGTGGAGGCGTATGCTCTCCCAGGCACTGAACTTTGGACAAGTGGGGGTTATCCGGTCCCCACTGGGTGCCCAATGCTCGCCCTTCCGCAACTGTACAACGCTCTCAGTAGACACATCGCAGTGCCCTGACCACACAACATGGCAGAGGTCCCTTCACAAGCCTTGCAAACTCTCAGCCAGACAAGTGGGACTCACCTGGACTTCCAAGACTCCAGGCTGGATGCAATATTCCAGGCCTTTTGGGACAAGCTGCAGGCATTCTCCACTGCCACCCGGTCTAAACAGAGGATGCTGAGAGGCTCACAGACGGCGACAGGGGAGTCACCCCCGGGCAGCACTTCCGCTAAACAGCTTAACGCTACCAGAGGCATGACCTTGAGACATTGACTACACAGGTGGAAGATCGACCTTCTCGACTTTCCACCTGCCCCTCGGGGGGCGTAGACATGGCCACACAAAGGTACCGAGCCCGTGGACTGAGGATGTCGGCTTCCACTAAGGCCTGGGGCTGGTAGAATACATCGCTTAACTGTTGCCCTCCTGCTGATCAAGACTGTCATGCAGAATGCATGTGCTTCCCGATATTGGGGGTTGGCTAATCGTGGACTTTCTTCCCACTGCAATGGTCGTGGCTCAGCACTTAGACCCCCATGACACCTGCGCACGCCATCCTTCATGATTATACTGAGGGCCATATGTTTGTGACTATATCTAACTGAACTAACCTCTTTATTTAACTCCCAAGTCGCTGCCATAATCCCACAACACGCAGTAGTTACAAATTGCAGAAGCTTATACCAATGGTTTACTAACCTGTTCTAGCCTAGATAATGTGTTCTCTACTAAGCTGTTTATCTAGTCACGTAATCTACTCTACATACATGTCAGGCTATTTTTGTGCTCACTCCCTTATACAAAAAGTATACCCACCACATATCACGTAATGATTAGCACATTGCTCATATTTGCTTTGGCTTCACCGATATCTTTAATGAGCATGTTAAACCTAGCTTAACCTATTAAATACAAAATTGTGCGTTTAGTCTGCAATCCATGACACTGTACTATTACATCTGTTAGCTGTATTGTGGCTTTACAAGCTTGTTGTTCATTCTTGAAGACTAAGAGAGGAAAAAATAGCAATAATCGGAAAGTAGGTAAATCCAAAAAAAAAACAAATAGTACTTGCACTCAGTCAAAACAAAAGGTGCAGGTATCTGGGTCACCTCTAAAGATCCTAAATCAATACGAAATGATACCACACTCAAGAAAGAAAGTGTATATGAATATAAATGTATTGCCAAAACTTAGTAAAATTGGAAATAGTACACATCTAAGAAAAGAATAGAATACTCTGAGACAAAAAAGGGGGTATATAGATAATATAATAGGGAAAAAAACTTGTAGAATTGTCTTATAAACTATAGGAATATTATTATCATTATTCTTCTTCTTATTATGTTATTATTTAAATAGCGCCAACAAATTCCGCAGCGCTTTACAGTGGGTGGACGTACAGACATGTAGTTGTAACCAGGCATGTTGGACACACATGAACAGAGGGGTTGAGGGCCCTTCTTAATGAGCTTACATGCTAGAGGGAGTGGGGTAAAGGTACACAAAAGGTAATGATAGTATTAGACTAATGACAGTTGCAAGAGAGGAATCACTCGGGAGCTATTAACAGTTTAATTGATACGCTTTTATGAAGAAGTGGGTTTTTAATGATTTTTTGAAGGAGTGGAGACCGGGTTAGCATATAACAGAGGAGGGAAGTGAGTTACACAGGAATGGTGCAGCCCTAGAGAAGTCTTGAAGGCGAGCATCAGAGGTGGGAGTACGGACAGAAGATAGACGTAAGTCTTCAGCAGAGCATGAGGGCTTAGACAGGACGCACTTGTGTATTAGTGAGGATAGATAGGTGGGAGCAGCATTATGTAGACATTTGAAAGCAAGAACCAGAATTTAAAATTGAGCCCTATATCTTACAGGAAGCCAATGTAGGGACTGACAGAAGGGTGAGGCGTGGGAGGTGCGGGCGGACAGGAAGATGAGCCTTGCTGCCACATTCATTATGGACTGTAATGGCGCAAGTTGGGAGCACATAAGACCACTGAGAAGCGGATTACAGTAGTCAAGGCGAGAGAGGACAATGGAATGGACCAGCACCTTAGTCACATCTGGCGTTAAGTAGGGTCGGATGCGCGCAATATTTTTGAGATGGAAACAACAGGATTTGGTGATAGACTGAACATGAGGCATGAAGGAGAGGTTGAAGTCAAAGAGAACACCTTGGCAGCGAGCCTGCGTGATGGAGCACATGGTAGCACCGTTGACTTGAAGGGAGACAAAACCAGGAATAGCAACTCTTGATGGAGGAAAGACTAGAATTACAGTTTTTAGTCAAGTTGAGTTTAAGGAAGTGGAAAGCCATCCAGTTAGAAATAGCAGAGAGGCAGTCAGAGACACTAGTCAAGAGGGACAGGGAGAGATCAGGAGAGGACAGGTATCCTTTAAGTAACAGTAACATAGTTACATAGCTGAAAAGAGACTTGCGTCCATCAAGTTCAGCCTTCCTCACATTTGTTTTTGCTGTTGATCCAAAGGAAGTAAAAAAAAAACCCAGTTTGAAGCACTTCCAATTTTGCAACAAACTAGGAAAGAAAAATCCTTCTTGACCCCAGAATGGCAGTCAGATTTATCCTTGGATCAAGCAGCTACATTGAAAAATGTCAAGCTATCCTACATTGAAAAATGATATCCTTGAATATTCTGTTTTTGCAAGTATGCATCTAGTTGCTGTTTGAACATCTGTATGGACTCTGATAAAACCACGTCTTCAAGCAGAGAATTCCACTTCCTTATTGTTCTTACAGTAAAAAAAACATTTCCTTTGTCTTAGATGAAATCTTATTTCTTCCAGTCTAAACGCATGACCTCGTGTCCTATGTAACACTGTAGATTTATTGTGCCCTATAAATTTTTTTTTAAAAATGTGAAACTCTTACAAGATAAAATGGTGGTGCTTATTTCTAAGTACCACTAAAACAGCATGGGATACACTTGAGCCAGCCAGGCAGTCAAAGGTTACCAGTTCCTTGGAGAGAGACACCGTCAGCTCTGTGCATTTGAGCTGCACCTGGAGGAATGCCAACTGTATCTCTCGCAGTTCTGGCAGTTCTACTTCACCCTTAATTTGGAGTGCTGTCTCTTATTGGGGGAATCTGCTACAAGGGACTGCTATGCTAGTCATACTCCCTTGCTATATCACTACTAAGCTCTTGTAAGAGCTTGTTCCTGTCTTGCTCTCTGAAGGAGTCTACAAAGGTTATGGTGTCAGCTGGAGTGCTTGGAGCCCTCTGGAAGCGCTAGGAGCATCCTTCCACTGAGGTACCCAGTTGGGGTGCCAGGCGAACCGTTACAGGGGGCAGCCTATGAATCAGGGAAGTGAGCCATAGGGGGTCAGCCTATAGATCAGGGAAGTGAGGCATAGGGGGCAGCATATAGATCAGGGAAGTGAGGGATGGGGGAGCAGCTTATAGAGCAGGGAAGTGAGGGATGGGGGTCAGTCTATAGATCAGGGAAGTGAGAGATGGGGGGATCCAGCTACAGATTAGGTAAGTGAGGGATTGGGGGGAGACAGCTTATAGATCAGGTAAGTGAGGGATGGGGGGAGGCAGCCTTCAGGAAGGGTCAGCAAGGAGCAGGAAGGTAAAGTAAGAGAAGGAGCAGAAAGGAGAAGGAATTGAAATGAGCAGGGAGGGACATCAAGGAGCAGAAAGGGACAGCAAGGAGCACACAAGGTAAAGGAGCACAAAGGATCTGAAATGAGCATCAAGAAGCAGGAAGGGTCAGCAAGGAGCAGGAATTGTCAGCAAGGAGAAGGAAGGGTCGGCAAGGAGAAGGAAGGGTCAGCAAGAAGCAGGAAGGGGCAAAAATGGTCAGTAAGGAGCTGGAAAGGGCAGCAAGAAGCAGGAAGGGACAGAAGGAGCACAAAGGTAAAGTAGGAGAAGGAGCAGAAATTAGCAGGAAGGGTCTGCCAGGAGCAGGAAGGGTCTGCAAGGAGAAGGAAGGGTCTGCAAAGAGAAGAAAGGGACAGAAGGAGCACAAAGGTAAAGGAGCAGAAAGAATCAGAAGGAGCACAAAGGTAAAGTGGGAGAAGGAGCAGAAAAGGGTAGCAAGGAGCAGAAAGGGCCTGCATGGAGCTGAAAGGGATCAGAAAGAGAAAGGCTTTGGTACCTGGGCCTGGCAGGGAAACTTTGGACCTTCTCATCTTCCCAGGTAAAAAAAAAATATCAGTGTTAATGTGTTCACTTTTATTTACTGAGTGTCAGGAAGCACAGAGTGCCGCTGGGGAGGGGTGTCACTGAGAGGTCAGTTGGCACTCTAAGCCAATCAGTAGCTCCTCATTCATAAAAATCTAAAACATTTTTATGAACCGTGAACTAGCGATTGGCTTAGAGCGGGAATTGACCACTCTAGCCAATCTGCAGCACCCATGCCTGACTTCAATCTGCACTTTCTGATACTCCGTTTCAGAAGCCGAATACTACTGAGCGACCTGGAGATCTGGAGCTGGAGGAAGCCTTTGGGTTTAAACCATTTGAGAGCGGTTTTACCCCTTAAAGGAAAGAGAGCATACAGGGGCTTCCTGACATCATAGCATTTTCATTTAAATGAAGTTGTTATGGTGATCATAATGTTCCTTTAATCTTCTTAAAGGAACACTATAGTGTCAGGAATACAAACTTGTATTCCTGACACCATAGTTGTGAAAACGCTATTCACCCTGGCTTTATGTGATAATGACTATGCCCCTTCCCTTTCATGACACTGTCAAAAAGGGACCAAGCATGGATGTCATTACAATTATGCCCTCCCCCTTGAAAAATTCTCGCGGACGCCCATGCTCCCGCTTTCTGAAACTCAAGCTCTCTAGAGCTTATTATGTATCCTCCTCATAATGCTGATCCTTCTCCTTTGGTTTCCCTGCAAGATGATGGTGCTTGCATCAGTCCATGCTTGCAAACTCATTGTCTTGGTGTTATCTTTGATCACCTTTGCACCTCATATCCAGTATCCGCCTCTTTGTTAAGCAAGATGCAGCCAAGGAGCTTGTTCATGATATGGTACTCTCTCGCATGGATTACTGTAATTTTCTCCTAGTTGGTCTTCCCAGAGGCTGAACTGCTCCGCAACAATCTGTAATGAATGCTGCTGTAAGGCTGATCTTTCTCACCTGTCGCTCCTCCCATACCTTGCAACTCTGTTGAACCTTGCACTGGCTCCCTGTATCCTATAGGTGTAAATTCAAAACACTAATCAATACCTATAATGCTCTAACCAACTCCAGCCCCTGTTACATTTCTTCATTGATTCATAGATATGCCACTTCTCGGTTTCTCCGCTCTGCCAGTGATATTCTCCTGTCCAGTACTCGCACCCTTACTGCTAACTCATATTTGCAAGACTTTTCACAGGCGGCTTCTTCCCTTTGGAACAGCCTGCCTACCTCATCAGACTCTCCCCTAGTCTTCAATCATTTAAGAAGTCCTTCAGAACCCATCTGTTCATAAATGCTTATGGCCTCCCAGAGTTATGTCTATGTTACATATTTGCCTATTGCTCTCTCCTACAGAGCCACAATCTGTTCTCACCTCCAATTCTGATACTTATCCACATTTTTGATTGTTTCCCCCCTTGCTGTCCTATTGTGTTTTTATAATCCACCTCCTCTAGACTGTTAGCTCATTTGAGCATGGTCCTCATCTATCTTTTGTTCCTGTAACATGTTGTAATTGTCTCATTTATTGTTACATTTCCCCCCCTTACATCATACTGTAAAGCGCTGCAGAATAAGTTGGTGCTGTATAAATACCAATAATAATAATATGATAGTTGCCTAGCAAATAACACAATTACACAATTCTCTATGCAATGTATCCACAGCAGTCTTTTGAACTAGGAATGCAATGTTATTTATCTCTATATGTTTGTTAAGAATCGCATTGCTCAAATACATATGAACAAAGCTAAGAAAAAGTTCAGATTCCAAACAAAACAAAATGGAAAATTGTGTGTTCATCTTGATTTATGGGTATGTGCACAATGAGAAAACTTGCCGTGGTCTGCAGGCACATGACCCAGAGCATGCGTCTCTTAATTACACGCTGAGTAATTATATAACAAAAGCCACATTTAATGTTCTGAATATTATAGATATAGTGAAAAGCATGTGTGTTCTGTATGATTTTGATTAAGCCACCAGCATCCAGTACAAATGGACTTCTGTCAGATTTCTAATTTAGTTTTATTTGATGTGTGTCAGAACTGAGATTTTCCACTCCAAAGTCCATTCCATTAAGCAATTGTGTAGAGAAAGAAAAAGAAGATTTTCACAAATAAAATAAAAACATATATATCTTACCTCACATCTTGTGGCACACTGCCAAACTCTGAGCTCTGACTGAGAAAATAATGCAATTTCCAGAAGGCACGTAGACATGCATATGAGTAAGCACCCTGTGTGGTGCAAAATATGTCACGCAAAATGTTATAGTCTAGTTTTGGTGAATTGCCCTAGAATACTATGACTGCCTTTTGGAGATTATTTATTTTTGTCTTTTACTTCATTTGATAATTATTATTGTTATTATTATTATTTTATTATTTATGCAGCGCCATCAGATTCCGTAGCGCTGTACAATGGGATAAATGCTTTGTTTTAGTTTAAGCTGTTTGATTATACATTCACTGCTGGCTCTGCTTGCTTCCATTTTCTTCTTTTAAGCAATTATGAAACCATGCATAACACTCAATAATATATATATATTTTTGTGTATTTGTATATAATGTGTATATTTTTTTATATAATGTGTATGTTTGTTTTGAATGTTTCGCTAAATAATTCTGAGCTATCAACAAAATCATACAAAAAAAAAATCTATTGCAGTAAACAATTGTCTCATTGGGTATAATTTAATATTATGTAAGCTTGAAATTGGTGAAGGACAATCATAAATGAATATTTCAAAGTACAATAATATAAAGAGACCACTAGATGTCATCACAGAATTGCAAAATACACAAAAGACAATTTGCATCAAGGAAACGGTCAACTTTTCTGATTATTAAAAAGAGTATCCCTTTCATGGAGCAAGTGTTAACAATACAGTGTACCATGTTTAAATAGGCTTAAATTATGGACATTCTCACCAGACAGAGAATATTTGCCAATATTGGCGATATCTTTTGCCTCTCTGCTGCCTTTGACACTGTTGATCATGCTCTCCTTCTTCAAACTCTTCAATCACTCAGTGATACGCTCCCATAGTCTTCAATCGTTTAAGAAGTTAGGAAAACTTATGGGAAAGCTTATGGCCTCCCAGAGTAACCTCTACCTTACATACCTGCCGTTTGCTCTCTCCTAAAGTGTAGCACTCTACTCTCTCCTTCAGCTCTGCTTCACTCCCACCTTATTTGATTGATATTTCTGTCCTAATGTGTTTTATACCCCACATCCTATAAACTGTAAGCTCGTTTGAGCAGGGTCCTCTTCAACCTATTGTTCCTGTAATATTTCCTTGTAATTATATCCCCCAGCCCTCATAATATTGTAAAGCGCTATGGAATCTGTTGGCGCTACATAAATGGCGATGATAATAATAATAATAAAAAGAAGTGCCTTAAAACTTATCTCTTTGGGAAAGCTTATGGCCTCTCAGAGTAACCTCTATCTTGTATACCTGTCTCTTGCTCTCTCCTCCAGCTCTGCTTCACTCCCACCTTATTTGATTGCTATTGTGTTTTACACCCCACCTCCTATAGACTGTCAGCGTGTTTGAGCAGGGTCCTCTTCAACCCATCGTTCCTGTAAGTTTTATTGTAATTGTCCTATTTATAGTTAATGCCCCCTCTTATAATATTGTAAAGCGCTACGGAATCTGTTGGCGCTATATAAATGATAATAATAATTAAAAAAGTGGTACTAAAGGTAAGGGCAAACTTTAGGAGACTGAGTAATGTGATCTAAATTTGACATTCAGCAGAATGCCCACTTCCAGGATAGATCTGAGTGAACATTTTAGCGTCAGTGTCCATTTTCCAACAGGAATGAGCATGGCTAAATAAATAACATTGGATAAACACAGTGCTAAAACCTGACAGTATACAAGTTCAGGTAGTCATGTATGGAAAAGGCAGGACAATACTGTAAGCTGAATGGATAAATGGCTTTCAGATTTAATAGGTAAAGACAAATAGTAAAGATCAGATACCCAGTTGGACTGTTTGGAAGTTTATATTCTACAGTAAATGGAAATGTATTAATCCTTTAAACAAATAATTGGAAGTTTACTTCACAGGATTGCTGGATTAATAGCTTCTACAACTCAATCTTCATGACTGGTATTAAACAGTAGCAGAAGCAGATCCAGGAGGGCTGAGAAACACTAGGGCAAATGCTACACCTGAGAATTAAGAAGCATTTAGGTCTGGCCAGCAGCAGGGCCTGAATGAATCACCATCCCTGTCAAATGCTTGTAGCCATGTTACATGTACAAATTTGTGTATCTGTCTCTATGTGTTTGTATATATCTGTATGAGGATGTAGAGATGTATGCATTTGATCATATGTACGAACATGCATGCACAAATAAAGGAGATTTCCATCTTAATCCAGTTTTTACAAAAATGAATATACCTTAGTTTCTTTTTCAGGAAATTTGGCTGGGACAGAGAAGGGAAGTAGCACAGACAGAAGGTGCTAACTCATTTCATGTCTCAGCAACACTTCATCTGGTTTCTGATGAAGTGCTGTGGTGGCATGAAATATGTTAGCACCTTCTGTCTGTATTACTTACCCTTCTCTGTCTCAGCCAAATGTTCTGAATCAGACAAAAAGGTATTTTGAATTTTATATAAGTGTGTTTGAAAAATCTTTTCTTGTTTGTATTGAATGGGATATAGAAACAGAACCTGCTGTCACATTTTTGGATTCCCTATTGTATGCCCCAGGACCACTGTCTCCTGGGGTACCAGATCTCCTGTATGCTGTCTGACCTCTCCTCAGGTGCGGAATGCTACAGGCAGCACTGCCTATTTGTATTTTGAGAGCAGCGTGTCAAAATGCACAAAATTATCAAATCATAAGGTTTCCTAGCCTGTAAAAGCCTTGCCTACTGCTTTTGTCATGTCGTGGTTTCCATGTTTCTTATACTTTGATTCCTGGTTATTTATCTCTGCTTGTCTTAACATCTCTGTTCTATGTATCCCAGATCTTTGCTCTTTTATCGATTTTGCGCTTGACCTTTATCTGTTATATGACTATTCTATCTTTTGTTCTCTGCTTGTTAAACCTGGCCACTCTAAGGTCCTGTAATATGTACTATTAGATCTACTGTTTCTTCTTTGCTTGTGTGATTTGATTCTGCATGCGGGGTTACCTCTCTTGAAACACATCCTTACATGTCTTAGTCAGAACCTTAATCTCACTTAAAGGACCACTCTAGGCACCCAGACCACTTCAGCTTAAGGAAGTGGTCTGGGTGCCAGGTCCAGCTAGGGTTAACCCATTTTTTCATAAACATAGCAGTTTCAGAGAAACTGCTATGTTTATGAATGGGTTAAGCCTTCCCCTATTTCCTCGCTGTCTCATTGACAGCCGCTAGAGGCGCTTTGATTTTCACAGTGAGAGCACGCCAGCGTCCATAGGAAAGCATTATGAATGCTTTCCTATGTGACCGGCTGAATGCGCGCGCAGCTCTTGCCGCGCGTGCGCATTCAGCCGATGGGGAGGAGAAGAGGAGGATCGGAGGCAGAGAGCTCTCCGCCCAGCGCTGGAAAAAGGTAAGATTTAACCCCTTCCAGAGCCGGGCGGGAGGGGGACCCTGAGGGTGGGGGCACCTTCAGGGCACTATAGTGCCAGGAAAATTAGTATGTTTTTCTGGCACTATAGTGGTCCTTTAAGAGCCTTCCCTGACCACCCCTTATATTTTGTAACAGCTTGATAAGACCACAAGTTCAAAATAACGCTTCAGCAATTTGTTGTTAAGCCTTGTGTTACATCATGAAAAAAATTGATACTTTGTTGCTGAACCTTGTTTTTTCTCACTCTTCTGCCTTCTTCTTTCCTGATCATGGACTAATGTAATATGGATAAGGGCTTTTCCTGGGTGGAAATAAAGTGTTGTAGCTCAATTCGAGAATGATGTGACCTTCCTGGTTCTTTCAGGGATTCCATTAGCAGAATTTCAGACTTGCTTTCTGGCGGCATTGTTTCCTGGTACAGGGCACCTTTAAGAATCTTTGTAAAGATGGAGGTAAACACTTTGCCAGAGAGCCTCAAGTTTCTTTATAATTGCAGTAGTTGGAGGCAAGGCAGGCAGATGGGTCGATACCTGTCCAGGAGAAGGAGAACAGGCAGAGGGAATAATGCCTGCATAGCATAAAGAGAACAGGCAGACAGATCAATACTTGCATGGGAGAAGGAGATCAGGCAGAAAGGCTGGTACATGCCAGGGAGTAGGAGAGGGGCTGAGAAGCAGATGGGTTGATACCTACGTGGGAGAATGAGAACATACAGCGGGGTCTATACCTGAATTGAAGAAGGAAGAATTGGCAGAAGAGCCTGCCTGTATTGTAACAACATACACACAGACTCAGACACAAATACACAGACATATAGAAACACACACATAACTTACACACACATACTCATACACACAATATGTGCACCAGTGACATTTTCGTTTCGTACATAAATTCGTACGAAATAAAATTGTAATTCGTCCATTCCAAATTTTGTCCGTAAACAAACCTCACACAAAAAAATAAATAAGTAGGGAGCCAGAAGCACTACCAGCGCCCTCCTTGTAATAAATAATATTAATTCCTACTCCCCCCCGCATTAAAACCCCCATAGTAATAAAAGGGAGGTTAAATCCTTCCACATTGTAGAGGCATGTCACCTAAACAGCCTAAACATTTAAGAGGCATGTTGCCTAAACATTTAAAGCTACTAATGATTGGGCAGCTATTGTTGCACAGTCGCTAGTGCCGTTCCCACATGGTGGGGAACCCAAATAACAAAAATGGGGGGGACATAGCACCCCTCACGCCCCAACCTGTGACCCTGTTGGGGGCTATTAATATAAACGGGGGGATCTAGTGCCCCTCAGGTACCCAACCATGACTGGCGTGTGGGACATTAATTAAATATATAATGGGGGGACCTAAAGCCATAAGCGATGTGTGGGAGCCCTAAGTCCCCCTCATGGCCCCCACCCACGAGCAGCGGATGGAGGCCCTAGATATCAATGGGGAGGACCTATTGTTAATAGGCAGGGGAGGGCTGGCAGCCTTAGGCCTGGGGGGCAAAACCAGTCAAGTGGCCCATTGCACCACCAAATCAGTGCAATGGTGCCCACCTTTTCCTGGTTTTATAACAGATATTGATGTTATGCTAATCAGTAGCTCTTTGCCATACCCGCTCCTTCACGGCTCTGACTTTCAATGTTGTCAGAGCGCAGGCTGAGAATCTCTGAGCCTGTGATCTGACTCACTAACTGAGCGTCGGAACAATGAGGGAGAGGCTATAATCTGACTGCACCTACTGCTGGTGCGCACCAGTGGACCACCAGCGAATTGTTTAAATAAATAGGCTGGAGTTCCCAACTTGTGAGCTGTGTTGTCCGCGGGGCGCCTCTATTGTGATGGCACCCTGCGTGACCGCACAGCGTGCACACCCCAACGGCTGGCCCTGCTGACACACACTGATGTTATTACTTAGAAATCCCTCAATATTAATACAGACATCAGAGTAAACACCAATATACTGTGGAAACAGAGCTGATCCCCCCAAATTTATAAAGATTTGCTTACTGGATTTGTTGTAAGATTAAATCATGCCTCCTCCTCTCTCTCTCCCATACGCTGCTCTGTAGGCTGGAAGGAAGTAAATAGTAATCACAATCTCCCAGCACAGCGGCACCTGTGGCTGCATGGGGAACAGCTGTATTTGCCGCCCCCCCATGTGACATCACAATGCCCCACCTATATGAGCTGCCATACGAACTAACGCCAGTGCTGCCCACAGTGTGTGTTTACATTAAAAAGCCTGCAGGGACCGGCTATAGACACTAGAACCACTTCATTAAGCTGCAGTCGTTCTGGGGACTATAGTGTCCCTTTAATGTGAGGTAAATTATAGATTAGTGTCACTAATAATATACTAGATTGCCTACTTACAACAAGATGAGGATGATGATGGGCTGCAGTTTGGCTCCACTGGTCTGGTGTAGAACAGGATCTCTGGAGGCTGTTTGAAACTGTGGTCACAAAATTCAATGTTCTGGGAGAATTGGAAGCAGCTCCATTTTTGGGGGGCCCCTTACACAGCTCAAGTTCTGGGCCCCAGGGCCTGACTGTGAGTATGCCCACAAGGCCCACTCATAAGTCCACTTATATGTTCCACCCACGAGTTCGCTCACAGGGAGTGGAGTGTGTAGGGGATGTGTTATGTGTTATTGTAGAGGATCTAATATTTGTGCTTATTGTATGTAGTGTATAGGGATACCAGTTTGTGCATGTGATGCAGTGTGTTTGTGTGTAGTGGAAGCAGTGTGTATTTGTGTATAAGGGATGTATTGTGTGTTTCTGGTTGTGTGTAAGGGATGCATTGCGTGAATCTGTGTTTGTATGCATAAGGGATGCAAGATGTGTGTCTGTAAGTGTGTGCATTGAGTGTGTATTAGAGATGCATTGTGTTTCTGTGTGTATGTAAGAAAAGCAGTGTGTGTGTAAGGGTTTGCATTGTGTGTTTCTGTGTATGTGTGCAAAGAATGCATTGTCTTTGTGTGTAATGGTTGCATTGTGTGTTTCTCTATGTGTAAGGGAAGCATGTTGTGTTTCTCTGTGTGTAGGGATGCATTGTATGTTTCTGTGTATGTATAGGGATGCATTGTGTGTGTGTGTGCGCGTAGTGTGAAAGAGCTCCCTGTCTTGCCCCCTGTCCTATAGAGCTGTCCCTTCTAGCTCTCCCCTGCCCCTTAGTGGTCTCTCCTCTCCTCCACCCTCCTTGTGTTCTCCTCACCTCCCCACTCCCTGTGTCCTCCTCACCTCCCCCTCTCTGTGTCCTCCTCACCTCCCCCTCCTTGTGTTCTCCTCACCACCCACCCTCCCTGTGTTCTTCTCAGTCCCCCCCTTCTCCTCACCCTTACTCTCCCCCTCCTCCTTGTGTTCTTCTCACTCCCCTCTTGTTCTTCTTACCCCCAGTTTTTCATACTCCCCTTCTTCTTACTCCCCCTCCTTCACCTCTCCTCCCCCCCTCTTCACCTCTCCTCACCCCTTCACCTCTCCTCCCCTTCAACTCTCCTCCACTCCCCTTCACCTCTCCTCCCCT